CTTAGGGCTATATTGACTGCTTATATTTGACTGCTTAGGGGTTGCGCAGTTGAACGGTGCCTAGTGCAGCATTGTCACTGCATGAGTAGGTGGTGGTGCAACGGTTGTGCAATCGTAAAACCGGGATTCATGAGGTTATCGTTCTGGAATTTGAAATACGGACTGTTTGTCGTGATAAATCTAATATTGACTTCGTACTTGGTCAGTATAGGAAATAAAAACCTCGTAAAAGACCTCGGCTTCGCCTCGGTCTTTTACTCGGCTTTTATTTCCTATATTGACCTCGTACTCAGTCAATATTAGATACGTATTATTATGTTGAGAAGGAGGTTCGCCATATTGTCATTTTGTCTTATCCGTGCGTCAAATTGTATGTCGCATTTGGGACGACTCGTGCAGTCAAGGTGGTGAAAGAATCTGATGTTCTGCCGACCCTTTCCACACGTAAACTCATCTACTTTTTTTAATGCCGACAGTCTAGTGTGAGAGTCGGTACTAGTATGTGGGCAGAACTGTTCAGCACCTTGGCGCACGAACCCGTCAGCATGTGCCGTTGTCGTTGAGGTTAGTCCCTGTGCACGCACGTGATTCTCGTCCTCGACGCGGTCGTACGATCGTCCTCCTAAAATGTGCGTCTAGCTACTAGCTTCTGAGTGTGCGCCACGTGAAGCATTGTCCCAGTCCAAGGTTTCGTCTGGCGCAACAGCGCAATCGACTCCTTCATCGATGGCATGAGCGGTGCATGGCTTGGGCCAGCCCAAGTGGCAAGTCGGCAAGGGAAAGCGGTGCAGAGTTGTGAAAACTACACCGAAGAAGACAATGCCTTGACACCAAAAATGGCAAAATGATGGAAGAGTCACTCGCATCCAGGTGAGGATGCGCACCGGAGGAGACGAGCAGACGGCGGTACTGGAAGTGACAACGAGCGTAAAAGTGGGAGGAAGCGTGGAAACTACGTATAGAATCAAGCATGGAAGGAAGGGCTTGGTGGAAAATTCATGCCCGCGTGTGTACGCTCGAGGGCTTGCCCGAGAGCGTACACACAAGGGCATGGAGTGCCCGAGTGCGTATGCCCGAGGGCTACGCACGAGGGTACGCATTTTCCATCAAGACCTTCCTACCATGCTTGATTGTGTTTCAAACATACCGCATACATCAACAAGCAAACACCAATCACCGATCAGCACGTCCTGATAACGTCCGGAGCGAATGGAAGCACACACAAGGCTTATTGTTACTCTGTACTGGCCGTCATGGAGCGATAGCAATTACCTAATTTCAGACGCAGAGTGAATTTGACGTGCACTCTAAAACGTGTCCGGTTTGGAGCCACCTCTGATTTGAACTTTTTTGAAGCGAAAAATTGGGCAACTTGGAGGCAATGGGTCAACACAAAGGAGTGGCTCAGTTCGATTGACTCTGGCCCCAGAGCAAACTTCAACATGCCAGTTTCCTTCCACAAACATATTTCGAGTGAAAAATCAACGCTGATGATCGGTTTGGGTCTATACAAATTTGGCTGTCAAAACGTCCCGGTATCGAGCCGTCCCCTCTACAGTGAATCAAACTGAGGCCTGGTGGAGCGGGCTTTGATCGTAAAATCAAAGCCCGCTCCACTAAATATGGAGTTCTATTTCTTGTTGTAGCATGCTTTGATCGCCTCATGTAGGCCCTGGCCTAGGCCCTGCTAGGTGCAATGCGATTGGTCATCTCCGTGCCAACAGTCTTGTGACATGTCAGAATGCATTATTCTCATCTTCAGGTGGTCGGATTTCTGTTGCCAGCACTGTAGATGTACACTGTAAATCAGGGATTCTGACATGTCACAAGACTGTTGGCACGGAGATGACCAATCGCATTGCACCTAGCAGGGCCTAGGCCAGGGCCTACATGAGGCGATCAAAGCATGCTACAACAAGAAATAGAACTCCATATTTAGTGGAGCGGGCTTTGATTTTACGATCAAAGCCCGCTCCACCAGGCCTCAGTTTGATTCACTGTAGAGGGGACGGCTCGATACCGGGACGTTTTGACAGCCAAATTTGTATAGACCCAAACCGATCATCAGCGTTGATTTTTCACTCGAAATATGTTTGTGGAAGGAAACTGGCATGTTGAAGTTTGCTCTGGGGCCAGAGTCAATCGAACTGAGCCACTCCTTTGTGTTGACCCATTGCCTCCAAGTTGCCCAATTTTTCGCTTCAAAAAAGTTCAAATCAGAGGTGGCTCCAAACCGGACACGTTTTAGAGTGCACGTCAAATTCACTCTGCGTCTGAAATTAGGTAATTGCTATCGCTCCACGACGGCCAGTACAGAGTAACAATAAGCCTTGTGTGTGCTTCCATTAGTTTTGATTGGTATGCGGTGCTTTATTGGCGAGAGGCGAGCCGCTGTTTACCTGCGACAAGAAGTTAATTTTTCGAAAGTCGTAAAACTCAAGTCGCAGTGCGAAGCAACACCTCAAAAACTCACCTGCTTGATATGGCGCTTCTGGTCATCGCAGAGCCATGAAATTTTGGCTCGGAGTATAACACATCGTAGTCTCACTGTGACATACTAGTATGTTTTCTAATCAAAATACCAAGAGAGAAAGTGAATATTGAGTCCGTTCCGGTTTGCAACCTGTGTCCTATTTGAAACCGTCCCCTCTACTGATCAAGCTCGCTTTATTTTTACTCGACTCGGGCTCGAGAAGGCTGAGACTTCCAAGCGCGATAGGAAGATCGAAGTGCGCGTTCTTGTCAGAAATCCAATCAAAACAGTCGTGTTCATGTTCTATCAGCCAATCACAGCCCTTCGCGAAGTATTTACAAGTTCGATATGAGTTTCAAGCGTGGGTGCATGTCAGAAATGCAATCAAAACACTCGTCTACTCGTGCTCGATCAGCCTGCATCACAGCCCTTCGCGCTTCGCGCGGCCGGTTGTGATTAGGCGATCTCACACTCGTACGAGTCGTAGATCTACTCTTGCGTGATTCCAGGGTCTATGACTCCCTGCTTGATTCCATACTTTGTCCGACATGTAGTCGGTGAGTCGGTGACTTGACTTTTTGACCCCGGCCCATGCCATGTCGCTAAGGTTGTGGAAAGTAGTTGCGAAATAGTTCGCGAAAATGAAGAAAGTAGTTGCGAAGGTTGCGATTTCTTCCTAAACAACGAAAAGTTGCGAAAAAAGTGGCGAGCATCTTTGGGTAAGGGCTACCAGGGACGGGTGTGAGCTAGGACTAGTAGTAGTACTAGTAGGAGGACAGGAGGAGCGAACGAGGTGACACCGCATGCCATGGAAAGACAGACGATGTAGATCTACTTATGCAGTTATGGAGCGTGCGCCCCGATGAGAACAGTCAGCCTGTTTACATGTTGTTGGTTTAGCTCAGACGAACCAGTTGGTTTTATCCGCTGCTCGTCTTGCAAGCCTTGTTGCTCGTGCTCCGACTCCCTGTCACAGTGGAGCATACCACCTGGCGTCTGCAACAATGTCTTCTCCTACTGGCAGCTGCTCTGGAACGCTGGACGGCCATTACGACTACGTGGTGGTGGGTTGCGGCGGTATTGGCAGCGGAACGCTCTACTGGTTAGCACGGACCTTGGGACAGACGAAACGTAAGTACGCTAAGTCCTGTTGTAGTAGGTCCGTCGTGTTGAGTTTTTTTTTAATGTCCTGGGCCTTACCTGCCTGTTATGTGCTCTTCTCAGTTTCCCCGCGGCGATAACGAACGCAGTCAGTGCATGCGCGCGACCTGTGTGATGCATGAATCTCGGTGATCCAAATAAATTTCATCGAGCCCTGTAATTCCAATTACCGTATTATCTCTAATATAAGCACGGTCCTTTATTTTTTCAATGTACCTCCGCCCCGTGCTATTAATGGAGACGTTCCTTTATTGGAGACTGTTCCATTATTATTTCAACCTCATTTCAGAGGCATGTTGCCATGCCAAATTCATGTCAGACACACACCTTTCGGGGTTTTTTTCGCCGGTACAGATAATGAATTCCCACAGTGTGCTTATAATGGAGACTGAGTACTTTATTTTTTGAATGCCGCCCCAAGGTGTTCTATTATTGGAGACGTGCTATTATTGGAGACTGTGCTTATATTAGAGATAATACAGTATAACAGTATGGAGGCGCGTCCATTGAAATGTTCTCGAAAACGGCTCTGAACCCCGGCATGGCATGGGTTGGTGCCTTGGCCCGCTTGGGCTTGGCATCAATCAGTTCGCAAGTACAGAGGTGTACAAGTACAGTCGTGACAAGGCACACGGTAAAATAGGATGTGAAATATCCCCGGATTATCGTCCTCGCCGGACATTCTGCTCGCGTCCTTAAGGAATGTGCTCATGAGCTCGCAGAGCCACTGTCCAAGCTATTTGCTTTATGCTTCCGGTCTGGAGTGCAACCTAGGATGTGGAAGACGGCCAACGTGGTTCCGATCCACAAGCGATCTTCCCGCTCAACCCTTAAGAACTACAGGCCCGTATCCTTACTGTGCATAATCTCGAAAGTAATGGAAACTCTTGTAAACAGACACATCGTAAACTATTTTGAAGACCATCATCTGCTCACGTCGCACCAGTTTGGATTTCGCAGAGGCCTTGGAACATCGGACGCTTTGCAAGCTCTCCAAACTGCCTGGGCAAGCGCTGTGGGCTGTGGAGGGGCGGCTCGTATCCTAGCTGTGGACATCGCAGGAGCGTTTGATCGTGTCTCGCATGTCGGCCTCCTTCACAAGGTGCGTAGCCTAGGCATAGATGGTCCGCTTCAGAGATGGCTGGCCTCGTACCTGGACACCCGTTCCCTACAGTGCCTCGTTGGAGGGCGGACGTCATCTAGGTATACGACCTCCGCTGGAGTCCCCCAAGCATCCTTGGACCAACGCTTTTCCTGGCCTACGTCAACGACGCGCCAGATGTTCTCGCTGACGGCGCCAGTTTGGAAGCCTATGGCTATGCTGATGATACAACTTTGTACAGCTTAGTCACCTCCCAGCAGACCCCAACAGTCGCCGCGCAGTCATTGAGGTGTCCGTTGACCGACTGCACGAGTGGGGTCATACATGGAAAGTGATGTTTGAACCGACCAAATCCCAGGCCATGACAGCCACCCTCAGACGCACCGGCTTAGATCTCCCCCCACTCCTGTTTGGTGGCACACTGGTGCCCGAGACAACCACCATCACCCTCCTTGGTGTGAAGGTGGACGCCAAGTTGACCTTCAGCGATCACCTACGCTCCGTAGCCACCCGTGCACGCCAACGGCTTGGGGTCCTAAACAGAGCCGCCCACATCCTCACCCCCGCCGGCCGGACCACCGTATACAAGGCGTTCGTACGACCAGTCATGGAGTATGCGCCTCTTGTATGGATGGGAGCTGCGCAGAGCCACCTCCAGCGTCTGAACAATGTTCAGCGCCGCGCGCTTCATGCTATCGGCCCTGGGGCACACCTACCCAGCCTGGCCATCCGCCGCACTGTTGCCTCGCTTGCCTGCCTGTACAAGCTGCACTACTTGCCTGGTCCTCCGCAGCTGCTCTCTGTGTTGCCACCGCGCCACATCATCTCTACCAACCCCAGAACTCGCAGCGAGCACGGTGCTGTCAGTGGCCATGACCACCAGCTCCAACACCAGCTGCCTGCATCTGCCCCGCTGGCACTGAAGCGCTCGTTCCCACACTGCAGCATCAGCGATTGGAACTCCCTCCCTGCCGCTCTCCTATCCCAGCCTCCCCACAGCAAGAGAATGCAATCATTCAAAACGAATGTTTACCGCCATCTTCGCAGCACAAACTGGCTCTGGGCAGTCGATTCCCTATGAATAGTATGACGCTAAGACAGTTTCTCCCCCACAATCGCTCGTGTTAAGCCTTGGGTTTTTGCATCTTTCTTACCTGTACAGCTCTATCTTCTTCTTTTTTCATTGTTTTTGGTGCGTGTTTTTGGCCGTGACGCCGAGACCTCAGGTCGGCAGAGTCATCAATGCCCCACCATCACTGCTGCGTCTCGGTGCAGCGCCTGCTCATTAGTTGTCACGTTTGTCCTAGTCTCCGTACCATTGTCTTTCCTTATTCTTTTCGAGCTGGTTATGTGAATATAGTAAAACACACACACAGACTGTGCAGTTGATGTGCCTGGCTGACAGGTGGTGGCGTTTTGAAGTCCCATTCATTTACACTTTGAAGGTCCTTAATGTGTTTTTTGAGCACTGTGTATTTTTCTTGGTCGGAGCCGAGCCACGCTGGCGTATGAGTCGCACCTCTTTGGTTTAGCCATGTCACAAGTCACTTGCAGAATGCCGTTGAAGCTTGCCAATTAAGTTGAGACAAGACCGGGCTTTCTAGAAGAAATTTTTCCCTTCACAATTCTCACATTATGGCTGTCTTACCTTTTTGCTACCTACCAACCATTTTGTTGCTTGCTCCATGGTAATGACGGCAGAAATAGTTCTATTTATTGCTATCTTAGACTCGGATGGAAAGCCAAGGATGAAATTTAAAAGAAAGGACCACAATCTTACATGTTATCTGTAGTTTTTGTCCAGGCACTAAAAGTTATAAGCAACTGAGATATTGTGTAGTCAGAAGGTGGAAATTTTACGCATCCAAGACGTGATAGAGCTTATCAGGTCGTTAAATGTTAGTATAACATCAGTCCGCATTGTGCTGGCTGTTGCACCTTCTGACTACACAACAGTTTGCTTATAACTGTTAGTGTTGGACACAAACTACGGATAACATTAAAGGGGAAGTTAAGGCAAAAATTAAAATTTCACCAGTTGTAGTCTTCGGGCTGCCGAGTCGAATGGTCGTGGTCCGAGGAAGCTGAGACGCTCCCTTCCTACTTGAATCCCAATCGAACTCGCGCACTTCCACCGAAACTGGGTGACTGCGCCCTACTAGATGGGGATTTGTATGCAAAATGTCACTAAAAGCGCCATTTCGTTCTTATAAAAGCATGGATGACCGCGATTGGCCCATATGTTGTAGTCTTTTGGACGCTGAGTCGATTGGTTTTGGTCCGAAAAGGCTGTGATGCAGCGTTCCTCCTTTATTCCCAATCGAACATGGGTTGAACAAGCGGTCACGTGCTCCTGCGTACGCCAGTCACCTGGTCACCGTGCCTGCAGGGTACAACTTACTAGCTTGTTTGACCTTTTTTGGGTGCAGTCCTGTCACTCGAGTTGAACCTTGGTGTGAAAGTTGTCGCCTGCTGGCGTAGTGACCAGGTGATTTGGGCACCCAGGAGCACGTGACCGCTTGTTCAACCATGTTCGATTGGGAATAAAGGAGGAACGCTGCATCGCAGCCTTTTCGGACCAAAACCAGTCGACTCAGCGTCCAAAAGACTACAACATATGGGCCAATCGCGGTCATCCGTGCTTTTATAAGAACGAAATGGCGCTTTTAGTGACATTTTGCATACAAATCCCCATCTAGTAGGGCGCAGTCACCCAGTTTCGGTGGAAGTGCGCGAGTTCGATTGGGATTCAAGTAGGAAGGGAGCGTCTCAGCTTTCTCGGACCAAGACCATTCGACTCAGCACCCCGAAGACTACAACTGGTGAAATTTTAATTTTTGCCTTAACTTCCCCTTTAACATGTAACATGTTGGTCCTTTCTTTTAAATTTATTGCTATAATAAAAATTGTAGAAGAGGTTGGTGCGACTTCGGCGATAATAAAATTGTAACATGGAAAAATCACCATCTGAGCTATAATATTCACAGGTGAGCCATAATAAAAGTTGATTTTTTCTCAGACGTTTCCCCTTTTCAACTCCCTCAAACATGTGAATACAATGCCACTTTGTGTACTTGTTCACTATTGCTTTCTGTCTGGTTCCTATGCTGCAGGAATTCTGGGTCTGGAGCAGTTTGAGCTGGGACACTCCAATGGCGGCTCTCAGGATTACTCGCGTATAGTGTACGGGATGGTCAGTACGGGAGTTGTGTTTGATTTCAAAGTTTTTTTTATAAGACATTGGTGGTGTCCTGCTTATATTGTTTTAGGAACCTTAGGGGCTGTCCGGGGTTACCCATTGTTTTTATACAACGAAAAGTTTTAGTATTTTTCAGCCCGCACCCACCCACCTACCTTTTCTGCAGGTCCAATAAAATGTTGACGTCAATTTTCGACATCCAGAAGTAACTGGGCATTCTCCACCTGCATTCAATTATTTAAAAACTCCTTCAGACCCACCCACCCCCAAACGAAAACTTTCCGTTTTGAAAATACTATTGGTAACCTTGGACGCCCCCTCATGCTCTGCCTAAATTCCGCAATAAACTAAACCAGGAAGTGTGTTTAGTACTGTTGATATATATATAGTGCTGGTTGGATTCTATGTATGCGCAAGCTGTTGCCGACCAAGACAGATTTTTCTTGTATCCGACGTGTGTTCTGTTGGTCTCTAGGCGTCTGACATACCATGTGGAGGCGTACACAAAGCTGGCCAGGGAAGCTATGGACGCGTAAGCCACCTCTCATTGCTATCCCCATGTGCCCCCAGATCACCAGCACACGAAATTCACATAACTTGTCAATGACCGGCGTTACCTGCATGTTCATGCAATTTGCCAGTGACGATCCAATAAGAAAACAGATCTTACCAGTGCCTTCTGTCGCGGCGCGACATTTGATAGCAGGTGTAAGTGATAGCCCAATCAACAGCATGGTACCTTTCGTTACAATATCCATTATTAGCTATTTTCAAGCTAACCTATCTGGACTAAGTATTGTTTCTACCGGCAGCACGGAGGGCGTGAATGACTCTGCACGTTACTAACATTACTAAGTGGGTATAAGGACTAAGATTTCCATCACTGCCCTTAGCTAAGGCTGCTCTAGTAGCATACTGGTATACAGCGAGACTTCAGATCTATATCACTCCCCGTGTGCTTTTGTGTGAGTATGTTTGTATCCATGCAGTACATAATGCATCTTGCATGTGAGTGTGTGTATAATGTAAGTACGCGCACCTGCACACATTACATTATTCAATGACTTGTATACTTTTTTGTGTCCTTACAGATGGCACATAGTGGAGCAGGAAGCCGAGCATAAGCGTGTCGATCACTGCGGAAGCATACAGCTCACAGAGAAAGGCAGTCCATTCATGGTTGACACGGTGCAGGCAGCCATCAAACAAGGCATGAAGTGAGTGAAGCAATAATACCAACTGACCAGGGATGTCATTACTGTCCATAGTTAGTACCTGGTCCGCCAAGTTAAAATTGGCGCTTATCTCCTCACTTGGTTTTTCGGTGTTCTGCCTGTGTCACACGGCATGGAACCACCAATTCACCATCCAAATATAACCATTGACCATTGCATCCGACGACATGGCAGCACAAACCATCACAGAAGTTGCGATCGGTTCGTTTGAGTCCTTTTGACGGAGCTGCCGCCGACGAACAATTCCTTCAGCGCAAGAAAACACTGCAACCTCCGCTCGAGTCCGTAAAATAGGTCAGGATGTTCGCATTTCGGAGCCATTTGGAATACAGTTTCTGTCTACTTCCAGCTGTCTGATGGCAAGGATTGTTTACCCCGGGGAGGTATAGAAAAGCTGAAAAAGCGCTTCGCGAGCTTGAATTTCAGTGCTTGCACAGTACAGCGCCTAGTGAAAGGTTATCACCAGCAAATCGCTGCCGAAGAACCTGCAGTTCATGTTGACATCTCCAGAAAGTGAGACCAATCCAATGGACACACTTTGAAGCTCACAGAGGACAGAGCAAAGGAGCTAATCAAAATAAACACCAAGTGCTGAGGGAAGCACTCGTGCAAGGGACTTTCAGGAAGCTAGCCGAAAAGCCTGGTGCACGGCGTTAGGACTTAGGTGCAGTACGCACAGGTGCTACATCAATCGGAAGCTATTACTGCGCTGCATATCCAAGCACCAGCGGCTCGCGTGGGTGCTCATCAGCAAGTTCGACAAGCGCAAGAGGTGATTTGAAAAAAGGACACTGATGTGGCGTTGCCGTTTTGTCTCAAACAAAGTCGCATTATTGCGACGAACGGGGATAACACTTACCGCCAACATGCGGGCAGTCTCACTCAGCTTCTGTTCGGCAAGGTGACAGGCACGCACGGCCTTTGAGCGTGATTCGAGACAAGGAGAAGTGGAACAAGCTATGAAATGTGCAGCAGCTGTCCGGATCGAACGTTTTGGGCTCTTCCGGCAGCGACGATAGTGGCGAGGAGGATGTGTAACTTGCTTGAATTTTTGACTGAGTTTGCTTACTGACATGTAAATAATCATGTACATAGTGCTTTGTGATCATGGCTTGCTTCAAATATTCGTATTTCCTTCCTGAAACAAGTGTGAAGATAAGCGCCAATTGTAACTGGGCAGACCAAGTAGTAGATAATGACTTGGCACCTAGTCCAAACTACTCTGCGGGTGTGGGGAACTGATTGGCAATGTGCTCGTGTAACACATTGAACAATTTCCTTGGAGACAAGGATGAAATTCTACGAAGTAGGACACACTTTAGGCTCTTGAACATTTTGAAAGTTTTCACTAGTATACTTTCATGCCTTATCATTAGGTGAAATACAGATTTGAGATTTGATGCTTTTGTTTAGGCTCTTCTTCCTTGTGCTGTTTCTATCACCTCTTTGCTGCATTTAATCCATTGTCCATATTCATTTGATTTTGCCTCTATTTCACCTGATGATAAGGCATGAAAGTATACCAGTGAACATTTTCAACATGTTTAAGAGCCCGAAGTGTATCCTACTTCTAATTAGCATCCCCCCACCTCACAACAGAGCAACCGAGTTTTGGATTAAGCTGGGAGTGCCGATTTGAGCAACTGGTATGATGGCTCTGCTTGGAGCCGCTAGACGGCTCGCAGCTGAGCCAGCAAATGACTCCGCTTGGAGCAGCCGAATGACTCCGCATGGAGCCGGCGAATGACTCCGCATGGAGCCGGCGAATGACTCCGCATGGAGCCGCTGAATGACTCCGCATGGAGCCGCTGAATGACTCCGCATGAAGCTGCCAAATGACTCCGCATGGAGCCGCCAATGACTCCGCATGGAGCCGCCAATGACTCTGAGTAGAGCCGCCAAATGCTAAATATATTAGAGATGCATAACCAGTTGAGAGCATATATTCTCATGGACTATACAGATACCGTCATGTGTTCGCGAGAAACATGAGTTGAGCTAGTGGGTGGGAGGGTGGGAAGGAAATTGTTTGGGAACACATGTTCCGCAAGTTGCACGCTCGAAAGTCCAAACAGCAATGACATGCAAGAGACATTGTACAGGAATTTGAAGGGCGCGTGCCCACGTGACTCGCGCATGCGCGCAGGTCGGGCAAGCTCGCTGGGCTGGCTGCTAACTCGCGTTAGCATGCTAATGCTCATGTATTATAGTAACACGTTGACTTGTTGTTTGAAGGTACGAACACCTGACTGGCAGCGAGTTTAACCGACGCTACCCACAGTTCAACGTGGACGACTCCGTTGAGGCTCTGATCGATCCCGAAGGTGGCTTGGTGGATGCTGCACAGGCTAATGCTGTTCACGTAGCGCTGGCTCGGCAGCGTGGAGCAACGGTTGTTGACAAGTGCAAGGTCAGAACCAGTTACTAGTACTGGTTAACGACTGCTGCTGTATAATGTGGTCACTGCATCACACAATTCCTTCATCTCCCTTGAGAACTAGATGTCTAGTAAAAGCATTGCTCTGTCCATGATGTCTAGTCAGATGATGCTCTGTACATGGTCGACCATTTCAAATGCAACACCCACATACGTGATACTCGTGAAAGTTGACGGGTATATACTGTATAGCAGGAAATTTTCGGACGGAATATATTTTCGTACGATTTCGTACACGGCCTTTTTGTACTAAAATTAATTCCGTACTAATTTCATGTGACTTTATGTGCACTGTACATGGTTACTGGTTGCGGACATGTCCGCAACCAGTAACCATGTACAGTGCACATAAAGTCACTGTACGAAAATAAAATCCGTACGAATGGTCGAAATTTGGCTTTGTCCGAAAATATTTCCGTCCGAAAATTTCCTGCTATACAGTAGGTAACTCCATAAGCAGGACATGGTGTGGGTACACGCATATGGCTTATGACGGACGAGAGATGGCAAATCTCGCACTAGTTTTGATATTTGTTTGTTCCTTGTCATGATCGGGGTATGGTGCGCACCTGAGTTTTTGAGACGGAAATAGCACATCTAAAAGGTCCAGTTTCCTCTGCAAATATGTGACATAGCTGCACGGTGGAGTGGAGCAGGAGATAAGAAAAAGTAAAGAGAACATTGTGAAAAAAAGAAGAAAAAAAGTAAATTATCGTATCCGTTCCCGAAGGGAACTCACGACGGCCGCTAACACCCGATAAACCCTAGCTGACATTGTGAAAGGGAATAGAATATAGCATGCTAGGCAAAAAGATGCTGGATGGACCAGAGCTTGTCACCCCAAATCGGATCCGTACTACAAACCATTGAAGGTTTTGAAGTGGTTTGGGTGAGGTCATTGGTCTAGCAGATTGGTAGGTAATATTATTCCAGAGCGCCTTGGAATATACCTGTCAACCTGGTAAACCAACCGCCTCATCCAAGTAAGTGGCGACGATTGATACAAGTCCAATAGATGATTGGAAGTAAGCAGTGGTAATACCCCAGAGGAACCTCGCCTGGGTAGTCACGGCAACAGAGGCATCATGGCCGATCAAGGAGAGCCTCAAACTCAGCACGCTTGAATGCAAAGATTGGGCTCATGTCTGTGATGTCTAAGAAGATAATTAATGACGCATGCCCGAATCCTTGCAGGTGCTGCAGCAGTTCCTCGTTGTGTATATCTGAGGCATCATGCCTCTCTTGTTCAATGAAGTGCCTGATAATCAGGTAGTCTGCAAGAAGCCTCAGTGCTATAGTTTTGGCGCGGAATGTTCTGGGGTTCAGTGAGATTATCCATCTTCGGTACTTGTCCAGGCAGAAATCTGGATGGTCCCAGGGATTGTACTTGTCAGATGCTAATCTGGCGACTTCATCAGAAGCCGCAGCAGTTGCGCTGTGGCTATCACAAGGGCTGGCAGTACAGAGGACCCGGTCTGGAGACCCCAGCATTGCCTGATACAGATCTTTGGCACTGGCTATCTTGGGAAGGATGTTATCCACTAGTGCCTAGTAGTGTTAGCACCACACTGTCAGGCGAGTTGGAAATCGACCCACGAAACAGATCGGCGGCCATCTTGGACTGGTTATTCCGCAGACAATCATCCACTTCGTCCAGGAAGGAAGTTGTCCCCTGGAACCTCACTATAATCATAGGTTGCATCCAGCAAATGTTTGAGCAAGGATGTTTTGGCTGACCCCTTGTTAACTTTTGACCAAAGAGCTCGGCGACGAAAACAATCTTCTTGACCGTAGGGCAACCGTGACAGCGATGCATGGCATCTGTGCAAATTCGTACAGGCTGACCACTTGGATGGGTGACTACCAAAATCCATCGCAGTTCCCATATTGAGCAAAACTCCGAATGAATCACGGCGGGATTTTTGGAACCTTTTTGTTGTTGCCTTTCACCATTGACAGCACCAAAATTCATCATGCATGACGTATCTATGCTAACTCTATCATTGCAAATTGCTGTTTCCTCATGAACCATGCAATTCAATAGTAGCACAAACATCAGGCTCTTGAACAACATGGCTTTGGTTCATGGTCTTCATGTTTTCCTCGTGAACCAGTTCTATTCCTTGATCTTCATTGCATTCAATCCCAGGTGTTCAGAATACAGCAGCAGAGTGCCTCACAGTTGTATGAGATTTCAACATCTTGTGGCAAGGTCACCGCCGATAAGATCATTGTCACTGCAGGTGCATGGGCAAACCAGGTGAGCAGCTCTATCGTTGTGAATTTTACTCTTTTTTTTACTTCAAAAACACTGCCCCGCCGGAAAAGGGGAAACGGAAGAACATGAAAAGGACAATAAAGAACAATGGGAAGGTGGGTGCTACAGGGTAGACGTGTAGGTGAGTCTGGACGCACTCCACCGACCATTGGTCTCAGCATCAGCATGCCACCAAAGCACCAGAGAAAGGGGGCATGCGCCCCACACGATGCTTGTAGACGGCACCAGCACATAAACACCAGCACGAATAGTTCCCCGTCCACACTCCATTAAAGGGAGTAGTGTTAACCCTGACAAGTCTCGCCTCGGTCCATAAGATGACAGGATTTCATGAGAGGAACACAACCTTGTGTAGTGTGGCTTAACTGTGTCTGCAAGTGTTGTGCGGTGTCGTTTGGTCAAATGAAGAGCCTAGTACTGTAAAAGCCATTATACTAACGAGCTGCAAATATCACGATTTTCTAAAATGGACCGGTTTACATGCACCCGAATGTAACGATTCTCACTCATTCTCAACGCTCACTAGCAACAGTGTAAGTATCGATTTCTGTGTAAAGTTTTCTATTATAGCGACAGATTTATCCTCGTTAAAGGGGAACTCCACGAAAAAATGAAACTTTGATAGCCTGTAGAGTTTCGGGCGCTGAGTCGAATGGTCTTGGTCCGAAGTCTCTACGACGAAGCGTTCTTGAGATATTTCACTTTGAAATTGCAAAAACGGGGGCCGCGCCCTGACGTCATGCGGCCATTTGGTTACATCATCACGGGCTGCCTACGTCATTGTGGCAAAGTCGTTTCTCTTCGCCAGTCTACAAGCACTAATTTTAGTTGGTACTTCAAGGGAAGATGGGCGATTCCGAACAATCCTCTGTCCCCAGCAATGAAGGCAGCGATGCTGAGGCCAGTGAGGACGACCAACAACCCACCGCCGCGTATGGTTGGGGCAGGGAGCCCAGATACTCTGCTGAGGAGCTGCCATCGCGTGTAACAAATGTGGAGGAAGAAGATGCGTCAGCAGCTGCGTCCGACAGAAGACGAGTAGCTTGGCCACCAGAATCTCGATTCGTTTGGGACTCCGACTGGTGCGAGCGTGGACAAAAGTGTATAGCCATGCCCAGCCCGCGGGAATGATTTTGCTGGTAGGATGCTGCCGTCGACGCCGTCGACCGTCCCTGTCGACAAGACGGCCCAAGGTTTCTTGCGTAGCGGACCTCGCAGATTACGAGATCGTATCCTTGCATTAGGCTGTGCTCATCACTGCTCTTCGAGGTTATCTCTACATGCAGAAGCCGCCAATGCCAGTGACAGAAGAGTCTGACATTAGGTAAGCCTCAATTAGTTTGCCTTGACTTGTCTTGTGAGGATCGCGTATCAGCATGATACACTTATTCTTATTTTTTGGGGGAAATTTATTGTTGTCAGGCGCACTACAGTAGGCGTCGCACAAGAAAGACATTGTACTGGTAGTTATCACAAGTTTCATGCATGACACAAACAAATTTCTCTTTGCTCCGAGTATGTCTTGACTTATCTTGTGAGGATCGATGCGCGTAATGTTTTGTGTGTAACTAATTATTGTTGTCAGGCATAGCACGAACAACGTTGTTCTGTACTATAGACCGTGCTATCACAAGTTTTCATGCATGACTCACATTTGTCTTTGTCATTTTCCCTTGGATTGGTGCAAGATCTACAAAGTATGGTAGGTAGTGTTCTGTTGGTGAAGAGAGCACTGCACACAGTTTATGAGCACCATGGGTGCATTTGATCACACCCGAACCCATACTTTATCGTTTCAAGCGATAGACTTTGTCAATAAACTCGTTTTCTAGTATACCATGGCATGCAACGTACAAGCGTGGGGTCAAGAAAGCGTACACCAAAATAATGCACAAATTCTGGCAGGAGAGTAAGAAATCTGTACTTTCTGACCAAGATATCTCTGTACTAGTAGGTAATCGAACACGTCCTAATCAGTATTCATCCCCCAGATCATTGGAATTCAATTTGAAATCAGCAATTATGGTAAATTCTACAAGACCCTCCATCTTTGTACCAGTGGACGCTAAATTAGTATGGCGCGCGCACTGAAAGTGCAGGTAGGTACCGGTAGGTGCAATACAGCGCATATGTAGAGTAAATGAGTATTTGACTATAATAATTATTACGGTACAGCAATGTGGTATGTGTACAAGCACTCATCATACACATTCCATATGACATTCTGTGTTTGTGTAGATCTCTACGCTATGCGGCACACAGGCAGTACACACTATGTACACGGCAAATTGGGCAAGCACGTTCGTTGTCGTCTTCCAGCCTGCGTTGTGAATACCATCAGGCAAAGATATCCAAATCCTGCACCACCTCAGCCTTCTCAGGAGGCTTCCACCTGGAATTTGGCAGGGAAACACGCTTCTCCAAGGCAGGAACATGGAGGTTGCCATTTGCAACCGCTACCACCTCACACATGAGCTTGTCAACATACTCATAGCTCTTTCTGTCGTATAATTTTCTATTTGGCCACAGTCTTCTTTATGCTTTGAGAACTGGACTTTATACCTTCCTATCGCGGTCTTTTTGGTTGTGCTGTGGCGACGGTTGACATTGACGTCGTCAAGAGCTGCGAGATGTGCGTGTCCAATCATCCCCAGAATTGAGAAACGAATGCGTTTGAGAATGTAGTTTGGCATGACACTGTGATATACCTGCATGGCAAAAAGAATGTGGAGAAAACACACTTGCTTAGACAATATACTGCTGTATGAGAAAATGGAAACTTCACCGTACAGGACGACTCTTGTTCTCAATTGCATTGTTCGTTTCATTCCCTGTGTTGCCCATAAGAGACGGGAGCAAAAAATGTTGCAGCAGATGTTTGTTGTCTTCTGGCGTGGAGTGGCGGCGTCATTAGATGTACACATAGTCATTTCACTAAGTATACCACTACTACAGCATAATATGTACTATCCTTAGGCTAGCGTGCTTGCGAGTGAGTTTGAGTATGTGGGTGCGTATGTGTGTGTGTTGTTGTGTTTGTGTGTGTGCACGCACACGTATGTGGGTGATGGTGTGAGTGCATGTGTATAATATGTGTAGTTCCCACTGTATTCCTTGCACAATAGGTCTTCACTTACTTTTCTTTCGCATACAACCAGAACCCATTCCTTGTTCGAAATTAGATTTTTTTTGGCCTGGTGATCCCGCAAGCGTGGAACTCGGAGTGTAATATATTTTTGTTTCACTTTACTTGCACTATTCCAAGGCTGTCCAGACTTCTAACAACTGCTCTGAGTGATATGGTATTCATGCAACCATGCCTAGAAGTAGGGTAGCTGTTATAAATAGAGACATATCCACGCAATCAACTTACACTGGTTCAGTTTGGCAGGATTGGTGAGACAGTTCGTCGTGCATGCTGCCTGCACATCTCAAGCAAACAGTTCTGTAACCTTCGTACTTGCTGGAGGTCTGTCTGTTTGCGTCCCAGTTGATGACAGATGTGCACAGTTTGAGTACTGGTATGCGCAAAGTTACTGGGGTAATATCGTTCATCAGCTAGCTGCAGTCGGAGTTGATGGGGTGATGTACTCTTCTGATCCTGATGGGACGTATCTCGCCCTGCTTTCTCAGTTGCAGCTTGTTGAGTTCGCTTTGCTGGAGGCTCACGGTTCGGAGGGCACTGGTACACTGATGAGGGCTTTCCTGGACGGCGTACTCGTCAAAACTCAGCTCTCAAGCCCCTCTGGATCATAAATGCAGCGAGCAAACATAGCTCGTGCTGCGAAAATAGGCTTGAAATTTTCACGACGCATTGCAACATCTCGGCGCTTTGCCAGGTCTCCATCCTTTGGGAATTTGAGAAAACTAACCCCAGGAGGATGATGTGATACTGGCACAATCAACAACACAACAAGTTGGCATTGCAGCGGCTCAGGCGACTTGGCAAACTACTTTCTGAAGTGACTTTCGTCCTGAAGAAAGTGAGATTCAAAATCCAAGTATTTTCGCACATTGCCACAATGACGTCACACATACATTGGTATGGGGCGTGGCTAAAATTGAAATATCTCAAGAACGCTTTCTCGTAGAGACTTCAGACCAAGACCATTCGACTCAGCGCCCGAAACTCTACAGGCTATCAAATTTTCATTTTTTCGTGGAGTTCCCCTTTAACTCGTTAGATCTAGCACTTCGATATAATTATTATATAAGGCTTTTACAGTACTTCTTTTCTGCACTGCTTTTCCACGCAACCCACTCTCTTGTACAGGTCCTGGGAAATTTTGGAGTTCACATCCCGCTGACCATTACGCAAGAACAGGTTCAGTATTACGCCACACCGCACATCCAGGACTTCCTGCCGGCAAAGTAAGAACAGTTGGGACTACCGCCCCGCATTCCCCTGGTCATGAATGCCATGGTCTCCGTTGTGCTCCTCTGGCACAGTACAACAAATTTTAACATGAGTAATAGCATGCACACTTCACTCTACATCACATACATGTAACAGTAGAACCTGGTTTAAGCGACCACCCCACGGTGCAAGCAAAAGCGGTCGTTAAAGTCGGGTGGTGGTCTTTAGAACCAGGTCCCACAGTGTCTGTGTAGAACTGTCGGTGCATGGAAAAACGGTCGCTAAACCCAGAGGTCGCTTACACCGGGTTTTACTGTACTCTTCTTTGACTGCGTTGCCTTTTGTGAAACGATACGATTCGTAATTGGGGAAATGCGGTATGCTGTATGATTCACCTGAGAAGCAGACATTCTCTAGGAATGTCCAGCCACCCGTACCAACACTATCCTGACAACTGAAGTGTGTGTGATTCATAGAGAGGCACTACATTGGTAAGGTTCACTGCATCGCTCGGGACCTTTTAAAACTCCACTACAGCAACTCTGCTTATTGCTACAGTGCATTGTACCGGTATATGCAGTGAGTGTTCTGCACAACGCACACACGTTGAAGTATCTCTGAGGGCAACTGAGTTATTTGTATAGGCAAAGTAAGGTGCCGCGGCATGTCCAGGACTGTGCATGTACAGTCAAAGCCAAATGGCAAGGATATCCTATGCAGATCCTAAAAAAAGTCCAGTACTTTGCATCCGAATATGTGCTATATTCTTGGTGTGCCGTGCTGAAGCTTGTCTCACCCGCCCGACATGTTCATTCTTGCAGATTTCCCGTCTGGATCTGGGTGCATGACAATTTGATCTTTTACGGCCTGCCCATCCATGGTATCATGGGTGTCAAGATTGCCATCGACTGTGGTGGTGCAGCAGTCACAGCCGACCAGAGGAGCTTCACACCAGACAAGCTCAACACAGAGAAGACAGATGAGTTTGTTAAGAAGTTCTTTCCAAAGGTGAGCAGAGGTAACATTTTCTTACATGTACGAGCACATGTTCATTCCAACTGATTAAATTTTCATCGATGGCACCTCACCATGACTGCTCTCTCCAGCCGACCTCTACATGTTGACACAGCACCATCGGCAACGCGACACATCTGTTGGTACTCCATTCTTTCATACAGCTGGATAATCGTAGTGAACTAAGCTTTTCCTATAGCCATCTAGGCTTGAAACCCAATTTTAACTTCTGCTATTCGGGGATTGGACCTGCAATCGAATCGAGTGCACTAATAGAGATTGCATCATCCCGAACCTGTCCGTATTGTGTGAAACAAGGCCGAACATTTTTAAATTCTTTATCATGGCTTTAGTGAAACTAGTTATACCAGGTACTTCAATCCCAGTGTAAGAGGATACATTTAGGCATACACAGTACTGGTCTAAAACACAGACATGCACGGTATGGTACATATCTTTACTTATAAAGAAGAGGCACCTGTGACGTGTGTGTGTGTGTGTCACGCTCAGGCCATGCTGCGGAGCAGCGCTGCCCTGAGCACGCGAAGCGTGCGAACAGTGTAGCTAGCGGCCGCAGAAGCACTGAGCACGCGAAGCTTCGCGTGCGAATCGTGTAGCTAGCGGAAGCAGCCACAGAAGCACTGAGCATGCGAAGCGTGCGAATCGTGTAGCCACCACCACGTGCTGAGTGTAGGTAGCAGACACGATCAGTACGAGTAGCAGTAGCAGCCGCGCGCAGAAGCACTGAGCATGCTTCGCGTGCGAATCATGTAGCCACCTAGCCTAGGCCATAGGTAGCACTAGCAGCCGCACAAGCGCTGCGGACCACGTGAACCGTTCTCTGCAAATAGAAACATCTGCAACAAAAGGATACAAAAGATCTGCACTGACTGCACTCTGCATCTGATCTGCAGTGAAGAGCGCATCGCACTTTTGTTCGTAAGTTTATGAATTTTTTGAGCCGCTTCATCCGCCACCAGGTGATGGACAACCCTGACCAGCCTCCCGAAGGCGTAACAGACGTCCCTCCTTCTCCTTCCAACGATGAAGAACCTCCCTCACCAGGACTTCAGCGGTCTGGCCACCACCACGTGCTGAGCACGTGTGCTGTTCATGTACTTGCTTCACCCGCATGCCACATTCGGCCAGGCAACGCTGGCCGGGGGTGCTGCTAGTAGGGTATAAACCATGTACTTTTGGTAACTCACCGGTACTGAGTGCCACTAGAAGGAGAACCGAATTGGAAACAAAATATAATTTAATGTAAGACAGACCGAAAGGGAAGTGTAAGGATCTGAGCAAGTGTAAAGACCACTCTTTTCGGATAGGTACTGATTCGATTTGATTGCTACACAACAATCTGCTGATCCATGTACACTCAAGCCTATTTGTCCGTATTGTTGCATTTTTGCCTTGTCCGCAGGCATACGGCCCGAAGGCCCTGGTTAAGACATGCCTCTACACAATGCCACCGGATCGTAACTTTGTCGTGGACACCCTGGCTGGATACGGGCACCCGAATGTGTCAGTCTGTGTTGGTGGTGGACATGCCTTCAAGTAAGTGCACAACCTGCTGGGCATAGCAACTGTGTACATGTGTACAGGACTGTACTCGTCTAGCATACATGCTGATAGTAGTCTTCTACTAACCGTGACTACCAATTTGCCAGTCGACCTTGAAGAGAGCTACATTATGGATCAGATGCTACCGTAAACATACTCCATCTGGCAGCAGGTTTGATGCTGATTATAGGCAACTTGCAAAACCATTCCTTGCTCATCTTCGAAGGTTTCTGCATTTATTGTTAACGATTTACAGAAAAACCAGGGTATAGCGGCCGCCTAAATTTAAAGGGGAAATCCGGTGAAAAATTTAAATTTCAGGGTCGGTAGAGTTTCGGGCGCTGAGTCGAATGGTGTTGGTCCCACGTGTCTCCGACAAAGCGTTCTCGAGATATTTCCGTTTGAAAAACTGAGTTTCGGGGGCTGCGCCATGACGTCATGCGGCCGCGCCACACCCTCTGCAACGTCATAGCGTGCAGCTAGGTCAAAAGGAGTGCGTGAAAGCAATAGTGTCAGTGCTATTTCAAATGATTTGGCGACTGATATTAGGTGGTGCAAGCGACCCCGAAGACCTGTAACTCCTTGTGAGAGTGAGGATGCAGCCATGGCTGACCTTCATGAGTTCGGTCTGGGGCTGAGAACCTCGGTGTTCAGCTGAAGAAATGGCCTCGCGGGCCGGTCAAGAGTGAGCGCTACTGAGTTTCCGACTGATGAAGAAGCAGCAGCTATTGCAGACGAGGCTGATGTAATTATCAGATCGCTGGAGAGCAGGGTCGCCAAAATGGAGAAGAGTGATGCGAGTGCTCTAAATGTTGTTCCATACCGATTAGATTGGCTTAGACTCCAGTAGCCTGCCACATGGCGATGTTTTGGTGCGAACTTGGAATATTTCGGACTACTCAATTGGAGAACAGTGCAGGCTTTTTGAACCACGGTCACGACTCTTCGCTCGCAACGCTATGGAATCTGAAAGTTCTAGGTCCGGGAGCTGTTCGCTGTTTTGTCACTTGTCACGGTTCTGCACTCATCGCTGTAGCATAAAATAATGAGGCGAGAGCGGAAAACTAAAATTTTCTTTCTCAAAGCACAACCACCGGCACCGGCAAGGAGAAACGCACGTTCTCTGACTACATGACTGTACAATACGACTGATACGAGTGTAGTACATGACAAGTTAGTTCGTGTGTTGACTAGTTTTCTGAGTCTTGTGTCAGTTGTGACTCGAGTCTTGTTGTAGTCCAATGTAGATACTACCCCAGTGCGGGAGTAGTTCCGTCTGTGATGAGTTTGTTGACTGCACTACTACTACAGCTAGATAACACACTGCACGTAGAGGCTGACGGAAAAAGTCCAACTCGGAAACGGCTAAAATACTGTATAATCTCGAGGTTTACCGAGCTGAAAATCACAGGGTACGTAGTGTTTGTAACGCTGAATCGAATGGTCTTGGTCCGAAGAAGCTGCGACAAACGGTTCCTCAATCGAACGCGCTCCGAATATGGCCATTTTTGTACACAACTAGATGGTGTGGCTACCTGGCTGCACGCTGTGACGTCATCACCTGGATTTGGGTGATGCGCGCTCAAATTCGCACATGTTCGATTGGGCGTATCTGACGAACCATAAGCCGCAGCCTCCTCGGACAAAGACCATTCGACTCAGCGACCCGAACTCTACGGACTGTAAAATTTAAATTTTTCACCGGACTTCCCCTTTTCATTGCGCCCGCAGTTCTGCATAGAAAATTTTAAACTGGAATAAGCAACCGTCTTCGTCGCTGAAATGCGCTCCGAAGCAAGTGCATGCTGGTAACGGAAGTGACAAGTGACAGTGCAAAGTGTGCTGCCATGCACTTCATGCCCTTGAGTGAGTGAGGTCTGAACACCCATATGGGTGTTTAATCAAAATGAAAGTATTCTGTGCCCAACACATGTGTACATGGATGCGTGTGCAGGGTCCAATATGCTGGTATGGGACTATGTTCTAAAGACCACCTGCTAAAGACCACGTTTGCTCGCACTGTGGGCGATCGTTTAAACCAGGTTTTGCTGTACGTTTTGAGATAATTGAAATTCCAGGTTACCCTGATTTAAAGGTCTTGCATAGAGGTGCATACTGTTTTAAATCCTTCCCTATCAAATAATACATTCTACTGCTACTACTAAATACGGCATGTGAAGTCTGAGAATTGGTGGCATGGCGAAGCTAGTAGCAGCCTGTGCCCATTGGTATTTCGAGTATGTATACTTGGCGAACAGGACATTTTCTAGGCAGTGTGTGACTCGCAGGCTACTCTGACTTGCTCCAGGCATGCACTGACCTAACTGAAGGATTAGACTCCGGTGGGGTGTTGGTGGTATAAGCTTGCACGCATCTCGGCTTAAATATTGCTTCCCGGAACGTACTGGATGGATGCCGGGTAGGAAAGACTGTAGTGTGAACACTATCTGGTTACGTCAACCAATCCTTCTTCCTCACATTGCCCAACTCTGAACAGTGCATTTGCTTGCATTCTGGAATAAGAATGATATGATTGTGTCTAAAGCAGCTTGTGGTATTTCGGTGTCTTTAGATAGATAATTTTAGGATATTAAAATAGATATTGATTATGAGTATGTGTGTGCGTGTGTGTGTGTGTGTGTGTGTGTGTGTGTCATGCACATGCCTATGTTTTCCCCTGTAGATTTGCAAGTGTACTTGGAAAGGTGCTCACTGATTTGTCAACAAAAGGTCGCACTGCAACAGATATTGCACTATTCTCTCTGTATCGTGCAGCACTGACGGACCCCAATTATCCCGATCTCTGCCGACAGTTTGGCATAGAAGATGTGGAAACCAAAAGCAAATTATAAAAATCGCTCCAAATCGTGGCAGCGCAGCAGGCAGGGCTTTAGACGGAAAAATAGTTCCGAGATGCAATAATATGCATTGTTTTAGGTACCTTCTCCCATACCATTTTCTACGTACCTTCTCCCATACCCTTTCCTGCTGGCCTGCATACACCCCGTACTCACCTTTTGATTCTGTTGGCATGGATAGCTACCGCTGCACGCCCATAATTGCCGTAGCTACCCAGCTGATAGCTTTCCTTACCAGCATCTAGCAACTTTTCTCTCTCTCTCTCTCCTCTCTCCTTTCTCTCTCTCTCTCTCTCTCTCTCTCTCTCTCTCTCTCTCTCTCTCTCTCTCTCTCTCTCTCTCTCTCTCTCTCTCTCTCTCTCTCTCTCTCTCTCTCTCTCTCTCTCTCTCTCTATCTCTCTCTCTCTCTCTGCAATTATGGCAGTCAAGTCATATTACCGTGTTACTTTGTGCGATGTAATTATTGCAGTCAAGTTTCAACAACTACAACATCCATTTTCACAATGTTTCCTTTCAGAAAACCTGTTTTATTATTACTAGAATACAAATCACAATTATTTGATACTTGCTTCTTCTACATATTTGAGGATAGATTTTGACGATCAAAGACCTGAAAAACTTGATTGATTTAAGGGAGTTAGCAATGACAACAATTTCATAAAAGTTGGATTTGTTTGGTCTCGGGTATATCACTATATTCTATAAATGGAAGTTGATGAGAGATCTGCCCATCCATTAGGTGTTTGTGGATGCAGCTCGTGGTGTGCTTCCAGGGGTGGAAGTGTGCGTGGGTGTTGCTTGAGGTGTGTGCAGCCTGGGTGTATGTGCTGCCTGAGGTGTGACTGGCGGCAATGCATTGCATCGTGTGGACTGGGTGCAACATGCTGTGACGCCAAACCCTCTCAGATGAGCTGGGATGTGGGCGTAGCCGTGCTCTCCGCAACGTCCTGCTGCTTCTGCTGCACCTGTGCAGAGTAAGGACTAGGTGGCAGGGATACCTCCTGCGGTGGCATGGACGACAGCGGCGTGCGCGTTTAAGACACCAGGGATTCAGAATCATAGCCGCCTTGGAAGTCTTCAAACTCCTCAGAACTGTCCCGATATACATATTCCAAAGCCGACTGGACATCACGCTGCCCTTGCGGGGAGAAGGACTAGGTTGGATGGTAGACTTCGGGTGCACTCACAGTCCGTGGGCTGAGAGACAACCATCCGAAACCGGGCAACCGTTCATGCTCCGCCGAATCTACTGATACTCTGGACGAAGTGGAGCCAATACACTCACAACAATTTGTGCAACAGGCTCCACCGGAAGTGTCTCTTCATCTTGTGTCCTTGGTATCTCCTGGTCAGTGTCGGTGCAACCAGCGTAGCCAGGAACATTAGGATCAGCATCAGTAGCAATATGAACATGCTCACGATCTGCTGGCACATCCAATGAGTCATGTACCAGAGTGCCAACATCACCTTCTGCCACTTGAGAATCACCATATAAGGCATATTGGTGCTGCTCATCATCCGCGGGTGATCGTCGTGGCGATGACCAATCAGAGCTTGTTCGTGATGGTGATGAACCATAAGAGCTTGTTCTTGATGGTGATGAACAGTCAGGGCGGGATTGTGGTGGCATTGGACCAGCGGGGCGTGTTGGCGGTGATGAACGCTCGTTCATGTAGTCAAGGAGCATGCGGGGTGCACCGGGCAGGCCAGGGGCAAGTATGCGAGCCTGCTTCTTTAGACGACGAACAACGCTGAACTTCTTGCGTTGTGCTTTGCGATGTGCGGAAGACAGCACCTCGTAGCTCTCCTTACCAGCATCAGTTTGCTGATCGGCCCTGCCCATCGTCTCCCCCTGTACAGCAACAGGTTTTCCTCTGCCGCCCGGCGGCTTCTTGCAGTGTCGGAACACGGCTTGCCGGTGGCTCTCTTGGTACCGATAATATGTGTAGCAGTGGCGATGCCAGCCTGTCCTTGAACACCACTAATAGTAATAGCAGTAGTAGTATTAGGGTACTGATGTGCGTCGCTAGCGTCCAGCGCATTCTGTCGTCGCAACTTTGGCTTCTTTCTGCCATCCGGTTTGGCACCAGCAAACTAGGGAGGAGTTTCTGGATGTGCTGCACGGGGTACGTCTGGACGTCTGGCTTTCACCCTAGCCTGCTCGGCAGTAACAGGAACTGCTGCGGGTGATTCAGCTGGAGAGCCAGCAGCACCACCCAACACAGGATCTGTGGCGGGTGATTCGGCTGGAGAATCAGCAGCATCATCCGGACCAACACGCTTGAAGGAGGAGTTGATACAGCAGAAGGAGGAGATGTGCGTGTGTTAGGTTTTTCGAGATCAATTACAGCATCGGGAGCTGCTGTGGCTGGAGGCTTATCCTTACTAGCGGCTGCTCTAGATGTTCCGGATTTTACTTGTACATGTGAGTATTTTAGCGGAGTATCTTTTGTTTCAAGTTTGGTGACGTTCACCAAGTTCTGTAGTTGTTCTTTTTTGGCAGAAATTCTTGCTTCTTCTTTGGCTTTAGCAGCAGCTTTGGCTTCAATTGCATTGGAGGACTGGACTCTCTTGCCTGGCGGTGGTTGCTGTGCGGGCTTCACCACCGAGGCTCGGCGAGTCACTTCCTATAAGGCGAGCGGCCGGCTGTCCACCGTGCCGCTGGGCCTGACGATGCTCTTGAGCGGCGGCAGTGACATAGTCATTGGTGGCGTTGCAAACTCCCCCCCCCCCCCCCTCTCTCTCTCTCTCCCAACAATATATCCGGATGTTCCGTTCTTTTTCACTGTTTTCCTTTCTACCATTGCGGTGGATGCTAACTTATCTCCTTTTTTTTACTTGATCCTGGAGACCCCCTAGATAGTCTTTTTGGGAATCCTTAAAAATTACAGAACACATGTACAATAAAAATCGATGAAGAATTGAAGATACATCTGCAAGATCATGTTTGTGAACATTGTTCGAGGATGAATCTGCATGTAAAATGTGGAGAGGTGGAATTTGCAAAATGCTTTGGAGATTCTTCTTGTTCTTTCCATAGACTTCATGTTGTTTTGCTATTTTTAAAGAAAACTCCCTATCCCTATCTACAGTAGGTACACTCAGGCTGCGTTCGTTTTTAACTACCTGGTAGACTAGAGTAGAGTCACTCTACCGATAGAGGTAGATGGTAGAGGTAAGTGCACGAACGCTATTCTACCGGATTTAGTAGTTTACACGATATGTACGCGAAATGTTCCTCTTCTGTATGGAGTTGTGTACAAATCCTTGATCTTGCTGGAAATCCCGTAGCTCTACCAACTTCTACCGGCTTCTACCAACTAATTGGATACGCCTCCAATTATTAGTTTTTCCTTAGCTACATTGTAGTTCTGTCCAAAGATTGAGGAGGCGTTCGTTTTTGATCTACAGGTTTGGGGGGCAACAAGTTGGTGAAGCTTGTACCCGGTACCCGGTGTACACAATGCTGTAAAAAGTGGGTTTTTTGACCTTTACTTCCTGTTTTGCCTTTCGTGGACCAATAAATGGAAGAGTGCGTATTCATTTCTCAGCTTGGGTTCATATCTGAACATATATCATGGCTATGCTTCACTGAAAAATGAGCACTTTTTGCCTGTTTTCACTGAAAAAAGAGCACTTTTTCAGCATATATTGAGGGACGCCAAAAGCACTAAGTGCGAATTAAAAGAGCACCTTTGGGAAGGGGCTATATACGATATATGCTAGGTCACGCAATGATTCCCCGTAAACGTTCAAGGAAATGAACTGCCATAAAAGTGGAAATTCCAATCACACCAGGCCTCCAGGCCGAGATCTTGCTTGTCATGAGCTATGCTCTAACCATCTGAGATACTTGTATAATAGTTATCTTCTCACTTTTCTCTCAGTTCACTTCCCCGGGCCTGATTGTTGACATGATGATAATTGGATCTGAAGTTCTCACAATCCTTTTAAAACAAAAAGGAGATACGATAATTCCCTCCCTTCAAAGTTCAAACCGTGTGGTTGTGAGTCAGTGCTTGATCAAGTTGATCCACATTAGCAGAGATACTTACAACAGAAGCGGAGGAGGAAGAAAGTGTCTTGAGTTTTACGCACAAGTACTCAAGTACTCAAGTAGGCCGGATCATCAGCCAACAGCAGTGTACTACTACAGTATGAGAATAATAATTTGACTTTATAATAATTATTTCCATCTCATCGACATATTGATCAAATTGACGGAGACCGCCATCACGTCAGAGCATCATGCATGATCTTGAAAATAACGCAGCCTTCTCGTTCCAGGCAACAACCGCATGTGTACGAGTACAATCATGTAGATCTACGTTCACTCGCTCTAGCTCTGTAGACTGTATACATGTCATCATCATCATCATCTGCGTTGCCGAAAAAAATAATAAAAGTAAAATTTTAAAAATAATAATAAACGGCATTATGCAGCTGTGTAAGCAGTAGATGCACAGTGCGACTGCCAGGCATCTCTGTCAGATGCCAACTGGCAATTCTCATGCAGAGACATACCAGTCCACGAAACGATGTTGTCAGCAAAGGAAATCTTCGGACGACCACGCTTTCTCTTACCATCCACGACACCAAACATCACGTCACGTACAAGCTCGCAGCCAGATGGGCGGCATGTGTGCCCGAAATAGGTCAGTTTGCGTATCCTGACCCTGGCTAGCAGCTGTCTCTGTACTCCCAACTCCACCAGGATACTGTCATTTGTGCGCTTCTCCATCCAGGATACTCTGAGCAGACGTCGGTAGCACCACATTTCTGCTGCCTGTATTCGTCGTTCATCTGTCTTCCGCAGAGTCCAACTCTCAGCTCCATACAGCAGGACAGACCACACTAAGGCATGCATTATCCGGATTTTCAGCTGTCTGGAGATGTTGTGGTCTTTCCAGATGTCAATTAACTGCAGCATACGCTCTTTCGCCATGGCAATTCTTGACCGAATATCGAGGCTGCAATCACCGTTTGTTGTCTTCCAGGATCCCAGATACTTGAAACTGCTCACCTCTGCAATTCGTTCTTCGTCGACCACAAGGGGCGTTGGAGCAGTATCGTTTGCACCAGCAGTACAGGTTCCGATATGCATGATCTTGGTTTTGGACAGATTCAGTGACAGGCCCTTCTCTCTTCCAGCGTCATTAACAGCATTGGTGAGGGTAGACACTTCTGATGGATGTGCACACAATCCCGTGTCATCTGCATATCGTAGGTTCGACAGCCGGCGTCCTCCGATTCTCACACCGATACTGTCCACATCAGCAACACGCATAACACTCTCAGTGTACAGGCTAAATAGATGTGGGGACAAAATACAGCCCTGCCGAACACCCTTCTTGATGGCGAACTCCGGCGAATGCGAGCCATTCCATCTGATAACTCCGCTAATCCCTGTGTAAAGATTCTGAAGCAAACAAACTATGTGGCGAGGGAAACCAAAATCCAAAAGGCAACCGAAAAGATGTGAGTGGTTAACGATGTCAAAGGCTTTACGATAATCGATAAAAACAATGGATACAGGAGTCTGCCATTCAAGAGATTTTTCGATAATGATTTGCAGAACACAGAGCATATATACAGTACGAGGTGAGTTGCTATTTCTGGACATTGTACATTTCTGGACATTTCGAGTAAAATAATTTTTCGTCGCGTGTAGAGTCAAGTCAGTCAGGTTGATGAAGTTTTTTCTTGTTGTAGTTGACAGCTGGGCTGTTGTAGTTTCTCCTCGTGTCGGTGCCTTGTTGATAGCCTTTTCTTGGGAGGCATTTCAACGAGTTTTGTGGTGACTATGTCGCATGAGAATTTTGAATTTTGAGTAAAATAAGAAGTAGTGGACGAATCGTTGGCTTTCCCATGTGCACTCCACTTCAGACGCTGTATAGTCTTGGACCTGTTGGCTGGAAGTGTGAAGAGGCCAACTGCAGTCCATCAATTGAAAAAATAACAAAAATGGTGCAGTATAGGATGCCTATTGACGCTATTTTACTTTCATGTCCAGAATTCCATACACTGAAATTTAGGCCAAAAAAATGGCCTGTCGAAAACATCCTGCTATAAAGTCTCTGGGATCACAGCATGAGCAATTGTCACATATTTGGAAAGATGAAGGATTAGGCCATACAATAGATACAAAAAGATATGAAAAATGTAAAACACACAGCCAGTGGGCCTCTATTTTATTTTCATGTCCAGAAATTGCTATTCACCTCGTACTGTTTCCTAAAAAAAAAAGGTCAGCGGCACGTCAATCGTCATGTCGTACATCATTGCAGTCATGGCATGTACCGTACAAGTACATTGTACTGTCATGTATGTCTCCGCCGCCGAAGGGTAACACAAAAAAATAATAGGACGAAAACTGCGGACCCGGCCCGTGCGACAGCTCCACAAACTAATGTCAAAAAAGTAATGACAATTAAAATGTTACTTGACGCCATGACTGATGATTGTAGAATTGTACTTTGTAGGTACAATCATGACTGTAGATCTAGAAAGTTAGTACAATGATCCCACGACCAGAGACCAGAGACGGGTGTGAGCTAGGAGGACAGCCTCCGACAGGAGGAGCGACCGAGGTGACACCGCATGGAAAGACAGACGATGTAGATCTACTTACGCAAGTTACGGTATGCAGTCATGGAGCGTGCGCCCCGATGAGAACAGTCAGTTGGTTTAGCTCAGACGAACCAGTTGGCTTTATCCGCTGCTCGCCTTGCGCGCCTTGTTGCTCGTGCTCCGACTCCCTGTCACAGTGGAGCATATAATACCACCTGGCGTCTGCAACAATGTCTTCTCCTACCGGCAGCTGCTCTGAAACGCTTGACGGCCATTACGACTACGTGGTGGTGGGTTGCGGCGGTATTGGCAGCGGAACGCTCTACTGGTTAGCACGGACCTTGGGACAGACGAAACGTAAGTACGCTAAGTCCTGTTGTAGTAGGTCCGTCGTGTTGAGTTTTTTTTTAATGTCCTGGCCGTTTACCTGCCTGTAATGTTGTGCTCTTCTTACTATCTTAGTTTCCCCGCGGCGATAACGAACGCAGTCAGTGCATGCGCGCGACCTATCTGGTGCATGAATCTCGGTGATCTAAATTTCATCAAGCCCTGTACTGCCAATAATATGGAGGCGCGTTCAGTGAAAATAATGTTCTCGAAAACGGCTCTGAACCCCGGCTCGGCATGCCATGGGTTGGTGCCTTGGGCTTGGCATCAATCAGTTCGCAAGTACAGAGGTGTACGAGTACAGTCGTGACAAGGCGCACGGTAAAATAGGATGTGGAATATCCCTGGATTATCGTCCTCGCCGGACACAGACTGTGCAGTGGAGGTGCCTGGCTGACAGGTGGTGGCGTTTTGAAGTCCCATTCATTTACACTTTGAAGGTCCTTGTGAAAAAATGTGTTTTTTTGAGCACCGTGTATTTTTCTTGGTCGGAGCCTAGCCACGCTGGCGTACGAGTCGCACCTCTTTGGTTTAGCCATGTCACAAGTCACTTGCAGAATGCCGTTGAAGCTGGCCAATCTGGCAATCAAGACAAGGCTGGGCTTTCTAGAAGAAATTTTTCCCTTCACAATTCTCACATTATGGCTGTCTTACCTTTTTGCCATCTACCAACCATTTTGTTGCTTGCTCTATGGTAATGACGGCAGAAATAGTTCTATGTATTGCTATTTTAGACTCGGATGGAAAGCCAGGATGAAATTTAAAAGAAAGGACCACAATGTTACATGTTATTTTATTTTTATTTTATTTTATTTATTCACAATCACGTGGCACTAGCCAATGAAATGGTGATGTGGGCGATAGCCAGCCATGGCGATAATACAGCTAGAGGGGGAAAGAAAAAGAATGAAAGGGGAACTGAAAAGCAAAAGAAGCTAGGGCAGGGCTGGATATCAACTAGTATGTTGCATTCTGCAGTAGCTGTGTGAATGTATTGTAACATTGGCAGGATTTTAGATGTTGTGGGAGGAGAGACCAATGGCGGTAAGCAAGGAAGAGAGGAGATGTTTGCATAGAGGCAGACCGCGCAATAGGGAAGCGGAGAGAGTTTCTGGTGCGCATGTCTTGAGATTGAGCAAACCAGCTTAGGCAGGAGAGAGCATGAAGAGGAGCAATGCCCAGCTTAATTTTATGAATTGTCTGGCATGCCAAAAAACGCACGCGGACCGAGAGCGGCACAGCAGAAGCAAGGCGGTATAAGTCTGCGCTTGGAGTCAGGCGAGGAAGCCGAAATAATATTTTCAAAAGACGCCTATGCATAACTTCGAGTCGAGCAATCAGTGTTTTAGAAATGCCAGCCCAAATTATGCAGCAGTAATCAAAAATAGGCAGAATGTAAGATGTGTAGATAACATGGCGACAGTCGGTGTGCAGGTGGGTGATGTGTGATGAGAGAAATCCCATTACTGAGCTAACACGGCTGTCTAAATTTTCGATCTGGGATTTCCAGGTTAAGTGTTGGTCAATAATGACGCCAAGATGCTTGTGTTTTTCAACGATGCAGAGCGGGGTTGTGGTGCCTGGAAAGGTGAAGGGACTGGTTACTAATGAAGATAGGTCACAGGAACAACTGGGGGGGATACACATTACAGCAGTTTTCGAAGAGTTGGGTTGCAATTTCCATTTTTCCATCCAATGAATAACGCCATCTATGTTGGACTGTAACTTGGCACTAGCCTCGGGGAGAGTGGGTGCTGTCACAAGTAGTGCTGTATCATCAGCATATAGTGATGTGTGATCCATTTCTGCCAGATCGTTTACATACATAAGGAAGAGGAGAGGCCCCAGGATTGATCCCTGAGGAACTCCAGACCGTACATGCCCTTTGGCAGACAGAGCAGAGCCAACACGCACCCTTTGCTGTCTGCCCGTCAGGTAAGTACTGAGCCACGTGAAGCAAGTACCATGGATTCCATGGCGGGACAGCTTGTATAGGAGCCCGTGTGTCCATACGGTGTCGAAGGCCTTGCTTAGATCAAAGAAACATAGCATGCTGTAATGGCCGTTCTCACGAACAGAAGACATCGATTGAACAAGTCTGAGAAGCTGCCAGGACGTAGAGTCGCCTTTTCGGAATCCAGACTGGGACGGATGTAGAACAGGAGACAGGTAAGTGTATAAGTGGTTGTACATAATACGTTCACACAGCTTGGAGATTGTTGACAATAACGAAATCGGGCGGTAATTCGATGCATCGAGCTTACTTCCCTTGTTCTTAAAGACCGGAGTTACAATTGCGTGTTTCCAAATAGCAGGGAAAGCACCAGTTGCAAAAGTGAGGTTAAAGATGAGGCTGAGAGGGTATGCAATACTGGAACAAAATAGTTTCAGGAGTTCATGAGAAATACCGTCCGCTCCCGCAGCCTTTCGGGTCTTAAGGTTGCGGATTTGCTTTGCCACAGCAAAAGGCGTGGTGGTGACATCTTGCAACGTAGGTGTAGTTCTTCCACGTGATGGGGCGTCGGGTGGCTTGAAGTCTGGCACATTCCATGAAGGATCATCTTGTGTTCCAAAACCAATAAACTGTTCGTTCAAAGCATCTGCCACATCCACAGGGTCAGAATATAGAGTACCAGCGACTGAGAGCTGAGTTACAGTCGTTCTGCTGTTGCCTTGGGGAGATCGAAGCTTCCGGACAAACTGGAATAAACTTGGTGATGCGGTCTTGCCGTGGATGCACTTAGGGATGAGATGTACAGTCGATGGGCAGTTCGAGACATATTGCGAGTAACGTTTCGCTCTCGTCTGTAAATAGCGAAGTTGTCAGCCGAGGGAAACTTTCGGTAAACACTATACGAATCTCGTTTTTTTCTTTATTTGATGTCGGAGGGTACTGGTCAGCCAGGGGGGGGGGGGGGGGGGGTTCATATGGATACGCTTGACAGCCGGCGGCTTCTGCCTGGGCAGAAATCTTGCACAGATGTTATGGAAGATAGAGTAAAAGTTGTCCACAGATATGTCAGGATCGCGCCTCTCCAGGCTCAAAGCTGCTGGCCAATGTATGTGGGACATGGCAGTATTCATACTCGCGACAGTGTTGCTGTCTAGAGAATCCAAAGAAAATACACTAAAATCAGGGACATCCAGGGGAGTCGAACGGGCATCACGAGAACGGTATGTGGGCATTTCTGGGCAGGGTACAGTACGAATGTGGCCAACCACGATAGAATGATCGGATTGACCTAGTGGTGCTGTAGCACGGAGGCAGGATATAGAGTCCGGTATATCAGTGACAACTAGGTCGAGAGCTGCCCCCATGCCAGACAATGACTCATGTGTTGGAAAATTTACGAGCTGCGTGAGAGAGAACATGCCGAATAGACTGTGAAGCTGGCGACCAGCGGCATCCGTGGTAGTTCCATGCCAATGACATGACTTAGCATTAAAGTCTCCCATCAACATGATAGATGTTGTTCGGTTCTTAAGAGTACTTAGACAGTGCTGGAGGGAATTGCAGAAGGTGTTGATACTTGATGGAGTAAGGGCTGGGGGTCGATATACTGCACCAATAACCAACTTCTTCACATGAGGCGCCTCTGGGGGTTATCTGTAGTTTTTGTCCAGGCACTAAAAGTTATAAGCAACTGAGATGTTGTGTTGTCAGAAGGTGGAAATTTTGCGCATCCAAGACGTGATATAGCTTATCATCAGGTCGTTGAATGTCAGTATCACATCAGTCAGTATTGTACTAGCTGGTGCACCTTCCGACTACACAACATCTTACTTATAACTGTTAGTGTTGGACACAAACTACGGATAACACGTAACATTTTGGTCCTTTCTTTTTAAAATTATTGCTGTAATAAAATTGTAACATGAAAAATCACCATCTGAGCTATAATATTCACAGGTGAGCTATAATAAGTTACCTTTTTCTCATGGACTTTTCCCCTTTTCAACTCCCTCAACGTGTGAATAACAAATGCAAACCACTGTGTGTACATGTTCACTATGGCTTTCTGTCTGGTTCCTATACTGCAGGAATTCTGGGTCTGGAGCAGTTTGAGCTGGGACACTCCAATGGCGGCTCTCAGGATTACTCGCGTATAGTGTACGGGATGGTCAGTATGGGTGTTGTGTTCGATTTCAAGGTTTTTAAACAAGACATTGGTGCTGTCCTGCTTATATTGTTTTAGGAACCTTGGGGGGGCGTTCGGGGTTACCCATTGTGTTTACAAAACGAAAAGTTTTAGTATTGTTCAGCCCCCACCTACCTTTTCTGCCGAGGTGAAATAAATTCCAATAAAATTGAAGTAACTGGGCATTATCCACCTGCACTCAATAATAATTTTCAAAATGAAACTCCTTCAAACCCACCCCCAAACGAAAATTTTTGGTTTTGAAAAAACTATTGGTAACCTTGGATGGCCCCTCATGCTCTGCATAAACACCGTCATAAAACCAAACCAGGGTGTTTAGTTTAGTACTGGTGATAGTGCTGGTTGGATTTAATCTACTTGCGAGCTGTCGAAGACAGATTTTTCTTGTATCCGGCGTGTGTTCTGTTGGTCTCTAGGCGTCTGATGTACCATGTGGAGGCGTACACAAAGCTGGCCAGGGAAGCTATGGACGCGTAAGCCACCTCTCCTTGCTATCCCCATGTACCCCCAGATCACCAGCACACAAAATTCACAAAAAAATGCCAATGACCGACTTTATTTGCATGTTTATGCAATTTGCCAATGACGATCCAACGAGAAAACAGATCTTACCAGTGCCTTCTATCGCGGCGAGGCATTTGATAGCAGGTGTAAGTGATAGCCCAATCAACAGCATGGCACCTTTCGTTACAATATCCATTATTATAGCTATTTTCAAGCTAACCTATCCGGACTTGTTTCTACCGGCGGCACGCCATCGGATGGCGTGAATGACTCTGCACGTTACTAACATGACTAAGTGGGTACAAGGACTGACATTTCCATCACTGCCCTTAGCTAAGGCTGCTCTAGTAGCATACCGGTATACAGCGAGACTTCAGATCTATATCACTCCCCGTGTGCCTTGTGTGAGTATGTTTGTGTCCATGCAGTAAATAATGCATCTTGCATGTGAGTGTGTGTACAATGTAAGTACGCGCACCTGCACACATTACATTATTCAATGACTTGTATACTTTTTTGTGTCCTTACAGATGGCACATAGTGGAGCAGGAAGCCGAGCATAAGCTTGTCGATCACTGCGGAAGCATACAGCTCACAGAGAAAGGCAGTCCGTTCATGGTTGACACGGTGCAGGCAGCCATCAAACAAGGCATGAAGTGAGTGAAGCAATAATACCAACTAAGGCCACACTTTGTTTTTTCTATGTTTCTCGTCGGCAAATTTTAACAAAAGGTATGCAGGCGGGCGGGAAAAAAACAAACAAAAAAACAAGATAAAAACAAGAACGATTTCTACTGAAAACTGTATACATTTTGTATGCGTGATTCATACAAGAAAGTTCGTATACAGACTACTTGAACATCGGCGAGGGTGAGGGAGCCTATGTCCTTTTTCTGCATCGCCTTACTCACTTCAGAATCAGCCATGTGGGCGACGAGGTGATTGCGGATTCGTTCTGACGGCTTGTCGAAACGGCATCTCGCCGCGACAGAGTGGAGTCGGCTTGAGAACGTGGCTATGGACTCACCGGGGAGCTGGCGGAGACGAGCGAACTGCGTCCGTTCGTGGATAACATTGTCCGCAGGTGCAAAGTATTTGTCGAAAGCATCGACCACTTTATCGAAGTCGTCCTTGTCGGAATCCTGGGCGAAGGACAACTCAGGCTGGAAGATATCATCCGCAGTTGGGCCCAGAGAGTATATTAGAGTGGAGATCTGGACTTTTGCAGATTCGGAGGAGAGTTTGGTAGCAATCTGGAAGCGTGAGAAACGGCTTTTCCATCGGGGCCAATTCTCAGGTGCGGAAAAGTCGAAGCTTTCAGGGGGCTGAAATTTCGCCATGGCGAGCGGGTCCGATGGCGAGGGTTCGGGGTACCAGTTCTGACACCAAGTGTTGCATTACTGCAACAGCACTAAGGGTAAATGCCCATGCACACTCTCTCAGTCCAACACGACCATCACACTCCGGTAGGAATTACAAACTATACTTGATGAAGACAGAAGGAGTGGAGAACACAGGGAACAGAGTAGGCATGTAAACAGCACAGGCACGCAACAGTTACCGCTGGTGCATGCGAGGTGCATGTGCGTACGCGAAGGTGTGAAATAGGAAGCGGGGTCAAATTACATATGGATGCACCATGCCAAATATATAGGCACAGGTAGGTGACTGTACAACTACTACGTTGTACAATCATGTAGTCCCATAGTAGATCTACATGATTGCACTACAGACTACGGTATCACATCAGCCCATGGATATCAGGCAAACTCCAACAATGCGAGTATAAAGTTTGACGAGATTGCGAAGAGAACATACATTTATCTGCTATCGCATCAACAAATGCTTTCACACTCGTCATTTTTGGTTTATTATTTCAACGTTCTTGTGTCTGCTTATCAAATTCTTGTCTCCACGCTGCTCATTTTTTCCTCGCCATGCGCCTATTGTTTGGATTTTTTGCCCACGACATCGTTCCACAGATGCCAGTTGCCACGGAACTCGTCCGACTTACAGTATTCCTGGGACCCGGAAAAGCTCAGGCAGTGAACGACTGAAAGCTTCGTTGCGGCAGCCTTCGTCGCAGAGAACGGACGGGGAGTGCTCCTTTGCTGCTGTGGTGCAAACGTTTACGATGTCAATTGACGGATCTAGCTGCTGCAGTGTGTGCAGTGTACATGCACATACACATGTACCGGTACAAGTATGAACTTCGTTTTCTTCCGAAATTTCTCAAAACCTACGAGGGCGGTCACGAGAAACATAGAAAAACAAAGTGTGGCCTAACAAGGGATGTCATTACTGTCCATAGTTAGTATTCGATAATGACTTGGCACCTAGTCCACACTACTCTGCTGGTGTGGGAAACTGATTGGCAATATGCTCCTGTAACACATTGAACAATTTCCCTGGAGACAGGAATGTAATTATACTTCGAAGTAGAACACACTTCAGGCTCTTGAACATTTTGAAAGTTTCATTAGTAAACTTTCATGCCTTATCATTAGGTGAGATTTGAGATTTGATACTGTTTTGGCTCTAAGTCCTATAATAATAATGTTGTTTCTATCACCTCTCTGCTGTATTTAACCCATTGTCCGTGTTCATTTGATTTTTCCTGTATTTCACCTAGGGCATGAAAGTATACTAGTGAAAACTTTCAAAATGTTCAAGAGCCTGAAGTGTGTCCTACTTCTAAGTATAATATTAACACATCGACTTGTTGTTTGAAGGTACGAACACCTGACTGGCAGCGAGTTTAACCGACGCTACCCACAGTTCAAAGTGGACGACTCCGTTGAGGCTCTGATTGATCCCGAAGGTGGCTTGGTGGATGCTGCACAGGCTAATGCTGTTCACGTGGCACTGGCTCGGCAGCGTGGAGCAACGGTTGTTGACAAGTGCAAGGTCAGAACCAGTTACTAGTACTGGTTAACGACTGCTGCTGTATAATGTGGTCACTGCATCACACAATTCCTTCATCTCCCTTGAGAACTAGATGTCTAGTAAAAGCATTGCTCTGTCCATGATGTCTAGTCAGATGATGCTCTGTACATGGTCGACCATTTCAAATTCAACACCCGCGCATACGTGATACTCGTGAAAGTTGACGGTTACATAGCTAACTCCATAAGCAGGACATGTTGTGGGTACATGCATATGACTTATGACAGATGAGAGATGGCAAATCTCGCACTAGTTTTGATATTTTGTGTGTTCCTTGTCATGATCGGGGTATGGTGCGCACCTGAGTTTTTGAGACGGAAATAGCACATCTAAAAGGTCCAGTTTCCTCGGCAAATATGTAACATATGCACGGTGGAGTGGAGCAGGACAGGAGAAAAGAAAAAAAGAATAACGAGAATAGTGTGAAAGGGAATAGGATATAGCATGCTAGGCGAAAAGATGCTGGATGGACCAGAGCTTGTCACCCCAAATCGGATCCTTGCAGACCTTTTCGACTACTTAAAGTACTGCAAACCATTGAAGGTTCTGAGGTGGTTTGGGTGAGGTCATTGGTCTAGCAGATTGGTAGGTAATATTATTCCAGAGAGTGGTGGCGGCGCCTTGGAATATACCGGTCAACCTGGTAAACCAACCGCCTCATCCAAGTAAGTGGCGACGATTGATACAAGTCTAATAGATGATTGGAAGTAAGCAGTGGCAATACCCCAGAGAAACCTCGCCTGGGTAGTCACGGCAACAGTGGCATCATGGCCGATCAAGGAGAGCCTCAAACTCAGCACGCTTGAATGCGAAGATTGGGCTCATGTCTGTCATGATGTCTAAGAAGATGATGAACGATGCATGCCCGAATCCTTGCAGGTGCTGCAGCAGTTCCTCGTTGTGTTCATCTGAGGCATCGTGCCTCTCTTGTTCAATGAAGTGCCTGATAATCAGGTTGTCTGCCAGAAGCCTCAGTGCTATAGTTTTGGCCGGAATGTTCTGGGGTTCAGTGAGATTATCCATCTTCGGTACTTGTCCAGGCAGAAATCTGGATGGTCCCAGGGCCTAGGGATTGTACTTGTCAGGTGCTAATCTGGCGACTTCATCAGAAGCAGCAGTTGCGCTGTGGCTATCACAAGGGCTGGCAGTACAGAGGACCCAGTCTGGAGACTCCAGCATTGCCTGATACAGATCTTTGGCACTGGCTATCTTGGGAAGGATTTTATCCACTAGTGCCTAGTAGTGCTAGCACCACACTGTCAGGCAAGTTGGAAATCGACCCACAAAACAGATTGGTGGCCATTTTGGTCTGGTTTTTCCGCAGACAATCATCCACTTCGTCCAGGAAGGACGTAGTCCCCTGGAACCTCACTATGATCATAGGTTGCATCCAGCAAATGTTTGCAGCAAATGTTCGAGTAAGCATGTTTTGGCTGACACCTTGTTAACTTTTGACCAAAGAGCTCGGCGACGAAAACAATCTTCTTGACCGTAGGGCAACCATGACAGCGATGCATGGCATCTGTGCAAATTCGTGCGCTGACCACTTGGATGGGTGACTACAAAAATCCATCGCAGTTCCCATATTGGCAAAACTCCCAACGAATGAATCACGGCGGGATTTTTGGAACCTTTTTGTTGTAGCCTTTCACCATTGAAAGCACCAACGTTCATCATGCATGACGTGTCTATGCTAACTCTATCATTGCAAATTGCTGTTTCCTCATGAACCATGCAATTCAATAGTAGCACAAACTTCAGGCTCGTCAACAACATGGCTTTGGTTCATGGTCTTTATGTTTTCCTCGTGAACCAGTTCTATTCCTTGATCTTCATTGCATTCAATCCCAGGTGTTCAGAATACAGCAGCAGAGTGCCTCACGGTTGTATGAGATAGCAACATCTTGTGGCAAGGTCACCGCCGATAAGATCATTGTTACTGCAGGTGCATGGGCAAATCAGGTAAGCAGCTCTATAGTTGTGATATTTAATTCTACTTTAAGTATTTATTTTATAGGAAAAAAGGTTTCAGAGCAGACTCGCTCTCTTCTCATTCACTCTGCAAACCCGAACTCATTTCTCAATCAATTATTTCTTTTTTTTTACTTCAAAATTACTGCCCCACCGGGAAAAGGGAAACAGAAGAACATGAAAAGGACAATAGAGAACAATGGGAAGGTGGGTGTCTGAAGGCACTCCACTCACCATTGGTCTCAGCATCAGCATGCCACCAAAGCACCACTGAGAAAAAGGGGACACATAGAAAAAATAGAATAGGCGGATCCGTTCGCATCAGACTATGCTCATGTAGACGGAGAAAGAAGAAGAAAGCAGGAAGAAGAAGGAGAGAAGAGATGCTGGATTAGTTGGCTAATGCACATCAATGTACATCAATGCAACAGGCTCCACCGACGAGCCTCTGATGTTCGGTGTCTTTCAGAGTTATGGGAACGAGCTTGTCAGCTCAAATGCCTTTCTTCTAAATGAAACTGCAAGAAGCCTCACCCTTGCTCCTGATCCATTCACAGTTGTAATAATTATGTTCTTCATTTGACCAGACGAGACCCCACACGATGCTTGTAGATGGCACAGTAGCACGATTAGTTCCCCAGCCACACTCCACTATAGGGAGTAGTGTTAACCCTGACAAGTCTCGCTCCGGTCCATAAGATGACGGGATTTCATGAGAGGAACACAACCTTGTGTAGTGTGGCTTAACTGTTTGTGCTACTGTCTGCAAGTGTTGTGTGGTGTCGTTTGGTCAAATGAAGAACATAGTACTGTAAAAGCCATTATAGTAACGAGCTGCAAATATCACGATTTCCTAAAATGGACCAGTTTACATGTACCCAAATGTAAAGAACTCTTTCTCAACGCTCACTAGCAACACTGTAAGTATCGATTTCTGTATAAAGTTTTCTATTATAGCGACAGATTTATCCTCGTTAACTCGTTAGATCTAGCACTTCGATATAATTATTATATAAGGCTTTTACAGTACTTCTTTTCTGCACTGGTTACTTTTAGAAATTCCCCCGGTCTGCTTTTCCACGCAACCCACTCTCTTGTGCAGGCCCTGGGAAATTTTGGAGTTCACGTCCCGCTGACCATTACGCAAGAACAGGTCCAGTATTACGCCACACCGCACATCCAGGACTTCCTGCCGGCAAAGTAAGAACGGTTGGGACTACTGTCGCGCACTCCCCGGGTCATGAATGCCATGGTCTCCTTTGTGCTCCTCTGTCATAGTAAAACAAATTTTAACATGAGAAATAGCATGCACACTTCACTCTAGATCACATACATGTAACAGGAAAACCTGGATTCAGCGACCACCCCACGGTGCAAGCAAAAGCGGTCGTTAAAGTCGGGTGGTGGTCTTTAGAACCTGGTCCCACAGTGTCTGTGTAGAACTGTCGGTGCATGGAAAAACGGTCACTAAACCCAGAGGTCGCTTACACCAGGTTTTACTGTACTCTTCTTTGACTGCGTTGCCTTTTGTGAAACGATACGATTCGTAATTGGGGAAATGCGGTATGCTGTATGATTCACCTGAGAAGCAGACATTCTCTAGAAATGTCCAGCCACGCGTACCAACACTATCCTAACAACTGAAATGTGTGTGATTTATAGAGATGCGCTACTTTGGCAAGGTTCACTGCATCGTTCATGACCCCTTCTTCTTTTTTTTTTACTACACTACAGCAACTCTGCGTATTGCTACAGTGCATTGTACCGGTATATGCAGTGAGTGTTCTGCACAACGCACACACGTTGAAGTATCTCTGAGGGCAACTGAGTTATTTTTATAGCCAAAGTAAGGTGCCGTGGCATATCCAGGACTGTGCATGTACCCCCAAAGCCAAATGGCAAGGATATCCTATGCAGATACTAAAGAAAGTCCAGTACTTTGCATCTGAAAATGTGTGCTATATATTCTTGGTGTGTCGTGCTGAAGCTTGTCTCACCCGCCCGACATGTTCATTCTTGCAGATTTCCCGTCTGGATCTGGGTGCATGACAATTTGAGTTTCTACGGCCTGCCCATCCATGGTATCATGGGAGTCAAGATTGCCATCGACTGCGGTGGTGCAGCAGTCACAGCCGACCAGAGGAGCTTCACACCAGACAAGCTCAACACAGAGAAGACAGATGAGTTTGTTAAGAAGTTCTTTCCAAAAGTGAGCAGAGGTAACATTTTCTTACATGTACGAGCACATGTACATTCCAACTGAATAAATTTTCATCGATGGCACCTCACCATGACTGCTCTCTCCAGCCGACCTCGACACGTTGACACAGCACCATCGGCAAAGCGGCACATCCGTTGGTACTCCATTCTTTCATACAGCTGGATAATCGTAGTGAATAAAGCTTTTCCTATAGCCATCTAGGCTTTGAAACCCAATTTTAACTTCTGCTATTCGGGGATTGGACCTGCAATCGAGTGCATTAATAGAGATTGCATCATCCCGAACCTGTCCGTATTGTGTGAAACAAGGCCGAACATTTTAAATTCTTTATCATGGCTTAAGTGAAACTAGTACTTCAATCCTGTAAGAGGATACATTTAGGCATACACAGTACTGGTCTAAACACAGACATGCACGGTATGGTACATATAGGGTATAAACCATTTACTTTTGCTAACTCACCAGTACTGAGTGCCACTAGAAGGAGAACCGAATTGGAAACAAAATATAATTTGATGTAAGAGAGACCGAAAGGGAAGTGTAAGGATCCGAGCAAGTGTAAAGATCACTCTTTTCGGATAGGTATTGATTCAATTTGATTGCTACACAACAATCTGCTGATCCATGTACAGTCGTCCCTCTCTAATCCGGCACCTTTTGCTACGGCATTTTCTGCTGGATTAACGAGGGTGCTGGATTAAGAAATCCTGCCCTCTGACCCGGCCCTACCCAATTGCATGCATGTATCATATGTATGTCAAAACGCAGGGTTTTTCCGTGTCGACCCAAGTATTTAGTGCACGGCTTTATATTCTCAATTGTTCTCCGGGAATACACAGTGATAAAGTGATAAAGTAAAACAGAGAACATGTTTACATGTACTCTTGCACACACACGCACACACACACACACCTGAAAATTGGCAGGACACTACTCCTTGCTAAATAAAAATAAGAAAGTATGGTTGACTGCCGTTGTCTCCTGGACAAGCCTAGCCTGGCCTGGCAAGGAGTGCACCTGTACGGTACGCGATTTACGACTGCCGGATTATGAAATCAAACTATGTGCAGTTTGAGCGATTCGTTTCAAAAAGTTACTGCCGGAGGCGGAATTCAAGTGCCGGATTAAGATGTAGGAATTGAACGAAAAAAATCGGTTTCGTCAGAAAGTGCGCCGGTTGGCAAGGGTTCCGGATAAACAAGTGCCGGATTAGAGAGGGACGACTGTACACTCAAGCTTATTTGTCCGTATTGTTGCATTTTTGCCTTGTCCGCAGGCATACGGCCCGAAGGCCCTGGTTAAGACATGCCTCTACACTATGCCACCGGATCGTAACTTTGTCGTGGACACCCTGGCTGGATACGGACACCCGAATGTGTCAGTCTGTGTTGGCGGTGGACATGCCTTCAAGTAAGTGCACAACCTGGTTGGCATAGTAACTGTGTAGAGGGGACGGTTTCAAATAGGACACCGGTTGCAAACCGGAACGGACTCAATATTCACTTTCTCTCTTGGTATTTTGATTAGAAAACATATGTCACAGTGAGACTACTATGTGTTATACTCCGAGCCAAAATTCCATGGCTCTGCGATGACCAGAAGCGCCATATCAAGCAGGTGAGTTTTTGACGTGTTGCTTCGCACTGCGACTTGAGTTTTACGACTTTCGAAAAATCAACTTCTTGTCGCAGGTAAACAGCGGCTCGCCTCTCGCCAATAAAGCACCGCATACCAATCAAAACTAATGGAAGCACACACAAGGCTTATTGTTACTCTATACTGGCCGTCGTGGAGCGATAGCAATTACCTAATTTCAGACCCAGAGTGAATTTGACGTGCACTCTAAAACGTGTCCGGTTTGGAGCCACCTCTGATTTGAACTTTTTTGAAGCGAAAAATTGGGCAACTTGGAGGCAATGGGTCAACACAAAGGAGTGGCTCAGTTCGATTGACTCTGGCCCCAGAGCAAACTTCAACATGCCAGTTTCCTTCCACAAACATATTTCGAGTGAAAAATCAACGCTGATGATCGGTTTGGGTCTATACAAATTTGGCTGTCAAAACGTCCCGGTATCGAGCCGTCTCCTCTACATGTGTACAGGACTGTACTCGTCTAGCATACATACTGATAGTAGTCTTCTACTAACCGTGACTACCAATTTGCTAGCCGACCTTGAAGTGAGCTACATTATGGATCAGATGCTACTGTAAACATTCTCCATCCAGCAGCAGGCTTGATGCTGATTATAGCCGACTTGCAAAACCATTCCTTGCTCATCTTCGAAGGTTTCTGCGTTTATTGTTAACGTTTTCAGTAAAACCAGAGTTAACGGCCAGCGGATTAGCGACCACCTAAATTTAACGACCGTTTTCCATGCTCCCGCAGTTCTGCATAGAAACTTTTAAACTGGAATAAGCAACCGCCTTCGTCGCTGAAATGCGCTCCGAAGCAAGTGCATGCCGGTAACGGAAGTGACAAGTGACAGTGCAAAGTGTGCCACTTCATGCCCTTGAGTGAGTGAGGTGTGAAAACCCATATGGGTGTTTACTGTTTAATCAAAATGAAAGTATTCTGTGCCCAACACATGTGTACATGGATGCGTGTGCAGGGTCCAATATGCTGGTATGGGACTATGTTTTAAAGACCACCTGCTAAAGACCACGTTTACTCGCACTGTGGGCGATCGTTTAAACCAGGTTTGGCTGTTCGCTTTTAGATAATAGAAAATCCAGGTTACCCTGATTTAAAGGTCGTGCATAGAGGTGCATACTATTTTTAATACAGCATGTAAAGTCTGAGAATTGGCGGCATGCCGAAGCTAGTAGTAGCCTGTGCCCATTGTTACTTCGAGTATGTATACTTGGTGAACTGGACATTTTCTAGGCAGTGTGTGACTCGCAGCTCGCAGGCTAATCTGACTTGCTGCAGGCATGCATTGACCTAACTGAAGGATTAGACCCAGGTGGGGCAGGGGTGTATAAGCTTGCATGCATCTCGACTTAAATATTGCTTCCTGGAACGTACTGGATGGATGCCGGGTAGGATAAACTGTAGCGTGAACACTATCTGGTTACATCAACCAATCCTTCTTCTGCTTTGAGAAGCACATTGCCCAACTCTGAACAGTGCATTTGCTTGCATTCTGGAATAAGAATGATATGATTGTGTCTAAAGCAGCTTGTGGTATTTCGGTGTCTTTAGATAGATAATTTTAGGAAACTAAAGTAGATATTGATCATGAGTAAGTTATGTGTATGCATGTGTGTGTGGTATGTGTCATGCACATGTATGTTTTCCACTGTAGATTTGCAAGTGTACTTGGAAAGGTGCTCACTGATTTGTCAACAAAAGGTCGCACTGCAACAGATATTGCACTATTCTCTCTGTATCGTACAGCACTGACGGACCCTAATTATCCCGATCTCTGCCGACAGTTTAGCATAGAAGCTGTGGAAACCAAAAGCAAATTATAAAGATCACTCCAGACTGTGGCAGCGCAGCAGGCAGGGCTTTAGACGGAACAAATAGCTCCGAGATGCAATAATATACATTGTTTTAGGTACCTTCTCCCATACCCTTTTCTACGTTCCTTCTCCCATACCCTTTTCTACGTTCCTTCTCCCATACCCTTTTCAACGTACCTTCCTCCCATACCCTTTTCCTGCTGGCCTGCTGCATACACCCAGTAATCACCTTTTGGTTCTGTTGGCCTGGATAGCTACTTGCATGGCCATAATTGGCAATTATAGCTACCCAGCTGCTTTCCTTACCAGCATCTAGCAACTTTTCTCTCTTTCTTTCTCTCTTTCTTGTCAGACAAAACACTACCTTTCGTTTTGTCTCCCGACTTAAAGAGTTTCAGCAACTCCAACATCCATTTTCACAATCCTTTCAGAAAACCTGTTTTATTATTACTAGAATACGAATCACAATTATTTGATACCTGTTTCTTCTACCTGTTTATTATTACTAGAATACGAATCACAATTATTTGATACCTGTTTCTTCTACATATTTAAGGATAGATTTTGACGATCAAAGACCTGAAAAACTTGAACGATTTGAGGGAGTTGTCAATGACAGCAATTTCCTAAAAGTTGGATTTGTTTGGTCTCGGGTATATCATCACTACATGGAAGTTGATGAGAGATCTGCCCATCCATTTAGGTGTTTCTGGATGCAGCTCGGGGTGTGCTTCCAGGGGTGGAATAGGGCGTGGGTGTTGCTTGAGGTGTGTGCAGCCTGGGTGTATGTGCTGCGTGAGGTGTGACTGGCGGCATTGCATCGTGTGGACTGGGTGCAACATGCTGTGATGCCAAACCCTCTCCGATGAGCTGGGATGTGGGCGTAGCCGTGCTCTCCTCAATGTCCTGCTGCTGCTGCTGCACCTGTGCAGAGTAAGGAGTAGGTGGTAGGGATACCTCTTGCAGTGGCATGGACGACAGCGGCGTGCGAGTTGAAGACACCATGGATTCAGCATCATAACCGCCTTGGAAGTCTTCAAACTCGTCAGAACTGTCCCTATGTACATATTCCAAAGCCGACTGTACATCACGCTGCCCTAGCGGGGTGAAGGACTGGGTTGGGTGGTAGACTTCGGGTGCACTCACAGTCCGTGGGCTGAGAGACTGCCATCCAAAACCGGGCAACCGTTCATGCTCCGCCGAATCTACTGATACTCTGGACGAAGTGGAGCCAAGATACTCGGCAACAATTTGTGCAACAGGCTCCACCGGAAGTGTCTCTTCATCTTGTGTCCTTGGTATCTCCTGGTCAGTGTCGGTGCAGCCAGCGTAGCCAGGAACATTGGGATCAGCATCAGTAGCAATGTGAACATGCTCACGATCAGCATCAGTAGCAATATGAACATGCTCACGATCTGCTGGCACATCCAATAAGTCCTGTACCAGAGTGTCAACACCACACTCCACCACTTGAGAATCACCGTGTTGGTTATGCTCATCATCGGCGCGTGATCGTCGTGGTGATAACCAATCAGAGCTTGTTATTGATGGTGATGAACCATAAGAGCTTGTTCGTGATGGAGATGAACCATCAGGGCGGGATTGTGGTGGCATTAGACCAGCGGGGCGTGTTGGCGGTGATGAACGCTCGTTCATGTAGTCAAGGAGCATGCGGGGTGCACCGGGCAGGCCAGGGGCAAGCAGGCGAGCCTGTTCCTTTAGACGATGAGCAACGCTGAACTTCTTGCGTAGTGTTTTGCGATTTGCGGAGGACAGCACCTCGTAGCTCTCCTTACCAGCATCAGTTTGCTGATCCGCCCTGCCCTTCGTCTCCTCCTGTACAACAGGTTTTCCTCTGCCGTCCGGCGGCTGTCTTGCAGTGTCAGAACGCGGCTTGCCGGTGGCTCTCTTGGTACCAGTGAGCGTAGCAGTGGCGATGCCAGCCTGTCGCTGAACACCACTAGTAGTAGTAGCAGTAGTATTAGGGTACTGATGTGTGTCGCCACCGTCCAGTGCATTCTGCCGCCTCAGCTTTGGCTTCTTTCTGCCATTCGGTTTGGTACCAGCAAACCAGGGAGGAGTTTGTGGATGTGCTGCACGGGGTACGTCTGGACCTCTGGCTTTCACCCTGGCCTGCTCGGCAGTAACAGGATCTACTGCGGGTGATTCAGCTGGAGAGCCAGCAGCACCACCCAACACAGGATCTGTGACGGGTGATTCGGCTGGAGAATCAGCAGTGTCATCATCCAACAAGCTAGTAGGAGGAGTTGATACAGCAGAAGGAGGAGATGAGCATGTGTTAGGTTTTTCGAGATCAATTACAGCATCGGGAGCTGCTGCGCCTGGAGGCTTATCCTTACTAGCAGCTGCTCTAGATGTTCCGGATTTTACATGTGAGTATTTTAGCGGAGTATCTTTTGTTTCAAGTTTGGTGACGTTCATCAAGTTCTGTAGTTGTTCTTTTTTGGCAGAGTTTCTTGCTTCCTCTTTGGCTTGAGCAGCAGCTTTGGCTTCAATTGCATTGGAGGACTGGACTCTCTTGCCTGGCGGTGGCTGCTGTGTGGGCTTCACCACCGAGGCTCGGCGAGTCACTTCCTATAAGGCGAGCGGCCGGCTGTCCACCGTGCCGCTGGGCCTGACGATGCTCTTGAGCGGCGGCAGTGACATTGGTGGCGTTGCAAACGACTCTGCGTACCTGTCAAAGATCTGCGCCTGGGTGGCCGGCTGTGCCTGGCGAACCAGGTCACTGTACTCGTGCCGTAGCCTTGCCAGTTTCTGATAGGTGGTCTTGATAGCCATCTAGATACACACAAATAACACATCAAGAACAGCCCAGAAATACAGGTCATCAAATGCATAAACCGGTATATGCTGCGGCGGTAACCTGGGTTCTGTAGAATCGCTGACTCTCCGAACTTAATTCACATTCGATGCCAGGCTGGCCTGAAGCAGTTTATTTTGCCTGGCCATACCATAGCCTTTTCATTCTTCGTGGAAAATAGCATGGGTGCACAAAACGGCCACAGCAGCAAACATGCATTGCGGGCGCAAGTTGGACCAGCTTGCTGGGCTGCCTGCTAACCTGCATTAGCATTTCAACACCCATCTACAAACTACAGAATTCCACGACCCTTGGAGGTATGTTGCAACAAAGTTTCACTGTAATACCTATTACCTACTGCCCCATAACTGCACACTCCTGCTCACCTCAGAAATGTCAATCTTGCGCTGCCACTGACAGATCTAGACAGGATAGATGAAGAACAAGGACATGATCAACATCAGTACAGGGGAAGATGAGACTAGGGTCTCGGAGTAAGTTAGAAGGGAAATTCTTCATTTGAATAAGCCGATTCGCACCCTGCAGTGTCGCACTGCCGGGCCTATGCCAGAGACATGCCGCGCACTATATACATGGGTAGAGAACATGTGAGTAATGCATGATGCCAATGACAAATGGAAGCCTGATGTACACTCCCTCAAAGACCATTGGAAGTCAATTTCACCACCGCGCTATGTTGGGCTCAATGAAAGAGAATGTACTTGCCACCTGCTCCTTCTCTAATAGTTGAAATGAACAAATAGCCCACCTCCGACTTTCGCCAAGTCTACTGGCAGCTGCTATCGATTTGTTTTCAGGGAAATCCAATACGAGCAATATAGTTCCGCAGTAAATTCCCTGGGCAATACGCAAGTACGCAGGCCAATATCAATTCGAGAGAATGCAGTGAAGAAACCCATTTCTAGTCAATGAAACTTTCCATGGAGGAACCAGGAAAGTGTGCTGTAGATTCAGTCACTTCTATACAATGTCATGTACATGCACATTCCGGCAGCAACGGAGACCCGATCAATTACCTTCTTTTTCAAACTGTACAGATCGGCAGTTGTTTGTATGTAGTCCATCACCTGCGACAGGAACAGCAGATAACAGAGCATAAGGTAACAGTCAAGGTTGTTGGCAAACAACCATGGCAAGTCATCACCATTGGAACATTTGCAAGCTGAACAAAACCGTAGCAGACACTTATTGCTACACAAGGGTTCCTGATGTATTGTATGTTTAGGCGGGCCTGCAGCCTACGGGTTTGATAGGTGATTCCAGGTGACAATAATGTCAAAATAAGCTCAGTTTTCACCCACAAGGTTACTACACTCGCGTACAAGTACAAGTAACACCCAGTTTCACTCACCGGTGGTACTTTGTAGTCATCCTTCAGCTTCTTCAAACGCAAGTTTTCAAACTTTGCCTCCTCGCACTCCTGCAATATGCAAGTCAGCAGCACAACAGCCAATTCAGTATACTACAACAGGTGCACTTCAAAGTAAGAGTTCGTTTCCCAGGCAGAAAGTCTGTTCTTCCCAACACTACTGTCGCAGTGGTCACGACTAAGATTGCTTTATCCCACCAAGCCTCTTCCCCCAGTTAGTCCTTGTAAACATGTTGCCATCACGATGCCAGGAACACGGGCTGGCATTCAGTGTCACCCGGTCACCTTCTGGCCACGGGTAGCAGCTAATACCATACATGTGCCTTTCGGGTAACAACTTGGCAGCCCTGGCAGCCGAACTATCGGCTAAACAGCTTCATTTCCAGTCAGTACCAGTCGCATAACGCAGGAGGTAGGGAATAGAGTTCTTTAACACTACGCAATGAAACCTTTTTAAAATAAGATTTGGCTTCACTGCCGCGTCTTGTTAGATTATCAATTCTATAATAATATTGTAGTAGGAGTGAGTGAGTTTGGCATTTGACCATAGACTTGCTTTAAGTCACAACTTGAAGCATCTAAATGTATAACTGTGAGCTTCTTACCATACATAACTAGGCATCAACGTGCCCCCCCCCCCCCATTAAACTTACCCGAGTTGTGGTCTCCAGTTCTTTGTCAATTTTCCGCAGCATCTCCTCTCGCTGGGATATTGATCCCTTCAAGGCATCGGCCTCCTTCATCACTTTGGACAAGTCATTCTGAAAAAGGGGAAAAATGGAACAGGTGCGCTCCTTTAAGTGTTATGCGATGGGCAGGGTGCACTCCGGGTTCTTGCCTAAATGGGAGGCCAGGTGCATGAAAGGAACAACAGTATTGAGTAACTATCTCCGTTCATCCACAAGAGTAGAGCCACACCATAGGCATACACAGTCTTGCTAATGCCAGATGGGTTGAGTGAGAGAAAAGAGAGGGTAGGGAAGCAGAACTTGAGCAAATCTCTTACACAATACAAGTCAAAACAGCCTAACTACATGATTACTCCTTTACTGAAATGCGGGAGACAGCATAATGTCATGCTTACACCACTATGAAGGGACATGCAATGAATGGCAGCCAGGTTGAAACCCCACACACAATGCAACACCAAACAAAATGGGCTCAGGTGTGCGTAAATTGTGTTGCTTAGACTTTTAGACCAATGTTTGCTCCTCGGTCCCGATTCAAGTTTACGCATGACGCCAGTGATGATAATATCATCACTGGCGTCATGGTGAGAGATCACACCGATATAATGTATATTATAGTATGTGTCATCTCTCACCGCCATGATATATGCTAGGCAATGGAATTTTGATCATTTCATCATAATTTGAGGTGGTTCGCATAGAGTGACATCATCAGCACGGATTCATCACCCCATATGAACATACAGGATGATCTCACATCACCTCTTCAGGCTCAGCTATAAAGATTGCGAAGTTAGCAATCTTCACAGCTGCTTTCTCCTCTAACCACATCACGGCACATCTTCATAACGCAATTGTACACATACTGGTTGTTCATACCACCCTGCTTCACTTGCTTCCAACACTGTACCTGACCACGCCCCTGACACAGATACTGAAGGAAAGTGATACTTGAAACTGATACAAAACCACACGGCAGCTCAGCGCAGAGGGTTCTAGCCAAAGGGGGAGTAGGGGGGCGCAGCGCCCCCTACTCTGTTTGCGCCCCCCCCCCCCCCCCTGTGAAAAATTGCCGCCCCCTGCTCATTTTCCGATTTTCGTGTTTTTCATGCATAGATGGTTCATAAAGGCACATTTGTCTGGGGTGAAGTCAGGGATTCGCCCCATACGTTGCATTTGGCGTGGCAAGACGATATTGGAAAGTGGAAAAATGGGATATAGGGTAACTGTTTCCCATGCCCCCCCCCCCCTACTATTTCGACCTGGCTAGAACCCTGGTACCTGGATGAACAAAATTACTTTCCCAATTAAAATGGGTTACTAATACAGCGTGGAAACACCTACCCTGGATGCTTGCAAGTTTTGCACCGTACTAGCAGCGACGACTTTCAGCTTGAGAATCTGCTGTACACTCTGGTTGATTTGCTCCTGGTAGTCACGGTTCTGGATTTGGAGCTTCTCAAAGTCAACGGCCTTCATGCTCTCTCCAGAATCTTCTTTCTGTCGCGCAGGCATCAGCAAGTCCCCAAAACAGGATAAGAACAATTATTCTGAGACACTGTTGATATGCTGCAACACTACCGGAAATGTGCCAGAATTAGCTGTGCAGTCATTACAATGCACACAGATCAACTTACAAGTCAACCGTTTTTAGGAGGTTTGACTACCAGAGCTATGCTGTATGTGGATGGTAGATAATTGTGTTACATTGACCTCTCACTTCGTATTGGGCATACTTGAGAGTGTTATGGAAGACCATGACACAACAGGTGGCACATCCACCATACATCTGCAATACAGTCATGGCACAGTATATGCACAGTACACTCATCTACAGAACACACATGCAGTCTGTGACATGTTCTCGAACAATTTCTCATATATAAAACTCTATCCAGCGAGTGGCTCACCTGTTGGAGCTGGACGTCAACTTTCATTTTCTGCTGGCGCATTGACGTCAGGTTGAGCTGCAGCTTGGCAATCAGTGTATTCTACGAGAACAGAACACAAATGTGCAGTTATGTATCAGAGGAGACCAGTTGAACCTGTACATGGTGACCGATGGCCTACGTGACCATGCACCCGTCTTCAAAAGAACTCATCAAGGATGTAGCAACTGAACAGGCTCTGGCTAGGCCACTTTGTAGTCGACCAGATCAGCATGCATTGTTGCACAGGAGCCACACAGTAGCACGAGTGCTTGTTACCAGTGTGCATATAGAGGTAATGTGAATGACATAAGCGCGCTGCTGGATGCTTTGTTTTGAGTGGCAAACTGGTGCTTGTGAGGGCAACCCACACAAAGCATCTCAGATGATGATAATAATGACATGATGATGATAATAATGACATGATGATGATAATAATGTCATGATGATGACATGATGATGGCGTATTCACATAACCTCTACATAGAGCTTATGCAAAAGAAATCATAGTGACGAGTCAGCGGACTTCCGGAACCGCTTATTTAAGGGCGCTAAGTCTGCAGCGGAACTGCTTATAGGCGCTATGCTATGTATGCAGAGTAAGTCGCTAGTGCATCGCTGTGCCGTGATTTTGCCAAAGCACCTCAACTGATGATGCAATCGCATAACCTCTTTACCATGTTTGCCGTGATCATGTGTACCACTCACTGAAGCATGGAAAACAGGAGAATGGGTGCTGATGACCTACCCTACCAATGGCAGTGAAATATGCAAGATGTCAGGTGAGCACAGAATGGTAAGATAAGTAACATGAAGAGGAAACTGCCTTTCCCATTCTAGGTTTCCTGTTTGCGTCTTTCCCTCAAACCAGTGAATATTCTAGGTTGCCCTTCCCATTTCATTCTCTCCACTTGAAGTAATGAGCATTCTATCTCAATGTAGAAATTCCTACAACAGATGCGAGGAGATAATAATGACATTGGCAAGACGTGATTGCCTCCTAGACCTTCTAAGAAATCGTCAGGCGAAATTACCGGTCAGTCGGCGACACGCATTTTTCACAAAAATTTGCGTTTCACCTGCTGGGAGAGTATGCGTGTACTCGAGTCTCATCCTGAGCACGTTTTTTTCTTCTTTTTTTCAGCTCCAGTATAGCTGTATTTTTCATTGCAAAGCCGTCCTCGATTGTTGTGTTCGTTGTTCAAACGAAGTGGACATTCAATCATGAAGGCAGAGGACATAGGAGCCTGATTGGAGTTTCTCGTGGCATAAGACAGCCACACAGAGACACTTTGGGATTTTCTGAATATAAAATACCGTACGCACGATGCTGAGATCAATTTGTGCGATATCAAATAATTGTTTATGATCTACCACATCGAGCAGAACGGGATCCAAACACAAGCTTACCGACGGTTAGGCTGCCGACCTGACTGGACAAATGATCCCTGGCTTCACCAGACGCCAGAAGTCGGACACCATGTCTTTTGCCGCGACGTCCATCTCCAAAAAGAACTCCATCTTCGTCGTGAAAAAGGCTTGAAATACTCAATATTCAACCGAGATTCGCGGTCTCACCCTTTCTCAGATCGAATCATTTTTTGTTGTAGCAGTTGCAGGGCAGATCCCCGCCACTACTTCAACAGGCGATGGCTCCAAAGCATGCCTGGAACAAGCCATATCGAGGTTGCAAGCCACCCCTCTCAGCAAAAAATTCGAAGAAATTCGAAATTTCAATGGTGGAAGATATACTATGAAGAGAATTTCAAAAAGTATGTTTCGCGGAGCGATCGCTCAACCTACGTCATTCAAACTTTGCAGGATGGTTCAGACGTACATGCTAGGCATGGAACCACAGGCGATGATGCCATAGCTGACACACAGAGTAACACACACAGCAGATTCGTGTGCACAGATACTAAATTAGTGGACGTCGTCATCTTCTTTCCGCTTATCTCGAATGTACTATGACGTGCTATTTCGCCTGACGGACTGTCCGTGAGTATTCTTTCTGACACCCCTCCAACAGCATTGGACAAATTAGGGCTTCAGCGAACTCAACATTGCAAATGCGGAGAACTCACCCTTTTGCGAAGCTTGTCTTCGAAGTAGCGTACAACTTTCTCGCTCATGATTTGACCAGTAAACTGCAGACGAGAGGTACAGAAACCAAAGAAAGTCAAGAGGCATGATTGCAAGCAGGTCAAGTTCGAGTCGTGGAAAACTAGCCGAATCATTCTTCAACACACACTCATATGCACACACACGCACACACACGCACACACACACACACACACACACACACACACACACACACACACACACGAGCAGCAACACAGCTCTCACCTGATTTTTCCCGTTCTCAATGACGTCTCGCTGGAAGTCAAACTCCATCTTGCGCAGTTCGTCGAGGCAGATTTTAGCGTCTTCACTCCTTGCAAGCTGTAACTCAGTCTGTCCCTCAAAGTCTCTTCTGGCGAAGGCAAGCTCCCGCTTAGCACACTCGACCTCCTTCTCTACGATATCGACCTTCTGCTCCATGGTGAGCCGCAGTGGACGGCTGTGAAGATCAGCACAAGATGTAGAAACACAAGTAAACAATGAACAGAGCACAATCAATCACAAACAATTTCTATTTTAGTATTGGTCAATATCTAGATCTATAGTCTGTTTCAAAAAGATTTACAATCAGGTTTGGGTCTTAAAAAGTATGAAGATAAGGGAAATTTGGACCACAAAGTACATAGAATGGCTTGTTAGGACACGGCAAATTGTTCTGTGAAGGTTTCGGAACAATTGGACCAGCCGTTAAGGAGTTAGAATTTCGGCCAGGTTTCCGGCCTTTTCCCATGGTTTACAATTTGCCCAGGAAGCCAGTATCGATTTTTTATCAAAACCCACGATTTATCCTTTACTTTTTGGCCTTGTGGTTATGAATGCTGTCTGCTGACCCTGAAGTTGTGAGTTCAAATCCCAACCTATCCTCAAGTCAAACTAACGTGTTACTTTTTTTCATTGTTTTGGTGATCAAGCTGGTACAAGACAAAGAAGATGGCTGCACCAAACGACTTGTTGGAGGTCGCGCTTCCTGCCGAACTGACTGACACTTGACTGGCTCACGCCATGTGAACACACCCACAACACTGCAATGGTGTGAGTGAATATGGAAGTCATCGCGCTGTAGCTTTTTGAGATTTATTTTAGTATTTCAAGATCGCCAATTTATTTGAATTTACCAGTCAATGCCGTCTTCTATCAGCGTTCACAAGCGTCTGCTTTTCTCAAAATGTCGTCGAAGTCACACGGATAGCTTTGCCAAGTCATGGCCTTGGGAATGAGTCCGTGTCGATGTCGTTTTCGTCACACGGCATCGCAGCTCAAAGAAACTATTTTGGTCACAAAACGGATTGGGACACATGCCGCTCGTCAACATTTACAACACTTTCGTTTCGACATGTCCTCTCTGATCTGACTCCATTATCGGTACGAGGAAGAACTCGTTTGTTGTAAACCAGACGTACATGTACATGACTGTATCAACGTGAGTGAGTTGTCATTTTTCCTGCTTTCGCGCGGAATATTTCTTCGAGTTCACAGTGAGTTTTTCCAGGCAGCGCTCGAGTGCTCATACGGTAAGACGCCAAACTCCGCGGGCGATCGCCAGGATTGTAAATCTTTTTGAAACGGACTGTATACAGTAAAACCTTGTTTAGGCGACCACCCCCACAATGCAAGCAAAAACGGTCGTTAAAACCAGGTGGTCTTTAGAACAAGGTCCTATTCTTCCCGGCATGCCGCATTACGTACTTCAAAGTACATACAATTCCACATACTCATACTGACAGGTGTTGGATACAGAACACCTTCATGCGGATGCATCACCCATGAGTTGTCACACTTCACTCAAGTGCATCACGAAGTGCACCCTACACTGTCATTTCCGCTGACTGAATCCGCTCGCTTCTCAGCGCATCTCAATCCTGTTGCAGTCAAGCCTACCCTGAGCCAGGACAGCACTTTGGTCATTGTACGCAGGTCAGATATGGCACTTGGTACACTAAAAGTCGGTTGCTGGTGGTGCAATACAGGCAGTCGCTGTTTCCGGTGCAGTTTCTATGAAGAACTGCCAATTTGGACGTGTAGTGTGGATATTTGCTACCCCGATCGCGTGAATGCATATAACACAATTGGCCCAACTGCAATCCACGCTCATACCAACAAAACATACAGGCTGCAGTCTACCCCCCCCCCCCCCCCCACACACACACACAAGGCAGCATAGCCCACACATCACCCATAGGATGTGCGGTGCATCCAATAGGTCATAATTATGGCGGAACAGGCCTCCTCAAATCTCACAACACAACACTCACTGCTGTCTTTCTACCGCAAAAGGCCCCAACATGTGTCATGTGCTGACGTCTTTACAAAAGTGTAACACCAGGAACTACCAGGTAGAACAAAATAATAGGGTTACTTGCAGGCAACCATACTTGCTGCACAATGGCCCGAACCCCACATAACATGCAGCCCGCAGACTGGACAGGACAAATGCACGGGCGAGAATCATATAAAGTTCAAAGCAGTGCATGTACTTGCAATTTGTTTCCTAGCTGATGTCCAGATTGATTATGAACACATTGTATTACAGTTTGTGTGTAGCTGAGGCTGCTCATATGCACTTCACTGTCAAGTATAGCTGCATGTTCTTAGGTAGAGTAAAACCTGATTTAAGCGACCACCCCACGGTGCAAGCAAAAGCAGTCGTTAAAGCCAGGTGGTCTTTACAACCAGGTCCCACAGTGTCTGTGTAGAAGTGTCGGTGCATGGAAAAACGGTCGTTAAGAGCAGGAGGTCGCTTACACCAGGTTTTACTGCATACGGTCCATCGATATCAGTTTAATATTAAATTATCAAATACTCGTAGCCAGCACACCTTTCACTTCCTGCGCCTTTCGCATGCTTCTTGCGTTGCTGACGAGCCGTCCGATCCACACCAGTGCCAGGTCCTGCACCACCGGTAGCAACGGGAAGGTCCTTGACTGCACATACACACACACACACACACACACACACACACAAACACACACACACACACACACAGGTAAAACAAAATGTTCCGTGTAAGTATATGTGTGTGTGTGTGCGTGTGTGTTTGTGTGTGTGTGTGTGTGTGTGTGTGTGTGTGTGTGTGTGTGTGTGTGTGTGTGTGTGTGTGTGTGTGTGTGTGTGTGTGTGCGTGTGTGTGCGTGCGTGTGTGTGTGTGTGTGTGTGTGAGAGAGAGAGAGAGAAACAGAGACAGACAGACAGACAGACAGACAGACAGACAGACAGACACACACACACACAGAGGCAGTGAGCGAGTGAGTTAGTTTGCTCGCATGGGTGTGAATAAAAAGAGATAGATACTTCGAAGTAGAAAGGCAAGTGATTCGTGAATGAAGGAAAAACCCATTCCGACGGCGGAGGACAGATCAATAATTCATTGAGCATAAAAAGAACGAAATACAGAAAAATGATGATTGATGGATGGATGGATAGATGGATGGGTGTGTGGATGGGTGTGTGTGTGGATGGATGGATAGACAGACTGACAGAGAAAGGGGAAGGGGGCTTTTCTCAACTGGCAGCGGCGCTCGTATGTGCTTTCATTCTTTAACGTCGAAAGTCAAACGGACAATCATACTTCTCAGGTGCTCAACAGTATGTAGCAGTCCTCACAACACAAGTACTCACAGGCATCAGGATCCTTTCTTCTCAATCTTGTAAAGTAGCTTTGATAGATGGTTGCTTCTTGCATCAGAACCTTCGTCTGTGTGCTGCATACGTACAAACACATACATACACTGCCCTGTCCACTTCACAACACAGTGGACTTCTTGGGAATGCACACTACAGTACTATCGGTCGCCGAAGAAGTGTGTGTGTGTGGGGGGGGGGGGGGGAAGGGTGAGCCTCCTAGCCTAGACCGTTCTTTTTTTATGTGTTACTGTCTATGCACAGTTGAGTCACCGTGTATAAATTGGTATGCTAGGCTTGGTGGAATTCTAGCCTGGCCGTTCTTCGACGCCCGACAGTACTGTAGTACACAATGAATAAAACATGAATACAGAAACAAGGCCGGTCGAGGCAGAGGGTTCAATGCACAAATGTCAAAAACGTGAATATAAACTTGCTGGAGCTTACAACTTCTTTTTGAGTTTAGTTCACGATAAGCAAAATAGCACCCTCAGTGGAGTATTTGAAAATAAAAACCAGTATCACCGCTGTTAAGTGTTAGCTGCACTTGGACCGCGGCAACTTAGTTTTCTGCACGTGAACCATGAAAAATCAATGCATGCTCATGCATAACCAGTCAGCTGGCCTGCTCGCCCACGCATTTGACAGGTAACAATTCCATCAAATTTGAGATATGGCTTCGTTCTAAGTCTCAAAACAGTTCTAAAGTCACCAAACCACGCTGGTAATCGATGGCTATTCAATGTTAACATCTTCAGGAAGACTTAAGCCGTTTCCCGAGAGTTTGGGCATTGTTGCCGTTATTTTTCACGGTGTTCTTCTTCCTCCTGTCTGGAGCTGCAATTGCTTCCTGGAATTATTTGAAAGGTATTTCGTGCGGCTGTGGGGGGTTCCAACAGGCATAAACTGACATCGCTATAGGATAACTGATAACTTTCACCCTTCAAGGAGGTAGAGCAATGAGAATTTTTTTGTGGCGGTCGTCCAATTTTTGTGGCGGTCGTGGCTGTATTTGTGCACTTCCAAGGCTTTCATTCTGCCTGATATTACTCTCTACTGTATGGGAATCGTTGTTTAGGCACATGTAGCTGTCTTATTTGGTAGATCTGCTGTTTTCAATCACTTGGGACACTTTGTCTAGCCTATTTGTCTTTCGTTCGTGCCATCTATCAGTTTTGTGGGGTGCCTTGGCCTGTATTTGTGAAGTTCTCGAGTAAAGACCCTAATTCTTGACTGGAGTCACGACTTGAATTGTATTTGCAGGGCGAGCCCTCGTTCACGCAGTTGTCCTTATCGTAATAGCCAATATCTGCTTGCTGGACGGACTAGCGGCTAGAATAGGGATGACTAAATGGTCCAAGTGTGTACTAGTACACGATTATTGTTTCCATCATCGTGAATGGAGCGTTGTGGAATTGCAGTCGTCTGACTTTGGCACTGAGGACATGAGGAGAGTTGATTGTTACTTCTGCTCAGCAATGAAGCGATCATCAGCTCTCTTTGTTCTAATTATTGAGAGGACATACCGGCATCGCAATCAAGTAAAGATTAGGCAAACCTCGCCAACCTCCAAAGAGAGTCGAAGATATTTTCTCCAAATGCAAAGACGATCTTTGTGAGTTTGTGACTTGCATTTGCGTGCATACATGAGCAAGTCACGAACCACGGCACGTGCGCGGTTACCATGCCATCTCGAACCTACGCCATCCTTCTAAGTTGCCGCTTCTTGCCAGCCGTGGTATAGGCGACGTGACGCACAGCGACTTAGGCACACCCACACCCACATACATACCCACCACACACCTCAGACATGCCCATCGTGGAAGCGATGATAGCGAACAGCTATGTTAGACATAGCAACTTGTGCTGGGATTACACCATTCAACAGCTTGCAAGGCTGATGAATTGACCGCCACTATTTTTAGCCTGGTATCCACCACACAGCTGTTTGAAGTGACTTTTTTCACACACACACACACACACACAACACCCCCCCCCCCCCCCTCCCCCCCCCCCCCACACACACACACCATGTACCACACACACACACACACACACACACATGCACACACCTCAGACCTCAGACCTGCCCATCGCGGAAGCGATGATAGCGAACAGCTATGTTAGACATAGCAACTTGTGCTGGGATTACACCATTCAACAGCTTGCAAGGCTGATGAATTGACCGCCACTATTTTTAGCCTGGTATCCACCACACAGCTGATTGAAGTGACTTTTTCTGGCCAGTGAATCCCTATTTTTCATTCACACACATACACACTGTGACTAACCTATAATGATGCAGGGTAGCAGCCAGCTCGGTCACGTTCATCTTACTCAGCTCATCAGGGTCTATCCTGATATTCACTGCAGGGTCACGCTCACGACCTGGCGTTGTGCCGAACCTGGCCGACGATGTCAATGAGCTTGTGACGCTGCTCTCCGGAGGTTCACTGAAGTCAATGGCGGGTACATCCACCATGGGGCTTGATGCGTTGCTCATGGTTGTTGAATGATTCAACTCAAAACCCAGCGTAGATCTGCAATCACAGATGAGGACCCTAGCTTGCTCCTGCTATTCTCGTTTTCAATCAGTCCTGCTCGCCAGGCAGCTTGAGGACAGGATTCGCTCGCTGGAGCTGTTGCAGCAGGCGATATCCGACTGACTCGTGCAGACCGTGCTGAGCTATGTCGATATCCGCCGGTGAGACTACCAAGTCAGAAAATCTTCGCTGGCGCTTTTCTAACACAGAACTGCTGCTTAGCAAGCTTTCCCGTGTCCAATCCGCATCGGATCCGCAAGACTACCCACAGCGAATCAAGCAGGTAGAGACAACCACGATGCCAAGCCTTCGTCAGAAAAACTAAGTTCTTTTGCCGACTATGACTCAGTTTGAGGCATGACCGGTTGACGACGATTTGGAACTCGAGCGAAAGGCTGAACTGCTTTACAAAAATCAGAAGCTTGGTCGGTGGGCCAAAGGCAAATGCCAAGCGAAGCTACTGCGTCGCTGAGTAGTCTACCACTCAACTGTCTGTTACTTCGTCTCAAGCTCAGCTGCTGGACCCAGTGCGACTGGTGCTGGTCCAGGCCAATCACTAATCAGAGCAGCATCTCACCCTAGGCTAGCACTACTCCACTACGGCACTAGGCATCTACATTGTAGCAGCACTCCCTGGCCTGGGCCTGGCTCAAAAGCTTAGGCTATCGTTGTTATGGTGTCGCCCATGTCGGAGTCGTCCTGGATACTGCCCCTGATCCTGAGCCAGGATTCGCAGCCAGGATCTGTCTTTTATTTCGCTATTTTTTTGGTTCTCCACCACCGCGTAGATCTACACCACTGTCACCAGACTCCAGAGTCCAGCATCTACATAACTTAAGGTGGCAGTCTGGGTTCAGAGGGTCAAAAAACAAAGTTTCGATTTTCTGTATTTTTTCACTGGCAGCGTCTTGTGTATGGTCCAAAGGGTTTATCCTGAAAATTTGAGCGTAATCGGGTGCTTCCTTCCGGAGATATAGCCGCGCAAAGTCTGCACAATTGTTTTTGAAATACTGAAATATCAGCAAATTTCTACAAAATTTAGGTTTGCACACTATTCCGATTTTTACCGTCAATCTTTGAGCGATTTCATTAAAATTTTCAGGAGCGACTCCTGGTACTCCTCTGCGCTGCAGACTGACAGCCGCGCACGATGTTTGTCACCATGGCAACCAAGATAACTTTTGCGCATGCGCAAATTCAAAAAAAATTCAAATTTCGACTCTCATGATCTCAGCTGATCGCTCTGCTGTTGAAACTAGTTACTTTTGAGTAATTGTTTTGGAGTAATTGTTTCTTGGAGCTAACCCCTTCGTTGGCTACTATGGGGAAGTCTAGAGCCAAGGGAAAGCCCGGACGATCTAAGAAAAGGAAAAGAACGTTCTATGGAGTGTCTCAGGCGCCGAAGGCTCCCTCTGGTAAAATTTCGCCTGCAGAACAAATTCCTGACTTGCCACTGTCTGATGACGACCTTGAAGTGTCAGCTGAAGCCACGTCTTCAAGCAGCGATAGTGATGGAAGTGGCGGTGAAGTCGACAGCAGTTCCTCCGACAGTGACTTGGATGAAGAGTGTGAGGAAGGGGCGCATGGATTTCGCCTGATTGATCTCGAGTGCCTTCAGCAGCTTTTGTCAGCTGCAGTTTGTTGCAGTGGCTGTAATGGCGCAGTCACGATCAGCGAATCGCAACGGGGAGGCCTTGCATCATGCCTGGAGCTTTCCTGTGTTAACTGCGGCGACATAGCAAGCGAATTTATGTCCAAGAAGTTCAATCGGGTCTGGGAGGTGCACAGACGAGCAGTATTCGGAATGCGACTGATTGGCCGTGGACGTCAATCAATGGTAAAGCTGGCGGGTGCACTGAATATGCCATCACCTATGAGTCGGTCGACATTTTACAGCCATGCTAAAGGCCTGCATTCCGCGTCCAAGAGCGTCGCTGAGCGTAGCATGACTGAGGCAGCTGAGAAAGCAGTGTCCGCAGCAGATGGGGGTAGCGATATCGCTGCTTCCTATGACGGTACCTGGATGCGCCGAGGATTCGCATCGCTCTTCGGAGCCTTCACTATAATTGCATATGATGTCGGCAAAGTGGTGGACTGCGAAGTGCTTTCAAAGTTTTGCCACAAGTGCACGCACTTGGCGTCTAGAAAAGAGAAGGGAGAGCTAACCAAAGATGACTATGATCGACAGATTGCCGAACACGATTCCTCAGTCAACACCACTGTATCAGCTCCTGCCATGGAGAGTGCAGCCGCCAAGACTCTGTGGGCCAGGTCCTTTGAGAGCCGCAAGCTGAGGTACACCACCTACATTGGTGATGGAGATACCAAGAGTTTTAAGGCTGTGCGTGACGCTTGTCCGTATGGGCCCGAGGTGCCTGTAGTCAAGGAGGAATGTGTCGGCCACGTTCAAAAACGCATCGGTACCAGCCTAAGAAAGCTGAAGAAAAACCTTGCGGGCAAGAAGCTTGCTGATGGGCGCACTATAGGCGGACGTGGTCGCCTCACGGATGCCATGATCAACAAGCTGCAAGCCTACTATGGCATGGCTGTGCGGAACAACAGCGGAGACTTGCAAGCCATGGCCAGGGCCATATGGGCATCCCTCATGCATCGTGCATCCAGCGACAGTAAACCTCAGCACCAGTATTGTCCGCCTGGAATTAACAGCTGGTGTAGATGGCAGCAGCAACAGGCAGGTGGTGATGTCTACGCCCACCACAATATCCTGCCAGAGGCAGTATGGAAGGAACTGAAGCCGGTCTACATTCGGTTGTCCGACCGGAGTTTGCTCGAGCGCTGCCAGAAGGGTGCTACGCAGAATCGCAACGAAGCGTTCAATGGACTCGTGTGGCAGTTGTGTCCAAAGACAGGCTTTGCATCCGCTCCCACTGTCCAGATGTGCGTCTACCTGGCCGTGGCCTGGTTCAATGATGGAGGTGTGGCAGTGAAACGCGTTCTGGACGAGATGGGCCTCCCTACTGGATACCATACGACACGTCTCATCAAGCTGCTAGACCGTGAGAGACAGGCACATGCTGCCAGAAAGAAGTCAGAAGAAGGGAAGAGGTCACGAAAGAAGCGAAGGAGGATCAGGAAGGGCATCCAGGATGAGCAGCAAGAGGAAGAAGGTTTGACATATGAAGCTGGTGGCTTCGACTAAGTTCTAGTAAGTTCTAGTTGGACAGACATACCTCCATCTGTACTTGCACAGAGCACTTTTTTTCTCCATTTTCCACTGAGTCCCGTACCTCTTAGACAGCGTAGCAAAGAACCTGTAAGTCACAGACCCCATAAACCATACATTTTTGGAAACTGTGAGCATTTATCAAGGTGCTAAGTGTCATGGATTTTTATATTTGTCTAGTAGCTTTGAGTAAAGTGCTACTGATCGAGGGCCTAAATTTTGCGCGATTGCATGATTTTTGTTTGACAGCTTGAGTACTTTGTTCTGAATATGATTTCAAAATTCCGCTCCACTTAGCACCTAGGTATATGTGAAGGAAATCCTGTGGAGCACTCAGTTTCTACCCAGCTTCTTTCTGCGTTTGCATATTGCGTCTAAGGTATTGGTGGTACGGCATAATCGCAGATTTGACTATTGTGCCTGCGGATTCCCATGTGTGAGCTTGATTTATACTTCATTGGACTTAGTGAAATACACTGGGTATGTGGTCAAGATTTGAGCAAAATTCATCAATTATTATGGAAGTTACGGCTGTGTTCATGCGGTCGGGCCGCGAACCCAGACTGCCACCTTAAAGGGGAAGTTAAGGCAAAAATTAAAATTTCACCAGTTGTAGTCTTCGGGGTGCTGAGTCGAATGGTCTTGGTCCGAGGAAGCTGAGACGCTCCCTTCCTACTTGAATCCCAATCGAACTCGCGCACTTCCACCGAAACTGGGTGACTGCGCCCTACTAGATGGGGATTTGTATGCAAAATGTCACTAAAAGCGCCGTTTCGTTCTTATAAAAGCACGGATGACCGCGATTGGCCCATATGTTGCAGTCTTTTGGACGCTGAGTCGCCTGGTTTTGGTCCGAAAAGGCTGCGATGCAGCGTTCCTCCTTTATTCCCAATCGAACATGGCTGAACAAGCGGTCACGTGCTCCTGGGTGCCCAAATCACCTGGTCACCACGCCAGCAGGCGACAACTTTCACACCAAGATTCAACTTGAGTTCAACTCGAGTGACAGGACTGCACCCAAAAAAGGTCAAACAGGCTAGTAAGTTGTACCCTGCAGGCACGGTGACCAGCCGACTGGTGTACGCAGGAGCACGCGACCGCTTGTTCAGCCATGTTCGATTGGGAATAAAGGAGGAACGCTGCATCGCAGCCTTTTCGGACCAAAACCAGTCGACTCAGCGTCCAAAAGACTACAACATATGGGCCAATCGCGGTCATCCGTGCTTTTATAAGAACGAAACGGCGCTTTTAGTGACATTTTGCATACAAATCCCCATCTAGTAGGGCGCAGTCACCCAGTTTGGGTGGAAGTGCGCGAGTTCGATTGGGATTCAAGTAGGAAGGGAGCGTCTCAGCTTTCTCGGACCAAGACCATTCGACTCAGCACCCCGAAGACTACAACTGGTGAAATTTTAATTTTTGCCTTAAAGGGGAAGTATACCCTAAAATCAAATTTTCACCAGTTGTAGTCTTCTGGGCGCTGAGTCGAATGGTCTTGGTCCGAGGAAGCTGCGACGCTCCCTTCCTACTTGAATCCCAATCGAACTCGCGCACTTCCACCGAAACTGGGTGACTGCGCCCTACTAGATGGGGATTTGTATGCAAAATGTCACTAAAAGCGCCATTTCGTTCTTATAAAAGCACGGATGACCGCGATTGGCCCATATGTTGTAGTCTTGTGGACGCTGAGTCGACTGGTTTTGGTCCGAAAAGGCTGCGATGCAGCGTTCCTCCTTTATTCCCAATCGAACATGGTTGAACAAGCGGTCACGTGCTCCTGGGTGCCCAAATCACCTGGTCACCGCGCCAGCAGGTGACAAATTTCACACCAAGGTTCAACTCGAGTTCAACTCGAGTGACAGGACTGCACCCAAAAAAGGTCAAACAGGCTAGTAAGTTGTACCCTGCAGGCACGGTGACCAGGTGACTGGTGTACGCAGGAGCACGTGACCGCTTGTTCAACCATGTTCGATTGGGAATAAAGGAGGAATGCTGCATCGCAGCCTTTTCGGACCAAAACCAGTCGATTCAGCGTCCAAAAGACTACAACATATGGGCCAATCGCGGTCATCCGTGCTTTTATAAGAACGAAATGGCGCTTTTAGTGACATTTTGCATACAAATCCCCATCTAGTAGGGCGCAGTCACCCAGTTTCGGTGGAAGTGCGCGAGTTCGATTGGGATTCAAGTAGGAAGGGAGCGTCGCAGCTTCCTCGGACCAAGACCATTCGACTCAGCACCCAGAAGACTACAACTGGTGAAAATTTGATTTTAGGGTATACTTCCCCTTTAACTTCCCCTTTAAGTGTCATTGTAAGCAGGCTGCAGAGTTCGCTGTTGCCCAAGGAGTCGTAAAATATCGGTATGTTACGACTCGGACTCCTTGCTAGCTCACGGCCAGGGAGTCGTAAAAGCAAGGGCTTTTACGACTCGCTGCTAGCTAGCTGTCGTCCAGTGCTGACCCTGCATTTGTGGTTGACATTTGTTTTTCCAGTGCAGCATGCGCAGTGCAGTTGGAGACAAAACAAGAAATTAAAATAATTAATATTTGTGCAATGCAGTGACCATGGTGACTATGTATTTGTTGTTGTTGTTTTAAAATCTTTATTCTCACGATAGCCATAGCTATTTTGTTGTTGTTGTTGTTGTTGTTGTTGTTGAATACTTTATTTATAGTGGGAATCAAAACAGGCAAAAGCCTTATGACAATGGACCCCGGCACTATTGTTGTATTAGCAATACTACAGTACGCACAAGCTAGAGCTCAGTATCATACTACTTCTTGTACTTCTTGTACTAACGTTATCAGTAGTCGGTAGTCGGAGTGTAGACCCAGTCAGTGCACAGGTATCTCTTCTGCAGGGTACCTCCTCCCCCCCCCCCCCCCGGCCCGGCCCCCTTAGGTAGATCTACCCCTGCCCTAACAGTCCCTATCTAAACACGGTTCCTATCTAACTTTCTAGGTGCCCCTCACAGTAGTACTATAAGTCAGTCGAATTATTTCCAAAGTCACCAGTCCATGTATGCAAGTAAGTCTGACTGATCAAAACCAAAAACTAGAAGCCTTGGCCAGGTGCTGATTCTTGTTTGCAGATTATGCACGTGTACATGTGCATGCATGCAGCAACTAGCAGTAGAGTATGCCTAACTAAAGTTAGTACATGTAGATTGTATCCACTCCACCTCCGATCCACAACACACGAACAGTCCTACACTACGTACAACGATTGTTTTCCAAATTTTCACCCACGAGGGCATCATGAGGGATAAAGTACATGACACACACACACACACACACACACACACACACACACACACACACACACACACATACATACAAACATACACACACACACACGTACATGTGTGTGTGTACAAAACTGGCTAAAAAAGTCCATGAGTTGCTGCGCATCATAAAACAAAGGCGAGAAAGCTTCAAAAATAAAGTGTGAGTAAATTGTGCAAATCAAAGATCGTGTTTTGGTTAGACACGGGCCAGCCGTGATTTTTCAACAGTGTAAATCTTTAGCCGGGCAATGATACGTACTGATCTGCTTCCTTGGCTTGGTACTACACTGTGTGTAAGAGCTATACTGTGTAATACCACAGCAAGTATAATTATGTATAAGCATCCAGCAGGCATGACTGTATGTATATCAGTGTGCCCTATTCGAAATCATCAAAACTAAAGTCCGATGCTGCAAACTGCAATAGAAACGTTTCAGTGCATTTAGATCGTACAACGATCATTTGAACAAGCTGTACATGTATGCGTAACGTTTTCTCTGATTTGTTAAAAATTCTACGAAACCTTATCATATATACTCTGTGCATATGATTGCACTCAAGTTTAGACAGTTATGAACCAATGTATTCCTAGCATCTGCAAAAAAAACTATTCTTGATGACCAATACATGTATCTCAATCCATATATGGCCATGTCCATTTTTGCAGGACGGTGATTTTAGTGTTTTCCTGTGCGATGACATTCTCCAAACTGTCTCTGGTCTCGCGTGCACATGTGATATAAGCATCAGCGGCGTGAGTCTGTGGATCTTGCGTCTTGTCTGTTCCTCCCTTTGAGTTGAAGTCAATGTTTTTTTGTCGTGTCTTAGTTCAAGTATGTGAATAATTTCCATACCTAAGGTAAACAAATACTTGTCCTTTGTGTTCCAGCGTCCCGGTCCCGGGGCATAGTAAGGCTGTAATTCCGTAACATCATGTTTACACATCCACAGTTGGGTTCTCGAGAAGAGGCTTTGACGCAGCCGTTGCTGGCAGCGCACCGTGCATGACAAGGCGCAGGAAGTAGGAGTGGTAGTATTCCTGGCCAGGCGTCACTGGCGTCTGCTTCATGCCCGCGCCACGGAGCGCATCCTGTGTTTTGGTGCTGGAGTAGCGGTGACTGGAGGCAAGGCCACCTCTGGCAGGCAGCAAGAGCAGCAGGGACGATGCTGTCAGGTCACCTTGCTGGCTGGCTGCTTGGACGGACTGACGGAAACTGGCATAATCTGCATTCAACAACAGGAGGAAATACACCTAAGTGATAGAGACTAAGAACTGCAGATGATCAGCAATAGAACAATTTAATAAATTCACGTTTCGCGTTTCAGTTTGACCGAGTGTTCCGCATCCGTAGGAACGCCACCACCCTCACAGGATCAAAGGCGCAGACACGGCTCCTAAAGCGGTGGGACCATAAACCTACGAAATATATACTCCAAAAGGCAACAAGTAGGTACTGGAAAGAGGAATTGATCTTCGGCGTAGTGAACACAGGGAATGGCTGCAGAAAGGAGACTACAAGACCACTGTGAATAAACTCATACTGGACTGCGTGTCCACAAGAAGACGATCAGGCACTCGTCCTACAGCTCTGCTATTCCTAAGACTGCTTTTAAATGCGTCAGGTACACTTACCACTGTCCTTGATCTGGTAGCCAAAGCTACACAGGTACCCCAGAATGTCTTTCCACGAACATGCCTTCTCCGAACTGTCCGGGACCAAATGGTACACCGGAAGCTCTTTGCCGTCAGCTGCAGTAAGATAAATTCATATTTGGTAGAAAAGTATTATGCACAGATACTGGGCCAGAAAAGGAGAAAACAAACCCATAGCATATTGGTGCAAAGGTGAATGCACACTGTGACATGGGCTTCGAAAATGGGACGTACGGCGCAGTTCCACAGGCATAATCAACGTACTTTTGCTAACAGTACTTTGAAGAAAAGAATGGTCAAAGAAGGCCGCGACTGCTTACCATTCGTAAGCGATGCCGCGATGCTCACAGTGGCTGCCGCCACATAGTCCACATTGACAACGCTGATCAACTTTTCGTCACTGCCATGACCCGTCGGTGCGGTGCCAAGTTCCACAACGCCGCGCAGCAGCCAGTAGAGCCAGTCACGATGATTCGAATCGCCCGTCACCGAATCCGCTCCAACCAGGCCGGGCCTGAAACAGGGCACAAACAAGCCAGAAACACATCCATGTACACAATGCTGCACATATCAACAAGACGTGTTTGCAGCCACTGGAAGAAGATGATGTGCGTCTAGTCTTTCCTTCATTTCTGGACATTAAAAAACTTCCAAGACGCTTACCTGGAGATGGAGATAGGACAGCCTCGCTCTAGCACCGCAACTCGCAACAGCTCTTCGCAGACGTACTTAGTCTGACTGTAGCCGCTCAGCAGTGCCAATCTGAGAGCAACAGGATAGTGCAGAGTGTATTCAAACACTTCATCTTGTGAAGCCTGCACAGCCAATGGAGGCTATACACACTCTCCATGCGTATGGTCCGCGGCACTGACCTCAAGATCCCGTGAAAATATGAATCAATGTAGTGCATAATCTTGCTCACACTATAATAATTATATAACCTCACACACATGCACACATTTGTTCACACCCATTCACTGACACATAAGGCGTGTGATGGATGGATTATCACCATACAGCCCCTGCACGAATGTCTGGTGTGCAAAAGTGCTTCATTTCTACGGTTAAAATCTGTTAAGGAGCCTGGAGCCACAGCCCTGGATTAATCAAAATAAAGCTAAACAAACAAACAAATAGATGGTATGCCAAATAACGTGCAACTAGACTTGAGAGGGCATTGCACACAAGTTGCATACACATTATACTACAATGTGTACATGGTAGACCCTGGCCTGAGCTCTGCAGGAATACTAGTCACAGGTAACCGTACAACTTTGAACTTTGTATGCAACTACTCTGCAATGCCCTCCAAAGTCTAGTTACACGTTATTTGGCATATCATCTATTACCTGTGCTGGCTACAGGTATCATTCTCTGTGAACAGGGGATCTCCCGGCTGCCCACCCAATACGCCCACCGACGACACAAAGTGCATTCGCTTCGGCCGGCCACGACATGCCATGTCGAGCAGCGCCAAGGTGCTCCCGACATTGACGGCATGGAGAGCTGTGGAGACACACACTCAAACACACACACACACACACACACACATGCATACATGCACACACGCAAACACACACACACACACATGCATACATGTACACACACACACACACACATACACACACATCGTACACACATACACACAATCGCACGCAAACACACATGCACACGCACACACACACACGCACACACAAACACAAGCAAACAAAAATAATTATATGCACACATTTATCAATTTTCTCCTGATCAAATTGCAGTGTGGTTGGAAGTTAAGGCCAGGTGTTCGAAGTGCTCAAAGGAAAAGAGCTGCATGAACCAATGTACATAAATAGACGAGTGACAAGCACGGTAGAAACACTACTATTCCGTGGTTCGGTATCCAAGACCATTTTTCTAGCCAGATGGTCTGCTTGTTTGCCTGGTGGCCATTGCAGTTTCTCGCGATTTCCTGCTTCTGTTGCTGGCTTGCTGGGGAGCGGCCATGCTGGTCCGCTTTGGACAGTGGACTGTGGTAGAGTAGTTTGCCTGTGTGGCGTGTTAGAGCTGTCGGAGGTCTCACCTACCGTTCCGCACCTCCTGCTGGACTGTGGTCACCGATACATGGCATGTGCGCTCGCTTCGGAGTACAGACAGCGATACGAGTACAAGCTTCGCTACATCTAGGTTTGGCTAGTTCGGTTCGCGTTTCTGCGGAGTTGCGCTGTTGTGGCGAGTGATCATGTCGTTACAGGGGATGATGCGGGCCATGGAGGCTCTAGCTGGAACGCCAGCAAGTGATGCCTCTCTGAAGCGGGGCATGTTGGTGCGAGTGCTGTTAGGGATTGCGCAGATGTACAGATTCGACCTGTGTGTGACCTGGGAGAGCTGTCGGAGTCACCAGAGAGTGTTGCTTCCAGCGTTGGCGTTGATACCGGTCGAAAGTCGCCGAAACAGCTCCCCAAACTCGACTCTGTTGGCATCGCAAATGCGGACCACCTCCTGAAACAGTTCCGCACCTGCATGAGCGACCTTTTGGAGGAGCGCATGGAAAGGGTCCTGGACTCCATTGCTAATATCCGTGAGGAGGTGTCAGTCGTCCGTAACTCATGTAACGGCTTAGACTCTCGACTTACTATTCTTGAAAAAAGACTTGAAAAGACGGATACTCAGCCCTTGCAGCAAGCGATCAGGTCGCAAGGCGAAGAGATCTGATGTGTGGCTGCTAGCGCGGACGTAGCTTGCAGTCGAGTGAGGAGGCTGGAGGAGTGCCTGGTCGGCACCCAACCAGCATGTGCCAGTCCTTCACCACGAGTGCATCCAGGACCTGCGCAGGCTGTGGGTGCGTGCCAGGCACCGTTGCACCCCGACTCCTACTCCAGGGCTGCGGCCGCGCCGGCTACCCACGGCTTTCGTGCCCAGGCTGCCCAGGCTGTACCAGAAAGGAAGTATCCAGGCTCAGTAACGGAGCCAGCAATGCACACAACGGTGACATCTTCCTATCAGCGCCCTGCACGCAAGCACGAGAGGTCAAGGGGTGCCAGTCGGCTGAAGTGTAAAGCCGTCTACGTTGGCCGTGTTGATGTCGGTTGCTCTGCAAATGCAATCGCTAAATGGTGCGAGGACCGCAGTGTCACGTCAAATGTTCAGTATCTGCTGCGCGGTATTTTGGTCTGGCGTATGCCCACCTGGTTATTTCAGAGGAGCATTGGCAGAAGGTCCAGAGTATAGACTTCTGACCAAGTGGCATTTCGGTTCGTGAATGGTGCTTTAAATCAGACCGCATCACTCAACAGAACTGAGTTTGTCGCTCAATCCACTGGCCTCAAAAGCAACTTGCGTGCTGGCATTCAGGAAGTTCTTTCCCGGATGTCGTCCTAGAGGCTGTCCCCCAATCTATCAAAAACAAAGATCATGCTCTTCCCGTTCCAGCCGGAATTCACATCTCTCATCCATCCCAATTTTCCAAATCCAATAGACATAGTGTCTTCTCACAAACACATTGGCATTGTATTTGACTCTGCACTCTCTTGGGCGCCCCACATCGAATATATCTGTCAAAAATCAAGCAAATCCTTAGGAATTCTCTTCCCCCGCTGCTCCTACCTCCCAATCTCTTGCAAGCTTCTTTTTTATTCAGCCTATCTTCGCCCAGTATTCGATTATGCCAATACGTCTTGGGCTGGATTGTCCTGGTCCGCTTCTGCAAAGCTTGAAATACACCACAAGAAAATCCTTAAAATCCTCCTTCGTCAACCCAGCATGCTCTCATCATCCGCTCTTTATAAACTCGCTCACACAACTCCGTTATCACATAGACGCAGTGCACACCTGGCTGCTCGGACTCGCTCGTGCTCCCCAAGTGTAACTCATCCACTTTTTGAGCTCCACTCTCTTTATTGCATTTTCTGTTTGGCTCACTGTGTCCAGAGAAGTTAAGGATATGGCCTCACTCCGCCTGTTCAAGATCCGAGCGGCCCCTTATTTACTACGACATAAGTAGCTCATCATTCACATGTCCTTTGCGTCTCTATTGCTTTTCACTGTTTTTATTTGACATTCTCTTTCTTTACTAAGTTGTTGTAGCTGTTGATTTGCTACTCTTTTGTTTTCCCTCCCCTTACTTTTGTTTTCGCCGTGATTGGCAATCATTCACTCTCTTAATTAACATTGGCCAGTGTTTCCACCGAGTCTTGAGATGTTGTGATAAATAAATAAACAAGATACTAAAACACTGATCTTCAGAGCAGTAGATCTACATGCATCTTTGTCATATAGCCCATGATTAGAAGGGAACGAAAACGTTGTTTGGGAAATTTTCTCAGTGTTCCTTTTGACTGGTGTGGATGGCGTACATATTCTACATTGAAGAATTGGAGACACTTCCAATTTGTTTTAGGAAATAATGATCGTGTTTGCTTTATACACTTGACACACAAAAGGGAACTCTTCAATTTATGTTTGCTGCAAACCATGTACCTTTGTAGGGCTTGGCTGCCGAGACTTCTGCACCGTTGTGAATGATCAAGTCTGCAGTCTTGCACAGCAGCTCAAACCGCTCCTCGCTCAAACCCAGCAGAGGCTGGGAGAGGTCGCCGGGAAGAACGCGTATGCGCTGTACATCGCTGCTCTCCAGTGCTGGCTGCAGCGAGGACAGGCGCTGGAGAACTTTCTCGCGACATTTGATCGATGCAACCGCCTCAGTGGAGCTTTGCGGCACTACAAAACAGGGAGAAACGCAGCAACAGTGAGGCATCCAATGTTAGTCCGCCTGGAAGGCAACATCACTAGATGTGGCCATAAATCCGAACAAAATCCCTCCAAAAACTAAGTGATTTTAAAAAGGATTGATTTTGGACTCCAATATGAACTATCCCCCCCCCCCCCCCCCCCACACACACACACACTCAATTCAACTCATCCCTGCCCAACTTGCACTCTGCAAAGAGATCGCTCAGAAGACCTAATCATTATCAGTGCATCACCATATCCATACCTCGCACAACGCAAGTGACAGTGCAGGACGGGTACGCCCTCAACAACCTATGCAGTATGTGAGCACCGAGGAATCCACCAGCTCCAGTGAGCAACACGGAGAAGTCACCAATCGAGCTGAGTGGCTCCAAATCTGCCAAAATCCATTCTCGCTGGAAGGACTCAGGAAGCTTGCATTCCACTGTCCAGTCGATTTCTGGAATAAACGAACATAGCACAGAACCAAGATATGCGTTACAAAATTGCTCAAGGCCAATTTAAAAATCATTCATAATCACAGAATTGATAAAGATTGTCATAAAAAGCTCCTTGCCACTTGGCAAGAACTCCGGCCGGTGATATATTTATGTTGAAGTCAATGCACAATTATTTCGTACCTAAGAATGGCAGCTGCAAAGACACTTTTATGTGGTAAGGGGCCATCCGTAAATATCGATAGTTTTTTAAATCCGTGAATTTTACAAAGTAACCAGGACCCACCACCCACCCCCCTACTTTTTACGGAATAAAATATTGATGACACATGTACTGTACCTACATAAATGTAGGTGGAGTCCATGGAGTCCATACACACGCAGGCATGCGCTCACCGTGTCATTCATAACTAGAGTACAGCCATGTATTTTGGCAGACTTATGCCAGGAATGTTGTCCAAGAATCACTTGCTCTTCAGCTCATTCCAAATACATCATACCCTTTATGGGCAAGCTCTTTGAAAAACTTACTTGTATCTTTTTTGGCAGCTGTACCAAACAAAGTAGTCTGCCGTGCCATTTTCGTTAGGCCACGCTCCACATGGGAACTGTTCCAACCATTGGCGATGTAGCAATTCTTCAATGTGGAGTTCAAATAAGAGCTGGACTTGACCCGGATTAATCAGGTATTGTGATACTTCGAATAATTGTGCAATAATTATACGAAAGTGTGTGACGTATCTAGAAAAAGCCGAGGCTCTTCTCTCCGACGATTCCAAATTTGAACTTGTCAACCTCACCATTGACGACTGGGAGAAGGAGACCCGCACTATCATTGACGACTGGGAGAAGGAGACCCGCACTATCATTGACGACTGGGAGAAGGAGACCCGCACTATCATTGACGACTGGGAGAAGGAGACCCGCACTATCATTGAGCGGATCTGCAAAACCACGCTGGAGAAGGATCTTTACCAAGCTATCCTCCCAGGCGATAATAAGTTTCCGGAAATGTATGGTCTGCCCAAAGACCATAAAGCAGGAGTGCCATTGAGACCGGTAGTGTCAGCCTGCGATAGTCCAGTCACCAATGTCTCCATCCTCCTAGAGCGAATACTTAACCAGTGTCTCAAGTTCATCCCAGCTCACCTCGAGAATACAGTGGAAGCATTGGACAGCATACGCCAGCATTACCCCGACCTTCAAGCTCCACCCGGAACCATTGCAGTGACCATGGATGTGGTTGCCCTCTATCCTAGTATCCCCATCGTGGACGGTATTGAGGCAGTTACCAGAGTTCTGCAGCAGCATGTCAGTGATATCGACACGTTTGGCGTAGCCATGGGTAATAATCTGGCACCCCCCTTCGCCATTATATTTATGCACGACCTCGAAAGGTCACTGTTGCAGTCTGCGCCCGGCGCTCCTGTATTGTTCAAGAGATACATCGACGACATCATCATGCTGTGGGTATAAGGATCGGCGCTCCTCTGTCGTTTTATTCAACACTTCAACGATGGTAACCCACTGATCAAATTTACCCACCAGTCCACCGAAGAAACGGGCTCCATTGACTTCATGGACACCACAATCCATGTGTCAACAACTGGAGCCATTTCATACGAGCTCTTCCGCAAACCATGTCACAGTGGCTTGGTGGCTGACTACAAATCCGCCGTTCCGTATCAACAAAAGTTCTCAATTGCCTCTTCCGAATTCCTCCGTGCCTCTCGACTATCATCGGATAATGAGACGCGCCGGAGGAGTGAAAAGAAGGTCATCGACGTGCTGAAATTCAACAATTTCCTCCAATCAGTGATTGACAAGGCCCGGGAGCGAGCTGGACGACCGACAGGACCCAAACAGAAAAGGGACTTTCGCACAACACTCAAGCTGCCATTCAAAACCGATCACATCCACAAGAAGGTGCAGTATCTCATTCGCAAATATCAGCTGAACACCCACATCATATACAAGAATGCTCGGCTCAGCTCGCGGGTTTGCAGGTCTGCTTTGGACAAGCCCCTATGCCGCAAATTCGTTGATCCACAGCAGCCAAGGAGAAGGGGAAGACCGAAATCAGCTTGCGTGGCATGTACAGCAGGTGCAGTGGACTGCACCCGCCGAAACGTGGCCCCTCCCACCTCGAGTGCCGTTGCGGTGATGACTATGTGGGTGAAACTGGCCGAAGCGTTGCGACAAGGTCAAGGGAGCACAACGATAATGCACGCAACGAGGTCCGAGGGAAGGCGCTGGGTGAGCATTACCGGATCTTCCATGCCGATGAGTCATTGTCGCTGGGGCAGACCGGATTCGCCAACGTCTGTGTGCTTGCGACAGAGCCAGACAGGGCAAGGAGAAGGATTCGGGAAGCGGTCAAGATCCGGGACATGGAGCCTAATATCAACACCAGCAGTGGTTGGGATCTCCTGTGAACTCTGGTTGCCTGGCTTTTTCATTGGAGTGATAGCTATCCATGTGAAACCTTAGCACCCACAAATTGTACGTATCACCACCCTAGACTTTAGCATTATGTTGGCACTGTCCACACTACTGTAGTCATGTGGCACAGGTTGTACAGTCAACTTCGCTTATAACGACTGCGGATATAACGACAGTTCGCGAATAACGACAGAATTTCCATGCCCAGAGCAAAGTCCCATCCCACTGTGATACATATTGAGACTTCGGGTATAACGACACTTCGCGAATAAGGACACCTTTTTTGATGCCCCACCGAGTGTCGTTATAAGCGAAGTTGACTGTACATAATTATCACCGCCCTAGTCTCTCACACGGAGGACTAGCACCCCTATTGTGATCATGTGGCATGTGTCATTTTTTCGCTTGGGAGTTGTTTTTTGTTTTGTTCTCCCCGCTGTATTCCGCACGCACCTAGCCAGCTTGTTGTTTTAAAGTCTGCCTTGCTTCCGTGTCTGCTTCATCCTGAAGATGGTCAGAGTGACCGAAACGTTGAGAAGAAAGAAGAATTGTTCAGCTGTGTGAAGAAGCAGTGCATCTGAGTGTTGGCCAGTGTTGCCACAATACAAGTTGCTATAATGAAGCTGCGTGAAGCGTTCCGAATTTATAATTATACTTGTGAATAATATCTGACAAACTTCCCTCTTTCTTTTGCTTCAAGAGTTTCGATCTCCACTACATTTTTTGGAGACAACAATCTACGTGTACGTGTGGTTCGACGCACGCAGACCCACGCACACGCAGTACTGGGCGCCAGGTCCGCGTGTCATCGATATTTTATTTACTTTGAATTTCGGCTGCACCCACCACCCAGGTACGAAAATTTCACGGATTGTAAAAACTATCGACATTTACAGACGGCCCCTAAAGGAACAAATAATACATGTACATGTGCTATCGACCATAGCACTCTACAGTCCAAGTAGCACCCTAACGTTTTGGTGTCTTTCACATTGCGGTTGTAGAGTGAAAACAACAGTACATCCTAAATTGTGTAACCCGTGCAATTAATTCTTGCCACATTTGAGCCCAGAGAAGTCCAAGGACAGGGAACAAGAAGTTCAGCCAGGTTTTACAAAATTAGGACAGGTATGCCATGCCAAAATGTGTGGAGAAGCAGATCCCAAGCCAGATTTTCTAAGTTTAAAGTGGGTTTAGAGCTTCATCCTAAGTTGTGTGACCCGTGCCATGCCAAAATGTGTGGACAAGCAGGTCCCAAACCCAGATTTTCCAAGTTTGAAGCAGGTTTAGAGCTTCATTTCGGCCAAAATTGGGCTTTCAAAAGCCAGCGGGATTATTGTGGATGAATGGACTCTAGACGTGCAACTCACCTGCACTGGATTCACGCAGAGTGGCCGGCAGACCCGCGGTAGAGTCGTCCAGCTTAGCGTGTCCCTTAATGGCCTGCACGTGCTGTACGATACGCTCCGGCGGCATGCTGACTAGCAGTGTGGCCGGTAGATCCACGTCCATGCTCTCCAGGAGCAGTGCGGACAGCTTGACTGCCGACAGGCTGTCCACACCCTTGGCAGCCAGCGTGGCAGAGCTGCCGGGTTCTGCCGCCGTCGCCGCGGACTGCGATGCTGAAGGTGGCTCAGTGCCGGTGATGAGAGAGATAATACTGTGGACTTGATCCGCCAGCTCACTATTACATAGCAGATGTGATACAGAAGGAACACGGACATCATCAATTCATCGGTGAACAAACTGATTACTGGGCACAACTAACAACGTCCAGCATCTCTAGGCTTTGTGTCCTTGGATCACAGCCTGCGGTACACTAAGCCTGAACTTCACTGAATTTTAGAAACCCCAATGTTACGTACAACACACTGGTGCACTAACCACCAGACCGCCACCCCCATCTCCCCACCCCCACTCCCTCCACACACACACGCACGTACATTACGTTGTCTATAAAATTCAAATCTTTGCAAGCAAGCAAGATTGTTTATACAGGAATGTCGCTGTAGTGTGGGCTACATGATCACAGTAACATTCATGCTCCAGTCGCCTATTCATCTCAACTTACCTTTGCTGGTCTGCATTGTAGTCTGCGTATAGCTTCTTCAAACGATCGCGGTAGTGAAGCTGCAGTTTAGGGCGGCATCGCTTTCTCGTCTCAGTCAGCAAGCCGTTGTCAGAAGTGAAGACCTCCGGCTCAATGAGAAGCCCGCACGGTACTTCCCAGCCAGGTAGCTTGAACACACTAGCTGTTGTTTGAATCTAACAGGATAGAAAGAGAGGAAGACAGTGGGAGAGAGACAGAGAGGACGGAGAGAAAGACAGAGTAGGGAGAGACAGACAGAGAGGAGGAGAAGGAGGAGGAGGAGGAGGAGAGAGAGAGAGAGAGAGAGAGAGAGAGAGAGAGAGAGAGAGAGAGAGAGAGAGAGAGAGAGAGAGAGAGAGAGAGAGAGAGACAGAGAGAGAGACAGAGAGAGAGACAGACAGACAGACAGACAGACAGACAGACAGACAGACAGACAGACAGACATACAGACAGACAGACAGACAGAGACAGAGAGAGACAGAGAGAGACAGAGAGAGACAGAGAGACAGACTCGGAGAGACAGAGAATGACAGAGAAACAGAGAGAGACAGAGAGAGACAGAGAGGGAGGGAGGGAGGGAGGGAGGGAGGGAGGGAGGGAGGGAGAGAGAGAAAGAGAATTCAGTCTGCAGGAGAAGACAAAGTGGATTCAGTGTACACACATGGGATTTTCCCCTTTGCTACATTCGTCCCGCCGCAAGCTATCACCCAAACATGTGTTGTACTCTGTTGACCACTACTGACACCTACAATAGCGCACGACTAATCTTATGTATAGTGATCAGCGCAATATCCATGCTCCCCTACACAGACCCCCTCCACACACAGATTGGCATACCTCATTCCATAGGAAATCATACACCGTTTGTGAAGCACAGATCTGCTCATAGTCCAGACTACCAGCTGACCCACCGTCATCACCTGGAATTACAATCACAAAACCAAGGCATTGGAGTAGAGAACAATCACATATAGTGTGCTGTAATGTTACAGCCTGCACAATGGTCATATCGCAGGTTAAGCCAAGAGAACATTGCTGAATTTGATTAATGGATGGGGAATATTGAGGTCTTCGACGATGAAAGTACCTGTATATTATATAGCTAAGAGGCTAGAATAGAGGTAATCGCTATCAGGACAACAACTCACCAGCGCCATGCTCCTTCCACCAGCCGCACAGTGCGGATCGTTCGGGCACGACTACGGCCACGATCTTGTCTTGCTCGCTCTCACCGTAGACGTAGACTTGTGTTATGTAGGCACTGCCGTCAACGTACAGTGGCTCCAACCTCTCCGGTGCAACAAACTCACCCTGGGCCAGCTTGAAGAAGTTCTTCTGTCTGCAATAGGAAGAATCACACATCCACTAGTTGGGGGAATGGAAAACTTGGGAAAAGTCTGAAGAAAAAATTGACTGTCACCACCAGGACTCAAACCAGGCACCTTTGCTTGAGGTCAGCGATGCTCTAACTTAACCACTGAGCTATGGTGTAGCCATCATTCCAGCAGAGACCGTTCAACATTTTCTTCAGACTTCGAAACTCTTGCTTCCTATCACACCATTCAGGTTTTGCTCCCATTGAATCAGGCCTTCATTTAAACCCCTTGCAGCACACCCCATGTACAGTATTGCCGGGCACCTAAAATCAGTGTGCCGAGGAGCTAACAGACAGACTAGTATTTCTCCAAGCACAGTACATGTGCACTGGTATGTACGAGGTGACTGCACATACTTGAAGCAGACTGTACTGCATGAAACATAAGGAGCAGCCTCGGGGACAACCCAGATTGTCACGTTCTACGGTACCCGGGCAACACTGTGAGTGTATACTTGCTAGATAACCAAACTTAAGACAAGAACAAGCTTCACGCTCCTCACAATGAACAGCTTCAAAACGTGTCCACGGGTACTTCATTGCCGTCTCATCAAGTGGAATACAGGCAAAAAGAACTAAGCAAAGGCAATGGATTTCCTACAGTGTAGATATGATAGCAACAGTGAAAAGAAAAGTAGCCAGAAACATCTGATCACTATGGAACAACATAGCCAGATGCCAAGGTTAAAACAGCCACTGGGTAGCTGTCACGAGATTGAGTAACCAGACTACAGACCCCCCCCCCATATCCCACCCTTCCCTAACCCCACCTGCCCCTGTCTCGAGCCCAGCTGCCTCACGTTAATCATCAGGGCCAGATACCCAGCAATAACCCAGCAACCCCACCGGGCCACACTCTTACCGATCAATTATCCGAACTTTGCCTGTACTCAGGTCCCGCACGCCAATATCGCCAGTGCGGAAGTAGCCATCAACAAACCTGCAGACACGAACATACATCACACCACAGGGCATTGTGATTACCGGGGAAACAAGCGACTTCACAGCCAAAGCATATCACTGCTAAGTACCCATTGCCTCATATCCATACACATTGTATTCATATGCCACCAGCCCACCATAGGTCCATGCATGCACTGCTCTGTAGTAGAGCCACCTTCCCATTGTTCTACATTTTCCATCTCATGTTCTCCTGTTTTCCCTTTCCAGTGGGGTGGTGTTATTAATTAATTTTTAAAGTTCTTTCTAGATCAAATGGTATCCTTAAAGGGGAAGTATACCCTAAAATCAATTTCGTTCTTATGCTCTTAGAAGAACAAAACAGTGTTAGTGCTTTTAAAGACATTTTCCACACAAATCCCCATCTTGTAGGGCGCAGTCACCCAGTTTCGGTGGAAGTGCACGAGTTCGATTGGGAATCTAGGAGGAAGGGAGCGTCTCAGCTTCCTCGGACCAAGACCATTCGACTCAGCACCCCGAAGACTACAACTGGTGAAAATTTGATTTAGGGTATACTTCCCCTTTAACTACACCCTGTATACGGTTATTGCCTCTTGTAATTTGTCATCTTGCACAGTTTTTACCTACTGCCATGGCTGGCTATTGCCCCTCCCTCCATATTGGCCTCTATTCCCTGGCCACGGGAAGGTTGCATGAATCAATAAAGGAATAAAATGGTACCCTTAAGTGCCCTATTCATAGTGACTAGCACCATCTTTAGCTTACTTTGCAGCAGTCTCTTCTTCCCTGAGATAATACCCACTGATCATGAATGGCGTCTTGACGCAGATCTCGCCGCGCGGTGGATCATCCGACGTCAGATAACCCATCTCCGGTACGTCGACTAGCTTGACGTCCGCTTGCGATGAAATGCGCCCGTCCTGCGTGATGGCACCCACCTAGACCAGAGCCGTGTACGACACATAGGCACCACTGAATAAAATTCAATTTGATACAGATGACAAAAGAGGAAATGCATAGCCCCGAACCTAATCAATGATCACCTCAATAACAGTTGTTGTTGTTGTTGTTGTTGTTGTTGTTGTTGCTGCTGCTGCTGCTGCTGCTTCTGCTGCTGTTGTTGTTGTTGTTGTTGTTGTTGTTGTTGTTGTTGTTGTTGTTGTTGTTGTTGTTGTTGTTGTTGTTGTTGTTGTTGTTGTTGTTGTTGTTGTTGTTGTTGCCGTTGTTGTTGTTGCTGTATACAATCATGTACTATATTATAAATACTATAGTAATAAATGTGGAAAGGAAGAGGACATATGGATACAAGTTAAGTAAGAACTATAGTAATAGTAATAGTAATAGTGAGAGTCAAAACTGCAAAAACTCCTAATAATGATGGAGCCACCGTGGTCTACGATGATCAGGAAAGGAAAAGGACCTATCAAGCTTACAGACAAATATTCACTCCTACCTCCGTTGCACCATATCCATCCACCACCATTCCCACCAAGACGCTACGCATGAACTTCAGGACGGCCGCGCCAGTCGACGCTCCGCCAGTAACAAGGATTACGGCGCGCCGACCGAGCACCGTCTTGAAGCGCTCCGCCACCGCCTGGACCACGGCCGCCTCATCCACAAAGTCACCGGCTTCTTCCGGAGGAAAGGCGCTGGCCGATTCATTGTCGTGGCTGAGTTGCCGACGTAGGCCCTGCGCTAACTGGCGGTGTTCAAGCTCCTCGTCGGCTTCATGGATATTCTCACTTTCCACAGACTTGTTGCTGGACAATCTGGCAATTGTAGAGGGTGGCAACAGTGATGATGAACCACTTTCCCCTTCCGATGACAGAACACTGCCAGTTTTTCCAGGTTCAGCATCTGCTAGCTGTGATTCTGAATTGCTCATCGAGCTTACATCTAATGTGAGCTCTTCTTGGACTTGGGATGCTGCGGTCACTGAACTAGACGGCTCGGACGTTATCACGGCAGCTTCAAGTTGTCTCTTCTGCTGCTGTTCGTGCTGCTGCTCCAGGCGTTCCTTCCGCAGGCGATTCTGCTCCCTGGCACGCAGAACAGCGGACATGACCTGCTGCTGGTACTGGTTGTAGAGCATTGTCCAGAAACGTGGCGTGCAGGCAATTACGGTCGGCTCCACGCTGGCAATGTCGGTGAACACCTGAAGCAAGAGATAGCCAAACACCAAGAGCGTGCAATGAATATGGGGGAATGTGTAATCCACAAGGATCATGTTAGTGCGACTCCACTTTTCACAACTGTACGATCATCAATACATGAACACTCACTGATTGTTTGCCTACTACATGATAAGAACAAGCCAACATACCGTATTTCCCCCATTAAACGCAGGCACGTCTCCAATACTAGTAACGTTACGTCTCCAATTGTAGTACATGTTGAGTGTGGATCTCAAATATAAAAGGACGTGCCTCTAATAATAGTACATGCCGGAATGATGTGATGCGCATTACCGGGCCACAGGTACCAGGTCCTCCGTAATTCGTTTTCCTTACCCGTCCATCGCCTTTGTGTCTTTCTACACTGTTTCTTACCATGGTTGGATGTATTTACAGCCTTACAGTATCATTATCACGAGTTGTTTGTCACCCAATTCAGGCAATCAATTTTTCCAGAACTATAAAAGCACACGTCTCCAATACCAGTACAGTCTCCTATAGTAGTACCGGTCTGACCACCTTTGAAAAATAAAAGTACAGTTGACTTCGCTAATAACGACTGCGGATATAACGACAATTCGCGAATAACGACACAATTTCCATGCCCAGAGCAAAGTCACATCCAATTGTAATACATATAATGGGACTTCGGGTATAACGACACTTCGCGAATAAGGACACTTTTCTGATGCCCCGCCGAGTGTCGTTATACGCAAAGTTGACTGCACTGTACATTTATTGGGGAAAGTACGGTACATACTGCACAGTACAACGTGGGTTTGAAGACCACCCTGGAGTGCATAGAAAACTGGCCTTTATCATAATATACAGCTGGTCCTTCAAAACAGGTTCAAATGCATCTAGTAACATGATCTGTATCCTGAAATGACCCGTCTCATAAGACAGGTGGTCTTTGACCACAGGCTCAAATGTATGTAGTAACAGGTCCATGCTTTGAAATGACTGGTCGTATAGGACAGATGGTCTTTCAATGCAGGCTCTAATGTATATCGGAACGTGGTAAGGTCACAGAGGTACAGTTTTGGCCAGAGAAATTCAACCTCCTGATCTAGTAGCACAAACGTTCGAGTTTACAGAGCAGTGTGTGTAGTGCCAGGGCTGTGTAGTGCCAGGGCTGTGTAGCGCCAGGGCTGTGTAGCGCCAGGGCTGTGTAGTGCCAGGGCTGTGTAGCGCCAGGGCTGTGTAGTGCCAGGGCTGTGTAGTGCCAGGGCTGTGTAGTGCCAGGGCTGTGTAGTGCCAGGGCTGTGTAGTGCCAGGGCTGTGTAGCGCCCAGCACCATTATAATATTCATGAGGTTGGATTTCTCTGGTCAGTACAGTAGGTGGTCTCTTTAGGCAGTGGTGCTCGCAAAACACAGGTCTTTAGGCAGTGGTGCTTGCAAAACACAGGTATTTAGGCAGTGGTGCTTGCAAAACACAGGTCTTTAGGCAGTGGTGCTTGCAAAACACAGGTCTTTAGGCAGTGGTGCTTGGAAAACACAGGTCTTTAGGCAGTGGTGCTTGCAAAACACAGGTCTTTAGGCAGTGGTGCTTGCAAAACACAGGTCTTTAGGCAGTGGTGCTTGCAAAACACAGGTCTTTAGGCAGTGGTGCTTGGAAAACACAGGTCTTTAGGCAGTGGTGCTTGCAAAACACAGGTCTTTAGGCAGTGGTGCTTGCAAAACACAGGTCTTTAGGCAGTGGTGCTTGCAAAACACAGGTCTTTAGGCAGTGGAGCGTGCAAAACACAGGTCTTTAGGCAGTGGTGCTTGCAAAACACAGGCATCCGGCTGTACGTACGTGCTGCATGTCCCCTCGGTAGAATCCCACACATCCACCGTTGACGAAGCTGGCAATGACCATGCGGTGATCAGTACTATGAGCTGGCGGCTGGAATGAAAACCAAACGTCTCGCTTGCAGTTCCTCAGCCCTGTTGGCTTGACCTGATGCATGGCAAAAAGCAGGTTATGCACAGCAAACAGAGAGCATCAAATTAACAACAATTGTGCATATGATGCCGTGGCCTACTGAGACCAACACAACGCCCCATTTGTTTGTGCAATGGCAGATTTTTCATCAACCACCACACCATTGCGCTGTCCAGCCGGCCTCGACGAGCTGCCACAACACATCACCAGCAAAGCGACACATCCGTTGGTACTGAATTCCTTCATACAGCTTCACAGGGGCGGATCCAGGAGGGGGTCCAGGGGTTCCGCGGAGCCCCCTAATTTTCGTAAATGTACAACTGGCAACCATATGCGTGTCCATTTACATGACATTGTATCAGTTACTGCACAGGCAGAAAATTTCGTCGGTCAATAATTTCGTCCAACTCCAAAAAAAACGAAAGGGAGTTCATCTGGTTGTAAATTTCGTCCATGGATCATAAGAGTGTACTGAAAAGCTGGACAAATCGACATTAGTCCGGCATTGAATTTAGTCCAAAAGCTCCCTGGACGAAAAAGACGAAATTAAATTCCAGATGAATATCTCTGCTTATAGAGTATTCAGTTTTGACTATACTGGAACCCCCCCTGTAGAGATCGCTGGATCCGCCGCTGCTTCAGGTTCAGCTTCATAAATCTGTACAGGGTCGAATGTTGCTGCTGACCCCTTTATTTAATGTTAAAGGCACTGTAGCAAGTTGGTGCAGCAGAGCCAGTCGGGACCGTAAGGACGTTCTCAGAACAGAAACTATGAGTATATATGAGCGATGAATAAAAGAACTTTGCGGTTCAGGTCAGAGTCAGCCGGACTGAATGTTCCGCATCCTCCGGAACACCATAGCCCTCAAGGATCAATGTGCAGATACAGCCCCTGGATGTGTGTACCACGATGATTATAAGTAGACATCTTCTCCAAGGCTTTTAGGTATGCCCAAAACGAGGCAGGAAATACTTGTTCATCTAGACTTATAGCTAAGACTGAACGTTCCGCATCCTCGCAAGAACCTTCATCGAGCCCCACCAACTTGGGAGTACTTGCCTGTAGCAATGACCTGTTGTACAGTTCGCGAGTGAACACACAGCCCTTGGGCACACCGGTACTGCCACTCGTATACATGATGGTGTAGATGGTGTCAGCGGACGGCCTAGCAAACAAAATCAGGAGACACGGAGAACGGTGCTGAACTGCCAAGATTACACAGCCGTGAACAATGTATGGCATACAGTGGAGCCTGACAAATGTAGACAACCAATGGATCAGCCAAATATTTCCTCATTGCAAAAGGTGCATGTCTTTAAATTCCAACCTTCACCACTACTGCCTTTCACTATTGAAGCTCAAAGACCTTGGTGTGAAAAAGGAGAATAGAATATGACCAGCGCTCTGCGAAAACCGACCTTAGGTGCTATTTTGGCGAAATTGAGTTTGTGCCGGATTGTTGACCCATGACCCTTTCTTCAACTTCTGGTGAAGTTTGAGGTGGATTGCATACATATTCAGTTAGATACAATGACAATTTCTTTGCACTTTTCCTACAATTTTTTGAGGAAAAGTAGCAAAAATCCTGGATTTTATGCTTCATTTTGGAGCCAATGCTGTGAGAGTTCAAGCAGCATGATTGCCACCAAACTTTGCAAAATAAATCTGTATGTCATAATCTTCAAAAGGAAAGGTTTATGATGGCATTGTATCTTCCTGTTGTGGAGATAGACACATTCTATCTCTGTTCTGTGGATGGTGTTGCTCACGATCTGCTGGAAGAGGTATTTGGCTCTGTATGAGGATATGCCAGCCGGTGTGATGGGTAGAGGCAGGTGCAAAGTAGTGAAGAAGCTTGGATCAATGTCGGGTTAACGGATATTGATAGTTTTATCTGGTACTGGTAATAGAACATCTAGTTATGTCTACATCTGCCGCACACATTGTTTCATAATCGGTGATATCATGGCAGTCTCTTTTCCAAATCTTGCCAAACGTACTGTATGCAGCTTTGCCACCAGGCTTTGTGAACGCCTGGTGAACAAGCTTCTTCGTAGTGATGCTGGGCAAATACATGTACATGTAGGTTGGTACTGGCTTGTTGTGCCCATGTGGATCTGCAGGTTAAGGGAGGCCATGAGCTATAGCATAATGCTCTATAAAATGCTTCAGCTCCACAACATCTTCCACAGGCAGTGCATTCCAGAGTTCATTCTATTCCTGTGTTGGGCTGATTTCACTTGCACTGACAGCAGCCTGCACAGATTTCAGCACCCAGGGCTTGATCCTGGGCTGGAGGCATACACAAAGACGGTGGTGGTGGTGGTGGTGGGGGGTGGTGGTGGTGGAGGAGGTGGCGGTGGTGGTGGTTGGTGGTGGTGGTGACAATTTAATTAAAGAGATACTAATTATAAATCCTGTCGACAATTTTCAAGCCAGGCTCACCTAATTCTTTCAAGCTGTACTGCGGGCTCGGACTTGCCTCGATCAATCAACCCACTCCAAGTCACCAGCCTAATGTCATCCAGGCCTGAGAACTGAAGGCTATCAACACCCTGCTAACACGAAGATGGACAGGAGGAAAATCCGCATATCAACAAGCTACCTTTGATACAAGCATTCTGTAAGCATCATATCCTGCAAAACTTGGAATACAACACAAACATCCACTACGGGTTCTGAGTGGCAACAAAGCTGAGGAAATACTGATTCTGTGCCCAAATCTGTCCCCTTGGAAAAACGCGATTCCGCGGCCGCGGCAAATTTCGCAGAAGTTGCCATCATCCGCGGAAATCACGGAATCCACACTTTTGCCCGCGGAATCCGAATTTTTTAGGGCAAATTACTAAAATTACTACTCAGAAAGCAGCAGAAAAACTACTTTGCAATCTGTTTGAGCACATAACATGTGACATTTCCCTTGCCAGTGTAGGTCTCTCCAAGATTCTTCACTCTCATTCGGTTTGTGACTGAAAAGTATAGTATGAAAAGTGCTCCTTCATGCGACTAGTTGTCATATCCTCTACGAGGAGGGTGAAAAACTTGCAGAAAGTGCCGCAGATTTGTGATTTTACCGCAGAAAATGCAGCAGAAAACCCCCCTCTTCCCCGCGGAATTTGCCGCGGAATTTTGAATTCTTGGCCGCATTTTTCCAAAGGGACAGCCAAATGGAATACATGTAAAGTTCAGGAAGGTCTACATCTAGTGGAACTTGACAGTCCAGTTGGATCCAACAGCAATGATAAAAATAATACCTCAGTCACTTCGTCCAGGACGATCACCAGCTTGACCATCAGTTCTGAGTTTCTGCACAGCCGCAGCAGCAGTACACCGCATAACAAGAACGCACAACACACGAGGAAGACAAGCTCATTGGTGCTGAAAAAGGATAGGAAAACCGTCTGATTCAGGTGTGAATTATATTCCCGTTTTAAGTTTTGGTGTACTTTGCAGGTGATCTATGTAACTTTAAAAACTGTTTAAAGGTAATCATATGATAAGAAAACATCGAGGACGAACTACTTGAATCGCTGTACAAATAAGTGCAGCCAAGCCTCTGTGGATGCCTCAGTTTTAAGGCCTTCCCAGAGACCACGAACATGGTTTACCTGTCATCAGCTGCTGCAATGGACCAACATGTGACGTGTCACTTTTCATCGAAAGTAATATAACAAAGTATCTTAAACCAGTTGCTCAAGGTGTTCATTTTCCGACACTTTACCTAACAATACTGACAATAAATAATATTTGAAACTCGGGTATTGAGCCAATAATAAAAGTATAAAGGAAAAGGACATATGGAAACGAGTTAAGAGTAACTCTCCACCACTGTAACTAGATACTATATACAGTCAGAAAGTGCAACAACTAGGCACAAAACTGACAGAGTACTGAGACATTCGACGTCCTGACACCTAGCTTCAACACATCTCCTGCTGTCGGTTAGCGCTACAGAGATGTGTTGAAGCTAGGTGTCAGGACGTCGAATGTCTCAGTACTTTGTCAGTTTTGTGCCTAGTTGTTGCACTTTCTGACTGTATATAGTATCTAGTTACAGTGGTGGAGAGTTACTCTTAACTTGTTTCCATATGTCCTTTTCCTTTATAAATAATATTTCTTACCATTTTTTATAAAGGTGAAGTGTCGGAATATAAATCATATGTTGGAAAACGTTGCTGCCCCTTCTCCCCCTCCCTCCCCTCCCTTCCCTCCCCTCTTACCCCCCCCCCCCCATCCAGCCCTTGCTTACCCCAAGGCAAATGATAAAAAAGAAGCAAAATGGGTAAAGGCGACACATTGTTTCATCTTACTTCATTGCCTGATAACCAGTAGGACTTACCTCTGTAATGCAGTCTCAAATCTGGGAAGGCACTGCTTGCTGCAGAAGAGAATTCTGACCTTAGTCTGCGCTAGGATGTAGTCTATCATTGCCTACGTGGAAAGCAGATGAGAGAGACAGGAAGAGACAGGAAAGCACACACACACACACACACACACACACACACACACACACACACACACGCACGCACGCACGCACACACACACACACACACACACACACACACACACACACACACACACACACACACATGAACACACACAGACGAAAGGAACAGATTATGCAATGGCAAAGACCAACATGGTGTAACAGTTCCAACACACTTAGTTCCAAGTGAAGGACAACCAAACCATGTCATGCATCAGGTTATAAAGGGTAAAACGCATAAGAACCAATCAGAAGGTGCAACGGGAATGAACCAGCAGTGTCAAGGTGCGAACAGACTGTGTATGTGTGACAGTATCAAAGGTGAGAACAATGAGAAGTTGACAACTTGGCAGTTATAGCGTAAACTGTAACACATCGACCAAGGGTCCGTCATGATGTCTCCCACCAAAATAATAATCGGGCTTGAAAGTGCTACGTCACACGGTCACAGCCAGGTCGGAGTCATGACAACGCACACTTTCAAATCCACGTAGATCCCGTTTTTGTATAGATCGGCGAATATTTGGGTGGTTTCCTTCGTGTCATTCTATTAGGATGACACAAAGTCCGGTCGCCATAACAGCAGCGTGACATATCCACCGGTAGTGACTGGACTGTGACCTCCTGTCCAGGGTCACACTGCTAGCCGAACAAAAAGTCGCACTGGCATGCAAACTGAGGGGCCTGGGTACTTCGCCATGGTCAGCGTGGATCCAATTTGGCCCAACAGCTGTTATTAATAATATTATTGACTTCTGACGACATCCCTTTCCAGCCCTATTCTACGACTATGCAGAGACCTTCTCCGCAGGGAAAGTGATCCTTCTCCATTTTGACTTATACCCCATCTATCGGCTGCTGACGGCAGCATTGTCGGGCAGTATTATGTCAATAGTGAAAGTGAGCTATTAGACCTTGGGTTTCATTCTTAGAGATTGCCCCCCCCCCCAACCACCACCACCTCCACCACCAACGCACCAACCCATCTACAACTTGCTGCGTTATTGACAGAAAGAGCAGTGTGGCACAACCACTAGCAGCAGTACTGTGACTTCTGCTCACCTCATCTCCAGTGGTAACGATAGGTACCTAAACACAACCATGATCCGCGTACAGGTGCACACACATCAACACAGAGCACACACACACACACACACACACACACACACACGCACACACACACACACACACATACACAGAGAATGCACATGATTCACCGCACCTGTGCTGACACTATGAGGTATTGAGACCGTGACACACAGGTCAAACAAAACCAGGATACTCTATGCAGGTACAAACTTGTCTGCAGATCAATCCGAGTCTCCAATGAACACTTCAGTACTGCAAGGATGCTGGGCATCATTCAATGCTAGTCAAATATATCCAGAACCTTGAGCAGATACAGTAAAACCTGAAACTAACGACCGCCCCTTGGTGCCAGAGAAAGCAGTCTTTAATGGCAGGTGGTCTTCAGTCAGAGGTTTGCACCGCACAACCATATATGAATGTGAGACCGTCCGTGCTTGGCAAAGTGGTCTGTAGTACCAGGCTGGTCGCTAGTCACGGTGGTCTTTAGTTACCGGTTCAACTGTACATTCAATTTTCCATAGCAGCAAGGCAACTTCGAAATACAAACTAAAAAAACACTGGAATGAGCAGTTCCTGAGCATGCACAGAACAGCACAAGCAGAGCTCACTGACGGTTGGTTTTCCAAGCAGGGTGCAAGCCATCTGGGCGGTGTACCACTGTGCCGACGAGTTGCCACACAGCCCGACCATGTCGGTCCCGGTATCCGACTTGACCAAGTCGGCCTCCAAAGCATCCAAGCCCGTGGCAACCTGTTGGATGACCGTAAACTGGTCGCTATACCTGAGCAAAGCAAATCACAAGGAACAGAAGAGAGAAACACGTGGACAATATTCATGCCATGACAATAACAACATCCATGGTGCGTATCAGGAATGGGTCAATCTGGGCCCAGATCAGTCAAGCCCATTCACTGGAGTCCTTACCTTCAAAAGACAAAGTGGGGAACTTTGAAGTAGAGAAAACTTTTACTTGAAGTAAAATAAAGTACAAAATACGCGGACCGCTAGGCACAACACCAGCGAAAAAGTACATGTAGCAGCAATCAACCTAGCTAGCAAGTAGGAATGGATTATCACCCACAACATCCGTACATGCTCACACCCTATGCCCAATCTTTCTCTGTGTCATTAAGCAATTCACCCCCCCCCCCCCCTCCACACACACACACACTCTGATATTTGCAGTGATGAAGGAATTGCTCCGTGACCATAGTCACTGGATGACTGGAAGAATTGAATGATTGCGCAGGAACCGAATGAGGGGCCTTTCAGCACCAACCACAGGAATTTTGGCATCACTCACAGGAATTCGAACCACTCACTGAACATAAGTTATTTTTTATTTATCGTCTCCACTTCATGGCACATAATATTAATACATAGCCAATGCAAGAAAGGGAGGGTGAATCCAACCACGGAAAATAGTTAGGAGCACTTCATGCCTTCAAAAATAGCAAACCATGGCTTTTCTGGGGCTTTCGGAAGGGCACACTGTGGGCTACTATAAAACAGTTCAGAGTCCCTAGTTTGAAACCAAGCTGCAAACCAACCCACCACGCCTTGACATGACCAACCCTGCACTCCGAGCAATGACAGCCAAGCCATGATTGTATTGTTCTACAGGTGTGACACATCTAAAGACACAGTCCTTGTCTACTTATGTCCTGGGCACATCCAACACAACATCACCAGGCTCCCAGTAATGATAAGCACCAGATCCCGGCTTACCAACTCTACCATCCATCACGAGTCTTTACACCATCATCCCATCCCCACATTATAGATTTCTGAGATGGTCGAGGATTTCTTGCCACACCAGGCTCAACTCATAGCACTGCCTTATTCCCAAACCGTGATGCAACCAAAAATCCAAACCTACACGGGCCGCTTATTATACAGGTGTACCGTACAAGACATTTTAAGCCAGTGGGGCAGTTTAGTCTGACTAGCAGATTGAGCGGTGGTAAGCAATACATTGAATTGCTTACTTGTTCCAAACATACTGTCCCGTCGCGCTGTCTCGCACGCCAAAGCACCTGCGGTCAGCATAGTGTCTGCAGTACAAAGCACATGCACATATGTGTACATCAATACGCGAAAAGCTATCCCACTGCAGACTTGAACTTAGAAACACCCAACGTCCAGCAACTGAAGCATATAACACATACTTCAGTATACCGAACATTGCCACAACTGCTATATTATTCACAGGAGTATGCAATCCAAGTCTACATGTACATTATACTTACATAAACGTGTTCAGCAGAAGTTCTTGGAGGGTTTCAGCAGTGCGGACAGCTGCCCAAGTTTTCTGTGGGGATCTGGCAGAAAAGAAAATATCAAACCGGAGTTGCATTCCAAACAACTTGACAACATTGAACTCGGATGGTGAGCCAATTGAATTATGGTGAAAAAGGAGAAGGACAAAATGTTACAAGTTTTGACCAACTGTCCACCAACGTAACCAGATCTTATAGAGTCGCACATACACCCCCCCCCCCCCCCCCCACACACACACACACACTCTCTCTCTCCCCAGTACCCATTGATGTGTGGTGGCATACTGTTCACTGTTTCCAGCCTACCCTTGCTCTATTGATTGCTATCCAGCAGCTCTCCAGCCATCTCCTTCCTGTTCCTCCCATCAGGCTATACTCTTCATCACACACTTTACGTTTATGTGTACAAGAAAATCAATTCAGTGACCGTTTGAAACCGCACCGGTAACCATAGTAACTACACAGCCATACACTACATTCTTACTCACCTTGTTTCGATAATGAATGTATGTCCGGTACCCATGCTGGATGTGTGTTGCTCGCCGTTCTGGTGGCCACTGTTGGGATCCACGTCGTCGGTGTGGAAGCACTTAGCGCACAGGTCATGGCTTTCGTCGCACCCCTGGCAATGGTACCGATCAGTGCCTTCCTGCAACAGTCCAGCCAATCATAACAAAATACACCGAATCATGAACTTGAGTCTATTTAGATAGATTGAGCACTATAAATCGAGAAATTACACACGTACATGTATGTGAAAAGTTTCGTACCTTGAGCCTCCTCTACCATTCATCCCAGCACTCTCCACACCAGATCCGCATTCGTACATCCACGCTTCTAGCCAAAGGGGGCAAAGCTTATTTTTACTTTTTCAAAGCGAGTTTTCGGCATCTCAGCTACCTTGCCCGTCAATGACCGTGTCACCATCGTATTCAGCATCCTCAAATTAGTTTAGATGGGTTCATGGTATGGTTCTCCTCTGCACTAGTAGCTGCCATTTTGTAAAGTTCGTATCCAGTGGCTGAAGTTGACTGTTGAAGGGGACTACTTTAGGAGGGGTGCGGCATGACAGAGTGAGCAGACTTTTGGCTTGTAAATCCATGGCCGCTACTGTTCTTTATGTGGAGGCAGTGGACGCGCTTGGGCAGAAACTGATTATTTCAATCCATCGAAGCAGTACACATCCCGTCCAACATCTGCGGCGCTTTCTCCGCCATTCTCCAACAATTCCGTAATCCCCATATCGCTCAGGTCTTCAGTGAGTGCGTTCGATTATGCCCGCGAATCGATTGATGAATCCATTGATGAATCCATTCATGAATCGCCCCTGGCTACTGTATAAGTAACAAATTTTCATTTGGAATTAACTTTCGCTATATTCGTTAGGGGGGCCGAAATAACTAAAGTTTGTACAAAACTAAAGTTTTTTTTCTGAACGTTTGGGGTGACAGACCTTGACCACAACGAAATTTAGTACGTAACAAGCCTGCTGGTGGAGTGATCTAACGAAAGATTTCGTGAATGAAAATTTGTACTTTATATACAGTATTCACATCACCCTATCTGCCCGTGGAGGGGGGGGGGGGTAGGGCATGTGGATAGGGTGAATGGATTCAGAATCGATTCCAGGGCTCATGACATGAAATCGAACGGCGAGATTCCATTCATGAATCGATTTAAGTGCGTAATCGAACGCACTCAGTATTCATGAATGGATTCACGCAGGCATAATCGAACGCACTCACTGTGTATGCACGATATTCATGAGTTTGGAGAAACCCACCTTTGTGTAACTATGCAATTCCACTGTTTCCACTGGTTCTCTTCCCGTAGCACGAGAAACTCCCTTTCCCTTCCGAAACCTAAGTCCTCCTTTCTACTTCACTCTCCCTTTTTCACTGCGTACTCTGCGTGGCTGGCACTTCCCCAAGAAGCTAAGGACCTTTCTTCCCTCCGCCTTTTTAAGAGTCTTGTCGCACCTTGACTTTGATTTTGTGTTTCTCATTTTGTTGCAATCACTGCTTATCCATGCCGGTTCCTCTTTTCTTCTCCTCCCCTTCTCCCTTCCTTGCCGTGGTTGGCTAACACCCTCTCTCTTTGTATTGGCCGGTGTTCTCACTGTGCTATGAGATGCTGTAATAAATAAATAAATAAATTGCAATATTGCATACATGGTCTACGAATATTGCATACCACCTCTGTGACCTCATAACTCCAGTATGGGACAAGACGTTCCCATGAACTTTTCTGTGTGTGCTTTACAGAGGTGCTTCTATCAAGCCGTGTAATTTGTGGGCCATAATTCCAATTTCAAAATTGTGGGCTGAAGTCGCTGCTCATAATACTCGCGATGATCATCATTAAAAAAATGTCATGGACAATCACGTGCATTATGCATGCCGGAATATCACGGACATCGTGTAGAAGAAAGACGGTAAACTCACTGGTATATCTACAAAGCAGCTGTTGCATTTGTAGTGACTGTCACCACTGAAGCCGGCGTCCAGGTCGTCCTGGCCATCGCCTTGCTGGCCCCATCTCGCAGCCGCGTCTCTGCTCTCCGAGTCCGTGCTATCCTGACCCGATGGGACCAGGCTTTCAACTACTAACGCAAGGGCCCTGCGCAAGGCTGCAACCAGCTTCATGATCCTTGCCCTCGCTTACACCGGTTGTTAGGTAGCGCCTAACGAACTGCTAACGACCCCACCTGCAAACATTAAATTTTATCCATATCTTCCCAGCCAAATACAACACCGTCTACGTCTACTTCATGGAGAAGAAAGGTGCTGTCAACGACGTGCATGCATGCAACCAGCAGGCCAGGGAGTCGTAAAATACGGTGTTTTACGACTCCCTGGTTGCATGCAACAATTACATCATCATCGGTACATGACAGTCATGTGAAAAACAGAACAGCTTTTTTGTAGTGCATGTGCCTGATGACAGTGATCAGGTGATGTGGCCGGAGGATCGGACTCGCATTTTGCAGTGCATGCACCTGAAAATTATTATGTATGCATGATGCATCATATCACTGTGGGGTTTTCCCTCGCCTGGACTCGCTGCTAGCTAGCTATGGTCCGGGGGAGTACTGCACTGACATACTACGGTACCGGTAGTATAGTAATACTGTAGTAACAGTAGATCTGTGTCTGTACTGTAGTCTTGTCTTTCGTGCTGTGAGCTGTAGCATAGCGCCTATGAGTATGAGCGAGTATACGACGCGACGAGTCGATCGAGTGTGATGGAAAAACGACTTTTTCAGTGTCACTGTGGTTCAGCTAGATCAGCCTGCAGTGTGAACGCAGCCGCTGGAGTGGAGGTCACATCGTTTCGACCGCTAGCGAAGGGCTTTGGTCCGGAAGACCAAATGCAAAGAATCGGCTTGCAAGTGCATGCCAGATGTACCCTGAGATTGTCCCAGTTTCCTGATATCCGAGCAGCATGACTGTATAATACAATGTATTATACAGTCATGCTGCTGTAATCATGGTAATATTCACGCTAAGAAGATCGTCAGCGTCCACCGGACAAAAGGTCGGTGACGGACTGAAGCTCGCAAGTACAATCATGCAAGCTTCTGCCGGGCAGGTGCGCAGTCGAAGTTAGTTCTTGACTTCAGCCACATTGTATTTGTAAGCTTTCGTTTCCATCGTATTCATACCAGAAGCGTAAAGTAAACTGGTCGTAGTCTCACTAGTGAGTTGTATGAGTAGAAGGCTATGTGCTGTCACAGTTTGATATTGAAGAATTTGTCTGGCCAGGCACTAAAAGTAACAGTTGTCTGATAGCCGCAGAAGAGCGGCAGGATCGTCCGAAGGCTCTCTCGTTGGGACCAGCGCCCGCAGGAAAGCCGTAGGCGTAGGCGCACGCACGTGTTCGTTTATTCTTCTGTTTGCTCGGTGCGAGGTGGACTCTACCACTGAGACAGAGAGTGTGAGAGTGCTGGTCTAACTGTTAGACTTGCTGTGATTGAAGCTGGATACCCTGTGTGGCCTGTGACATGTCGCATGCACTGCAGTAGGCCTACTAGTAGCAAGCACAGCGCCAAGAAGGAGTCACTAACTACTTATCTTGGCCGGCGCGGCGATACTGCGGCAAAGGAGGACGTTCTAGCACCCATTCTGGCAACCTCTGAATGAGTGTCTGGAGCCGAAGGATAGGTGGTGCAAGTGCTAGGTAGGTGCTGATGGATTCCCTGCTCAAAGGGTTAAGCACATGCAGTCGCGCAGGACAAGAAAAGACAGGACAGTGCGGGGTAGGACAAGTCAGTGTAGATTGCAATCATATTGGCACTGCAAGTAGTGCAGTTCTGGCCAGAGAAATCCAACCTTGCGAACAAAGTAGCGCCACCTGGTTCGAGTGCACAGAACAGTGTGTGTAGTGCTAGGGCTGCGTCACGCCCGGCGCTACCCATGTTTTTATACTGTACTTATAAAACGAGAGAGCTTGGAAGCTCAGGGCCCTACCCTATGCTTTTTTTCCTTGATGACCTAGACAAAAAAAAGCATAGGGATGTTATAAATTCTTTAAAAAATTCCTTTTTTTAAGACATAACCTGGGATTCGAACCCGCACTATCGCGCCCTGTATGCATCCCCGGTCTTTAAAAAATTCCTTTTTTTAAGACATAACCTGGGATTCGAACCCGCACTATCGTGCCCTGCATGCATCCCCCGATACACTTCGCATACATACTAATTCTTCCAAGTTGCTTCACATTATGATCTTGCATTTGAAAGCCCTATTTGAATATGCATTGTGGCCAGCCGTCTTTGAATGTACGGTACGGTAGGGATAGGTACGGGACAGGTACGATCGAGGGTAATACGACACCGTCTCCCGTACCGTACCATCAAGCACAGCTAGCCACATACAACTGCCCGCAATATTCAGATAGGGCTTTCAAACGCAAGATCATAACGTGAAGCAACTTGGAAGAATGGGTATGAATGCGAAGTGTATGGGGGAATGCATGTAGGGCGATAGTGCGGGTTCGAATCCCAGGATATGCCTGAAAAAATAGGAGAATTGAAAAATTTATAACATCCCTATGATTTTTTGCCGTCAGATACGGGATAGCGCCAGGCGTGACACAAACAAACAAACAAACACACAAACAAACAAATACCAAATTAAAGCTGTGTGGACCCTGGCTAGCGCCAGACGTTACTGAAGTAACGTCTTCTGCATAGCTACGGGAATAATATAAAGTACAATACAAAAACATGGGTAGCGCCATGAGATAATGATATAAATATCATTATCTTATGGCACATGATGACGGCCAGTAAAACTGAGACAAGGGTGAAAGCCAACCACAGCATATGTTACTATGGTTACCAATACACTGTACATGTATATACAGTGCTGGCATATAAAAGTAAATTATCGCGTCCGTTCCCGAAGGGAACTCACGACGGCCGCTAACACACGGTAAACCCTAGTGGCAGATGCAGCGCCTAACGGTGGGGGTGAGTGGATAAGTATCACAACCACTTGCACAAGTGCTGAGAAACCCCATTAGCTGCATCCATGTACCCCTTGTGCCTGGCCACAAGTTCCCAGTTGACTGTGGGTTGCAGCACGGCTGGGAAAACCGCTCCCATGCTGGCATATACAGAACAGTGAAACCTCGCTTTCCCACCACCTCACCAATCCGACCACCTCACCAATCCGACCACCTCACCAATCCGACCACCTCACCAATCCGACCACCTCACCAATCCGACCACTTCACCAATCCGACCACCTCACCAATCCGACCACCTCACCAATCCGACCACCTCACCAATCCGACCACTTTTGCTCAGTCCTGAATGTTCCTCCATACTAAAGTGCGCATACAGGATGGTCATTTCACAAGTTAGACCACCTCGGAGATGAGACCCCTTTGCTTGGTCCGAAAGGTGGTCGGAATTCTGAGGGCCCACTGTACTCCTCTATCTCAGTACATGTACACGTGGAAGAACACACGCCACGCACACGCACAAGTTAACTCATGCACACAGACTCCGACGAACAGACACACACACACAACCACATGCACACACGAATACACACACACGCGTACACGCACACACACACACACACACACACACACACACACACACACACACGCCATGAACACACGAAGCATTGATCAGAGGTTGCGTTAACCGGAATGTTACACGTAAATGCTTTGTGTTCCTGTTCTCCTTCACGGCTTCAGGACTTGATGCAGATACAGCACATGTGATTCTCCAGCCAAGCAAGTTTGAAGTGGCTCAAAACGATGAACGCTCAGTCGTCCCGGTGGCCACCGAGCCACCTTGAGCCCCGATGGCCAGCTCGCCAGCACAGAGCGTCCAGGGTGCCCACACTGCACACAGAGTCTACAGACCAATCCAACACATGGGATTCCACTGGTAAGGCTCCAGGTTACCATGGTGACACGTCTAATCAATGTCGCCCTCACCGTGATCCAGCATGAGTGTAGTCGTGTTGTGGCCCACAACCAGACACATCTGCAAAGTACCATATTTGCTTGTTTCTTCCTTGTAGAGACGGAATATACACTTGAACATAGTGACGAACAGCAGAAACGGCCGTGTCTGGGTTCACCGCGCAGTACGCTTCTCTTGATGTTGCTGGCCTGTTTGCTGCTGGGCACGACTGCATCAATGCTGATGACGCACACATATTCGTTCTACTGCCTGTTCGAGCACCGCATTCCCATCACCTACTGCTATAAGCACACGAATGTGACACTGATTCCACGTCCGTATCTACAGACGGCAATCTACTTCAGTTTGTAAGTGGGAACGACTGGGTATTTGATGCGCTGAGTTAGTTTTCTGCCTTCGGGATACAGACAATTGTTGTACAATATACTAGTATATGTCTGGTCTGGGGAAGGGTCCAGTGGATAGTATAATATGTACATGAACATGTGCTTCTCAGTCCTCAGACCAGTTTTAGGCCATGGATTGATGAATGATTGCAGCTAATGTTCAGGGGTTTTGGCACCCCACGCTAGGTAACTTTTAAGTAACATCAAGTGCATGGATGAGTGGGGCTGTTGAGGCTTATGCAGAAACGTCCTTCGATGATGCATTACTAAGGGAGAGAGAGAAAGAGTGAGAGAGAAAGAGAGAGAAAGAGAGAGAGAGAGAGAGAGAGAGAGAGAGAGAGAGAGAGAGAGAGGGGGGGGGGGGGTACTGAGGAAGAGCTGCTTGCGGAAGCGGAATAAAGGTCAGCCTACCGGGCCATAACATACATCTTTACAACTTACCCTTCTAGCCATATTGCTTTCTTGCCATATTGCTCAACATGTGAGCTACACTAGTAGTATCAAGCAGGCATTTGTTTGCCACAGAGAATACACAACCAAGTGCGCAGTTATCCTGAAAGGTTATTATCCATTGAGATCCCATAGAACATGCACGTCATATTGCATGTGTTGGGGTATGTCTGTGTATGCCCGTGCATGTTTGTGTATGTGTGTGTGTGTGTGTGTGTGTGTGTGTGTGTGTGTCTGTCTGTCTGTCTGTCTGTCTGTCTGCCTATCTGTCTGCCTGTATGTCTGTGCATGTATGTGTGTGTGCACGTGTGGAGTTGTGTGTGTGTGTGTGTCCGTGTGTGTGTGTGTATGTGTGTCCGTGTGTGTATGCATGCGTGCATGCGTGTATGTGTGTGTGTGTTTGTGTGTGTATGTGTGCATGTGAATGTGAAAAGGTCGGCTTTTGACAGTGCTGTGCTGGTGGTCATCCTTCTAGTACTTGCCAAGTACCACAGTGATCCCAGCAAGACGGCCAGCCACCTCGACATACTGCCCCTCAAAATAATCTGGCGCAATGTCCACCTCACACGCAAGTTCTGGACACAGGTATGAAGTTGCACTCAATGCTGTTACAAACAATAGGCCTTAGACCCAGGCTGTACACAATGTACATACTGTACCCATTGCACACACTGTACACATTGTATGCACTGTACATAGAGCTCTCTGGGCATTTTGCGTCACGTGCTAGGTAGCAGGAAGATAAGCAGCAGCTTCCGGCCTGTCCATTGGTTAGTCGAAACTCACCACCACACACATGTATGCGTTCTCCGGCCGGTCTCATTCATCAAACCAGCAACACGGCCATGAGTTGTAGCAGATAATGGCATCGATGGTTATTCCTCGATTCTGCTGTTCCAATCATGCAAGTCTCATTCGTGAAGGTTGTGAGAGTGCTGAATGGCCAGGTTGGCAAGCCTTGCTCTTTCATACAGAGAGGTAGCAGGGGCGGATCCAGGAGGGGTTCCAGGGGCTCCGCGGAACCCTCCAAATGTTTTAAATGTACTACTGGCAACCATATGCATGTCCATGTACATGTGTCAGCTATTCAGTTTTGATTATACTGGAACCCCCCTGTAGAGATCGCTGGATCCGCCGCTGGGCAGTGAAAATGAAATAGCGCAATCACACGCTCTGACGTAACTTAAAAGTGCTAGCACACACACACACGGACTGAGTGCAAGATTCCACTGTATAATGGAAACAGAACATGGACCGGGGATCGCTGCCATTATCTACTACAACGGTGTGCCGTGTTGCTGGTGTGGGCGAAGACCGGGCAGGGACGGCGAAACCGGTCTGGCCGGTCTGGCCATGGCTGGACCAACTCTTCGGCCACCAACGGGTGTTAACTGCTGAAGGGGTCATCTGTACCCGCCATATCATAACTGCTGAGGGGGTCATCTCTACCTGCCATATCATAAGTTATAACTGCTGAGGGGGTCATCTCTACCTGCCATATCATACACAAACTGTGTGACCGACTCTGGTATGCCTGGACCAATCAAAAACTGCTTCCGCCGGTCCCGAGAGGTCAGCCCGGAAGGGGATGGAAGTGTGTTTGGTTGGAAAAGGTCGGCCGGAGAGTGCAGGCGATAGGATGGCATTACTTGCTAGGTGGTCTGGCTGTCTCTGTCTCCACTATCATTCAATTGAGTAGCTCTTCAACACACTGGCCTCGTGGATGATGCGTCCAAAAGACGAACACAATATTCAGTATTTTGTCGGTTGCAAGTGAACCTCAGGTTGCCGAACTAAGTGGAATTGTTGATTTATAACCTGGTGGACTTACAACTGGTGCAATACGGCACTTGGGTATGTATTAGGAAACACCACATGGTCACATTGTCCTGGACTGTATACTTGTATGTACTGCAACAAGTAGTAGATGCCCGTGTGATGGTGAAGGTACCTCATGTCATGTTATAATGCTTCCAAGGTTGGTTCCCTTCAAGGCATGTCACGGACTTCGTTCATGAGATTGCTATTGCATGTACTGTCGTGGACATGGAAATCCAGTCGATTGACGGGGGCCGGCGTCCTCAGCCCGTACACAACAGTGCACAGTCATGTCGATCCGATGCGCCGACCAGCGCGTTGCAGCGCATATTATGCATGTGTGTATGCTTACCCACGGCTGCATGGCCAGCGCCCTGGGGCCGCTAGACGAGCGACCGGATTTCCATGTCCACGACAGTACTATGCTTGACCTGCTCTGTGTCTGTGTCTGTGTCTGTGTCTGTGTCTGTGTCTGTACAGCTGTTCTTGGTCGCCTGTGGTGCTTCGTTCAACGTCTACACGGCGTACTTCCGCCTCCAGCCCAAGGAGACCAGCTCGCCGTTGAACGTGTACGTCGAGAACGTCTTTGCGCAGCGCTGGTTCTACACGGCCGGCCTCGTCGAGAAGCTGCTCCTCTTCGTCGTCATGTGCATGTGCAACTACGCGCGGCCGAGCCCCACTGCACCACACTTGACGCGCTGCGTATACTACCTGGTGATGACCTACTTGTCGGTCAGTAACAGTCTGATCTCGCTCAACTTCACCTACCATCTGACATTCAAGGTGGTGCCCGGGTACACCAAGAGCATTATCCACCAGCAGCCGGCCATCACGCACGCCATGAAGGTGGAGCGCGTCGCCAACATGGTCCACTTCATCATGATGGTCGTGAACACCATGCTGCGCGCCTCCTACTGGAGCTTCTTCGCTAGCAAACTGTTCGAGCCGAGCAGGGACTTCTTCCACACCGTACACCACCCGATACCGGTGGCCGAGCGGGTTCAAGAGCACCAGGACAGCGAGCCCGGCCTACCGGTGTTCAGGCATCCCTCAACACTCCCACCGCCGCTGGCGCCCATCGAGGAATAGGTCCGGCTAGCGAACACTGGAGACACTTAGCTGATCGTGTTTTACCTGGAAAGGCCCACACCACCTCTCCTAGCTGTACGTATAGCTATCATGCGAGCATAGCATAACGATTTTGAGTTGCTTTCTCCACCCGCCAGCCCAGATCTCTAGTGACGGTAGAGGTCCTGACTGCACTTGAGCTTATACACACGGTTTGCTTGCATCTGGGTAATGTGTAACCTCTTTCTGGCGCTTTGCTACCTCTCCACATTCTATGTAAGTACCGGTATGTATTATACACTGTACTGTATGTACAGTAGTAGTAGTCATGTTGATATGGATGCTCTCTATAGATATGATAGGGGCAAGTGGAATATGAAACAATGTGGGTTTGCTCACGGGATACTACAGTGGAGTACCCATTCCAGTTTCCGTAATAGGGAGGAAGCCAGTTGACACATGTCTGCGTATGGCATCGCTGCATAGACTCGGGGAGCAGGCCAAGGCTGCAATTGGAATCGTGTAATCATTTGAAAAGATAACAAATCACATACGACTTTTAAAATTCCTTTTCTTGCACAGTATTGAAATACACATCATTTTGAGTACTGCTGTATGTGCACATTGTGCGTCCCTGGATGCTGCAACTCATGCCGGCCGGGCTTGCACTGCTGCTTTGCTTACTAAAAACAGTGTCAATAGGATTATTAGGCCAAAACAAAAAATAGGCTTGTTTCCGGTCGGCAACCCCTCAAAAAGGAGACTCGGTCGGCCGGAATGAAACTTTTTTTGGATACTTTTTTTTGGTTCCTCAATCGTTGTGGTATTGATGGACAAGAGCACCTACACATGTACATTGTACATATATCATGGCAAGGATCAATGTCAAAGTTGACTGACTCACTGTTCTTGTACAGCATGTGGTGTATTCCTGTTTTCGTACATCCTGAGAAATCAAGCAAACAGTTCGAGTCCTTCTAACTCCGTTATTATAGCTCGTATGAACCCCGGAGGTTTTCGAGCCGACAGCGGAGAATCTCTGCTACCTTGTAGGTGTTTCGATTGTGGAATTCGGTTGAGATTTGACTGAGTTATGACTCGTTAAGTGCACCATTGCCACCGTTTGTATACATTTCGGCCCAAAAAAAAGTTTCAGAATTTGGGAAAAAGTGGCCCGGTCGGCCGACCGGAAACAAGGTCATTATTTGTTTTGGCCTTATAAATTTATAATAGGACTGGTTAACAACAAGATCAGCTGTCCGGAGATTGAGTATGTGACTGGCTATCAGTCCTAGCCTTGTGCTCGTGCCTTTTCAGGACATCATGCCTGAACTTGATGCAATGATGGCAGCAACTCCAACTGTACGCAGATCGACGAGGGAAGGATTCAAAATGTCTGGCATTGTCAGTGTGACAGTCCAAGTCCAGTATACGTCATGTATGCAGCCTCGCACACATGCAAAGCCCTTTCCCAATTACAATGCCCACACTCATGCCCGCACATGCGCACTCGCGTGTGCGCGCGCACACACACACACACATGCACACACACACACACACACACACACACACACACACACACACACACACACACACACACACACACACACATATGCAGACACCATTCATGGCCTGAGCGCTGCGCACAGACACCATGCCTGGCAAGAAAACAAGCGTGCATTATCAAGACACACAATGTTTAGAATTACTGGAAAGCGGAATAACTGGAACCATATTTTAGAAAATTCACGAATATGAAATACTTCCGTATAAACTGATGGTACATGAAAGACAGTGCATCATGCATCAGTTTGTGATTTACAAAGAATCTGTGAACTGACAGTGACCCAGAGAATTGTTAGTATGTGTTACAATGCTATGAATAGGGCGAGGCTGAGGGCAACACCATTCGTAAAGTGGCTATAGCATGTACTGACAGACATACAAGTACAGATTGCACATGCGGCCACACGTTGTATTCACGTCAACCCATGGCCATAGCAACCGGTTACCCGGGGATTGCCTTTCGAAAGTACTCAAATCTATCGGCCTTGCTGCTAGCAGAGAACTCCGATGCCAGTGCAGACAGGATGGGGGAATAGGAGAAAGGATGCATCCTCTCAATATCAACGTCGAACTATGAAATTCATCAGCAGTAGTGGATGACGCTGCTGCTGACGATGCTAAGATGTGTACTGTTGGAAAGCCGTAGAATGTACTACAGTATGTCAACTGCAAAGACTTTTAGAGTGTTTTAAAAGTGCAAGCATAACACGGACAATGGAGCAGCAGCTGCCGGGAACAATGCAGATTTGTATAGTGCACAGACACCCTGCCTAGCCGCTGTGATAGCATTGTGCGGCCTTCCCGACTGCTTGCTCACAAGGGCGCTGGTTGGGAACAGAAATAGTGCTCAGTCATCTATGTACATGTATACGTATATAGGCATTCAAGACAGCAGCAGGTAGGACGGTGAGAGCGACGCACAGTGTGTACGTCCTCATTCCGACGGGCGGTGCTCATGCTCAGCCCGGCAGCGTGGCAGCGGGTTCCTCCGAATCATCCCTGCGCCTGCTGTTCACTCAGTCGACTGAGAGCGTCATGATCCTAGTTAACGTGAAGCGGCACACCGAAAACAAGTACGTGTACGGTATTGAGCATGTCCGGCTGGGAGGACTGGAGTGAGTAGGTTTGGAGAGGATGGTAGCTATTGAACTGAATGATGTCAAATTGTGCTAGGGCAGGAACTATGATATTACATGTTGTATATTTCACTCACATCCCTTCCCATTCTCCAAAGATGTACACACCGACTACACCGGATACTTAATATCACAATGAAGTCTAATGAACAACAGAGCATTTTTAAAACGGCTGAAAAGCATTACATACAGGCCAACCCTCCCGGTTTTCCCAGGATCCCAGAGATTTCAAGCAAACTCCCGGAAAAGTCACATTTAAATGATTTTTTGTCGGATCAAGGATTTTCCTAAAAACTCCAAGGACTTGCCTCCTACAGTGTAGTCCTGTTTTTGTTTTTTTGCTTTTAAATGTATGGTACACACTCGCACTTCGAACTGAACACAGCACTTTCAAGACCAGCCTGGCCTAGCCTGGCCTAGCCTGCGTGATCTGCACCAACAGCCTCGGCGACAGGCGTACACTGACTGATCGAACTGCACTGCAGGGTCGAACTGTGCTGTATGCAAAGTCGACTAGTCCTGTGCCACCGTCGAACGTTTGCTGGCAGGAAAAGCTCTGTTCACGTGTTTTGGTGCCATCCAGGGATTTTGAGAAAAATCCAGGGATTCTGCACGTCTTGTCAAGGGATTGAGATTTTCTGGTTGGTCAGTATGGCATTGATATCAGACCGCTCTGACTGTGAGAGACAGCGAGCTTTGCAAGGGAAGCGTCCATGGGACCTAACTCCACAAATCTTTCAGGAGGAATGTCATGGGGTCTGCTACATGTAACTGTGATATAGTCGGCTTTCTTCGAAATTACTACAGCACGGCTTTTGTCAGGCCCCTGTTATAACAATAAGATCAAGCACACCGCAAGTACGCCACACTAAACCCGCCATGGTGCAAGTGCTGCAAACTGCACGCTACACTAAACCCGCCATGGCGCAAGTGCAAGCACGCCACACTAAACCCGCCATGGCGCAAGTGCTGCAGACTGCACGCCACACTAAACCCGCCATGGCGCAAGTACGCCACACTAAACCCGCCATGGTGCAAGTACGCCACACTAAACCCGCCATGGCGCAAGTGCTGCAGACTGCACGCTACACTAAACCCGCCATGGCGCAAGTGCTGCAGACTGCACGCTACACTAAACCCGCCATGGCGCAAGTGCTGCAGACGGCACGCTGCACACACTCCAGTAATCCCGGCCGCCCACACTTACGCCCACACTTAACACTTACGGGCTTGAACATGCCTTGCAAAGTTAGATCCGCTGCGACGTGGCCGACGCTGAAATGCATTGTTCTCATTCACCGGAGGCGGTGGACCTGCAGCAGATGAAGCAGTTACAGCAAAATATGATCAACACTCTCCTCTGCCTACAGTACGTCTGCATTTCAGTTCAGTGGCGGAACTCCCCGCGCCACAAGGCCAGCGCAAAAGAAAGCAATTTCAATGCAAAATGCACCTATGTCTACCGACCACCACAATGGGTGATCACTTGCCTTTAAAAGAGATCCCCAGTCTTGAAGAGGCAATATGTCTGAAGAAACCACCTGTCACGAGATACTGTCCTTTAAGTCACTAGACTGACAAGATCGCATCCCACAGTTTAACCTGTCACGAGAGACCGTCCTTTCAGTCACTAGACAACATCTCATCCCACAGTTTAGCCTGTCCGGTAAGAGATCACCTGTCTTAAGAGCCATACTTCATGTACCCCTTGGACAAGTGGTTGCTTAAGGCAGGTGTGAAGGTACATTGCTGTATGAGACGGTCAAGTGAGATTCAAGTTGACAGGAAAAGCGCGGGCTCCCACGTAGGGAGCAACACACAATTCCCTAAGTATCACCAAAGTCGCACCAACATCTTCTTTACATTGTTCTATACGTATATATTATCAGTTTTTATGACAGGAACTTACCGTCTTGCCCATGAAAGCCATTGGCCAGTTGGCTCCGGGAGTATGGGTTACGCATCCCCTGGGGTCTGAACTGGGGACGCTGTTGGCTCACAACCGGCCGCGGGTTGGGATTCCGGCCAGTCAGCCGGCAGACCAGTCCAAACTCATTGCTGGGCAGTTTGTACAGACCTGGCGACTGCAGCAGTATTGGCAGGCATTGCGACCGAGGTGCGCGAATGATGTTGGCAAGCAGTACCGGCACGGGGTGGAGTCGGTTGTTGGTAAATCCTGGCGATAGCAAGCAGCTATACTCCGTCTTGACATCGCAGCCGCACGGGTAGTTGGGCAGCCCCTCCAGTTCCTCCTGCGTCAGGCGCGATTGCCTGTCCATGGCATGCGTTGCATAGCCCGGCGATGCAAATACAATAACGTACTTCGCCTGGCTGTACAGGTTCTCCTTCCAGAAGATCAGGCTGTCCTGGCGAATGACGTCCTTCTCGAACTGGTCGAGGCGAACGTCGATACCTTCGCCCCGCAACTGTTCACACCACTTTGCGATTTCTGCTGCAAACTCATCCGACTCCCAATAATAGCTGATTGGCACAACGTCTGCGCCTTCAGGAACTGGGATGGCGTATGTCGCCTTTGCGTCTGCACAGTAAATATGACAACAACAAAAAAAACAGAAACTACAACACTGAGTTTGCATGCGCGGACCAAGCATCAGACTTGATATGATCTGTAAGCTGCAGATGACTGCCCGGGGAAAGCGGAAGGCAGGCTGGTGTTGACCTACAGGCTACATGAGAACAATGCAACTTGTTCACGCAATGGCTGGATCTCCTACACAGCTGGATCTCCTACACAGCTGGATCTCCTACACAGTGTGCTCAATAAAATCCGATCACACGCGTCAAGTACGCACCGGGCGTGGGAGACTAGATGACAATCAGCATCAATCACAAGAGAGCGAGAGCTAACGTTACAGAGTGTATGCTACAATACAGCTATTACAGACCAGATACTGGTACATGCAGTGTGCTGTACCCAGTCCTTGCCCTGCACCCCCCCCCCCCCCTTTCCCTGGATTGGATGCTGCCAATAACCTGCCATTATAGTGGAATCCCAAAGCCCTAGGGGATACGTGCGCATTGGGATCAACTAGGGCTGTACCTCCTAGCCCTGCACCCTACCCTTCCCTACTCCCCCCATGGATGCTGCAATGTACCGTAAAGTCGTGTATAAAACCGCGGCTTGTGTGACTTTTTTGGGGAATTTTGCAGGCTTCTAGATGAGACAGGCTTCTATACAAGACCGGCATTTCTATATATGTCAACACTAAAACCAGGCTTCTGTGCCGACAGTGCATCTTGAAAAATCAGGCTTGCATTCAAAACAGGGTTCTAAATGAGACCGGCTTTAATACAAGACACTACGGTAGTAGCATCACAAAAGCCCTAGGAGTAAGTACACATTGGGACGTCAGGCGAAATTACTGGTCAGTCGGCGTCACGCATTTTTCACAAAAATTTGCGTTTCACCTGCTGGGAGAGTATGCGTGTACTCGAGTCTCATCCTGAGCACGTTTTTTTTCTTCTTTTTTTCAGTTCCAGTATAGCTGTATTTTTCATTGCAAAGCCGTCCTCGATTGTTGTGTTCGTTGTTCAAACGAAGTGGACATTCAATCATGAAGGCAGAGGACATAGGAGCCTGATTGGAGTTTCTCGTGGCATAGGACGGCCATACAGAGACACTTTGGGATTTTCTGAATATAAAATACCGTACGCACGATGCTGAGATCAATTTGTGCGATATCAAATTGTTTGTGATCTACCACATCGAGCAGAACGGGATCCAAACACAAGCTTACCGACGGTTAGGCTGCCGACCTGACTGGACAAATGATCCCTGGCTTCACCAGACGCCAGACGTCGGACACCATGTCCTTTGCCGCGACGTCCATCTCCAAAAAGAACTCCATCTTCGTCGTGAAAAGGCTTGAAATACTCAATATTCAACCGAGATTCGCGGTCTCACCCTTTCTCAGATCGAATCATTTTTTGTTGTAGCAGTTGCAGGGCAGATCCCCGCCACTACTTCAACAGAAGATGGCTCCAAAGCATACCTGGAACAAGCCATATCGAGGTTGCAAGCCACCCCTCTCAGCACTTTTTTTTGAAGAAATTCGAAATTTCAATGGTGGAAGATATACTATGAAGAGAATTTCAAAAAGTATATTTCGCGGAGCGATCGCTCAACCTACGTCATTCAAACTTTGCAGGATGGTTCAGACGTACATGCTAGGCATGGAACCACAGAAGATGATATCATAGCTGACACACAGAGTCACACACACAGCAGATTCGTGTGCACAGATACTAAATTAGTGGACGTCGTCATCTTCTTCCCGCTGATCTCAAATGTACGATGACGTGCTATTTCGCCTGACATTGCTAGGGCTGTACCTCCTAGCCCCCCCCCCCCACCCCACCCCCTTGTGGATGATGCCATGTAGTAGCATCCTAAAGCCCTAGGGGGTAAGTAGACATTGGGCTGGCTGTGGCTGTACCTCTCGTGCGTGGGACATAGCCGGGTGGGGGCTCTCTTGGGTGTATCATGGGCAGCGTGGCAAAAGCCGGCGGTGGACTCGCTAATCTTGGACAGGGCTGAGGGCCTGCCAGAACCTCCTGTAGGATTTCTACAAGACAGAACACACACACGCAAACACAAACACCCACATCCACACACATACACACCCACCCAGAAAACTCCCCCGATAAGTATACATTTACTTTTGGAGAGTCCTTCAAATAAAGTCTAAATGAAAATGAAATACATACACACACACACACACACACATATGTCTCTTTCCCTCAAACTAGTCAAGACATATATAATATATATGCACACACACACACACACACACACACACACACACACACACACACATACAGCAGAGACAGAGGAAATTTATAGTTACACATTATACCATGATGCACACACAGACATACACACATACACCCCCCCCCCCCACACACACACAAAACACACACACACACACACACACACACACACACACGTAGAACAGAAAATATGCAGCAGATACCATAGACGTTGAAAGCACCAGCCACTAGCAATCAATCTTCTTTTAGCAGACGCTTACCTTCCTTCGCTGCATCAACAGCTTTGCTGGCTTCAACATTGTTCAACTTGTTGAAGGCTCCGGACAACAGTGTTATGGAGAGGCCCATGCTCCCAGCCTTTTCCAAGATAAGCCGAGTTCTGCTTTGCGTGGAGGTGGATATCTCCTGGTCCTAGCATTGACAAAAAAAAAAAAAAAAAAAAAAAAAAAACAGAAATGCCAGACATCAGAATACACAAAAGAACAGTCAGGGGCAGATCGACGGTGTGTGTGTGTGGGGGGGGGGGGCGGTAGTGCTCCGGGGAACCCCCTAAATTTCACATATGTACTACATTGTACTGGAAACCATATCGGCATGTACTTGTACATGTATCAGCCATTCAGTTTTGACTAAACTGGACCCCCCCCCCCCCTGTAGAGATCTCTGGGCCGCGGCCCCTGGCAGTGACGGGATGGAAGGCTGTGCCGTTGTCACGGAGTGTATCTTGCACACAGTGAACTCATCAGACAACATGGGGAATAATGGTTATAATGGATATAACCTTTCACGCCGAGGTTTATGTAAAAGGAACTTCAGTCAACCTCGTGAATTATAGCCGGCTCGGTTATAAAAACAACTTGTGTATAACGAAACAATCTACAGACCTAATTTGACTGCATACTGTCAACAACTCACGAAGAATGATACTTCGAATCTTTAATGAGGGTACGATCGAGGGTCAATACTCGCGAGGCTGACGGTGCAATGTGTACATGTCCCCCTCAAATATGCACCCGGATCATAAGTACAGGGGGAGCGCACAACAGTGGACAAAACACAGCTTGTCACAAATCTATGTACCACGCCACTCACCAATCACCAAATACCTGCTACCGTGACCGGAGAGGTCACTGAGTCGGGAAGATGCGCCCGGGGCAATGCAAGTCAGGTGATAACCTCAGTAGTGGCCACACAGAATAGCCATGCACTGTTTTTCTCAGGTGGCACCCACCTACAAGCATACACGCATGCAATCATGCAGACGGTACAGCATATACACAGCCTAAAAAGTGACCCCACCGTGTCCCCAATTGACATACCACAGCTTGATCAAAGTTGGCTTCCTCCAGCAGCCCTTGCCAGCCTCGACGCGCATGGAAGTCGCACAGGTCGGCGATTCTCCGGCAGGCTGCGGACGACATCTGCTTTATGAGAAGTCTGCCGGGCGAGAACAGGACATCGTCGTCGAGTGGTGGCTCTCCAGCGGTCTCATCTCCGCTGTCCTCATCAGTCACACTACCATCTGACGACACTGCACTGCCATTGCTGGTAGCAGCAGCAGCAGCAGCAGCAGCAGCAGCAGCAGCAGCAGCAGCAGCAGAAGGACGGGTGGGATATGATGATGTTGGAGGAGGCAAAACCGTATACATTTCTGGTGGTGATGCAGTCACGGTTGGCCGTGAATCCAGTATGGTCACGGGATACACAGGCCTTGATGATGGTGGTATATATCCACGACTGGTAAAGTCACTGTCATGGATCTGAATAGGTACCTGAACAGGTGAACAGAAAGCAGGAGGGACACTGGTGAATATCATTATCACAAGATCAAAGAAAGAAAAGAAAAAACAGGATTTCCAAAGAACGATATTAGTTCCGCGGTCATGCCACACAAAAGAAGTCTAAAAGGAGAAAGAAAATCGATTTCGGTTAAACCTCTTTTTAGACTTCTTTGTTGAGTGGCATGACCGCGGAACTAATATTCTTCATTGCTATCATTAATTACTGTCTCCACGTCGCTTATTTCGAAAGAAATCTATTTTTTCATCTGATTTCAGAACAATGAATCATTGTTCTTGCAACAGAGCCTGCTCAGTGACGGAGAATTGGGTGGAGAAATTTTACGGGCCATGTCGTGCGTACAACTACACACAAAAGGATGCGGCTCCTTAATGATGTAATAATGGTGAACCGGCCAAGTTTGAATGTGCAGTGGGCCTTTTAGTACATGACGTCCGTTCTGTGTCCCAGCACCGTTTTCTAACGGGATTTGGCACAGGGTTAGGTCTGGATAGTGCACGATTCAATTTAGTCAAATGGCGTTGTCAAGAAGCAAAGGCTGTCACGGCCGGTACAGCATACGAGAATTTCCCATAGCGCACATATCACTGACGCGAGACTCGAGCACTTACCACATGTAATGGTACCGATGGCGACGCAGTAACGCCTGCTTCTGTCGGCAGGTGCTTCTGAATCCCACCACAGGCACTGACATTTAGCTCATTTGCCACCGCCTCCTCGTTTCTTGCTGGCACGACATGGCGGTGAATCAAGTCATCCTCGATTATTTCCAGCGTGCTCCTACTGTTCCCGTCATCGCTCTGTTGAATAAGGTGGCGGAAGTGCTCGTCCGACACTGCACCGTCCGTGACGCAACGCACGAACGGCATGTGCCGCTTGCACTCCCCGAGCACCAGCTTGCCAATGCGGTCGTGCATGGAATGCGCGACGTCGTCGTAACTCGCCACGTCCCAGGCGATGACGTCGTGCCGTGCCGAGCAGCAGAGCAGCACCTGCGGTGATGATGTCAGCTTGCTGCTGTTCTGCCATTGGGACACGTTGTTCTTGCCAAACTCTCTCGCCAGTGCAACCTACCAACACACAATGCATAACATAATCACACCACTGTACAGTCAGACCTCGCTTAACCGCACACATCCGTTTTCCTCAAAATATCCGGATAGGCGAGGGAACCGGATAATCGAACACACATACTGTATGCATGCATGACATAATTATGCTGCAAATCGGTAACCAACGATTTTCTTCCAGATGGCGAGGGATCCGGACAAAAGAGGACCGGATAAGCGAGGTCTGACTGTATTAACACTGATGATGCCTGAGTGCCGCTTACTATCAATGTCCAGTATGCAACTACAGTGTACGCGTACATATAGAGTACAACCCTGGGCAAGGATGATCCAACACCCAGCTACACAGTAAAGACGAGCGGTAGGACGGTAATCCGCTCTCGATACACACACACACACACTTTTGTATTTGTATTTAATATTTTTAAAAGGATTTCCCAAAGGCACAGCCACTTGCAGCTACCTGCTCTTCAAGAAATTCCCATTCCGAATAGTGCAACGGGATCAGTTGTCCTACAGCAAGAACAGTGTGGTGTCAGCTGTTCCCGAGGGTAGCACATCCATATCTGGCCAGCCGACAAACCTTGTGCACACCGTACAGATGACCACTTGATCACTGATTCAAGTGACAGTGTGTACTCTACTAGAGGCCAGAGGTCCACTGCAGTACCGTACTGACCATGACTCCACTAGACATATTATAAGAAATGACTACTACAGTAAAACCTGTAACTAAAGACCACCTTGACTAGCGACCAGCCTGCTACTACAGTAAAACCTGTAACTAAAGACCACCTTGACTAGCGACCAGCCTGCTACTACAGTAAAACCTGTAACTAAAGACCACCTTGACTAGCGACCAGCCTGCTACTACAGTAAAACCTGTAACTAAAGACCACCTTGACTAGCGACCAGCCTGCTACTACAGTAAAACCTGTAACTAAAGACCACCTTGACTAGCGACCAGCCTGCTACTACAGTAAAACCTGTAACTAAAGACCACCTTGACTAGCGACCAGCCTGCTACTACAGTAAAACCTGTAACTAAAGACCACCTTGACTAGCGACCAGCCTGCTACTACAGTAAAACCTGTAACTAAAGACCACCTTGACTAGCGACCAGCCTGCTGCTATAGACCACTTCGCCAAGCACGGACGGGCTCACATTCCATATATGGTAGTGCGGTGCAAACCTCTAACTAAGCACCACCTGCCACTAAATACCGCTTTCTCTGGCACCAAGGGGTGGTCGTTAGTTACAGGTTTTACTGTACAATAATGTTCTCTATGAGGCATGGCCTTGACGGTATCAACACAATGAAGGCAGGCATACAGCTTCAACAACCAAAGGGAGGATCACGGCAATTGATATGAGGCTGTTTATTATTTTTTTAAGATGGCCAACGTAATAATACACCACAACTCATAGCTCAGTGGTTAGAGCATCGCTGGCCTCAAGCAGAGGTCCCTGGTTTGAGTCCTGGTGGTGACAGTCGGTGTTTTCTTCAGACTTTTCCCGTTTGCATCTTTCCTTCAAACCAAAAGAACATAATATGATGCATTCCATGCATCATTGGCAATGGATATTCTCACCTGGATTCGTGCAAAGAGCTCCGGCGCCGGTATCTGCAGGTTGACGGCGGCACGGAGGCGAGAGCGTGACAGCCACTTGTCACCGCCGCGTCGCACGCTGTTAAGCAGCGGAACACACCAGTCCTGTTCGGCCGCTGCCGCATCACCCCCACCACCGCCGCCATCCACGCTGACGCCGCACTGGTAGACCAGCTGCAGATCCTGCACGACCGTCAGCAGCAGCTGCAGCTGCTCGCCGTTCAGCTCGCCAAAGGCGGCGGCCAAGTGCGCCAGCGCCAGGCAATCAAACTGCGAGTGCCTATGCCGGAGGTCGTCGTCCGTCAGCAGCCGGCTGAATATGTCCACTGCAGTGCCAACGTTGACGATGACATGCGGCAGCCAACCATCACGCTCCACCAGTATCACCTGATTGGGAAAACCATAACGAGACACACGTGATTTAGACACCAGTTCAATGTGCTGCAGTGCTTGCGTTGGCGAGCTGTTTCATGTACTTTCAATCAGCATGGAATAAGCCCTTTGCACTTTCCCAATCACTGCACAATAGCATCGATAAATATTACATTTTCTTCTCATCCTCATTGCACGGTTAAACTGACTGGCATTCCAGCGCATGGTAAGAAAATGCTGACAATCCATGCATGGTGACAATCCATGCATGGTGCAGCAAAACCGGTACAAGTACAGTGCTGCTCAATGAAATCCGATCGAGTCACTTAAAGAGTTTCACGCCGGGCGCTATGCAGCCCCAGACCTGCGAACACTGGGCTGCGAAATGGTTCAGGACACAAACTTGCCTCACACAATCGGATTCCATCGAGCAGCACTGAAGGTGCTAGTTCACAGCATACAGCTCAGCTGGCTCGTTGTCCGCAATGCTGGCACGGCTGTAACTCACCTGGCCATTAGCTCTGGTCACTTGCTTGAGCTGCTCATCGCTCTGCAAACGCAGAAGTTCCTTTGCACGCTCCAGGAACTCCTCCAGGGGCACGATAAAGAGGCTGCATTGACGGCGTATGGCCTCGATTCTCGCACTCATACACTGCACCTTCTCCAGGATACCAGAGCTGTGCAGCAGCTGTAGGGAGACACCAGAAGATAACACATCACCAGCCGGCTTGTGACGCAAGCACACTCGGCAGTAGCAAAAACTGCGGCATACAGGTGCCTGCCAATGGAAAACTTGAGACGGGTGCTTTTGTAAACAAGTTGTTGCAGCTAGAGTAGCAAGAAGGACCCATGAGTGTATGAGATCCCCGGTAGCCTAATCAGTAGGGCACTGTCCCGGAAAGACAGGGGTGCTGGGTTCGAAATCCCGCTAGTGGATCCTTCTTTCACAACACTAGGATTTTCTGTGCCTCAAACTACCAGATCATTCGGGAAACAACATCCGAACTAGATGGGCCACATGATGGTACATGGTGACAAACGGCACATATCCACAGCTAAATTTCGCAGATGAGCACTGCAATAGGTCTTGCATACACCCCGGCACTACACACTACCATGGCAAACCACCGCGGTCACGCCTGCCAGCAGCGCAGTTGCCACAGCCCTTGACCTGTAAAGGAAAGGCTATTACCCCTACGAGCACTGCCAAATACCTTGGTTTATTGATAGATGAGCATCTCACCTTCCAGCCACAGGTCCATAAATTGTGTAACTCGGTTTTTGCTAAAGTTGCTGCTTTCCGGCATGGCCGTAGAAATTTAACAAATGATGCAAAGCGAACATTCTACTTGTCTATTATTCAGTCTACTCTAGACTATGCCAGTAATGCTTACCTACATTGTTTAAGCACAACTCTGTACAATAGGATTGTGACCGTTAGTCACATAGCAATGAAGAGAGTGTTTGGACTCGATCGTACCACGCCCACTGAACTAGTTCTTCGCTTATATCACCTCTATTCTTTGGAACAGCGTATTAGCCTCAAGCTCTATGTTTTTGTGTACCGCTGCTTGGCCCAGCATCTTGCTAGTCCTCTTCTTCAGTCTTTGTACCAGCTTCGGGCAACTGCACCTGGTCATCAGGCATGCACCCGGGGCAAGGCACAAAGAGCCTTAGTTCTCCCACTCGTTTATACGCAGTATGGCATGCGCTCTATTTCTTTTCTGGCGGCAGGCAGGTGGAACTCTCTTCCAGCTGACTGTCGACAGGCCCACACTCTTGCTCTGTTCATTAATATGGTTAAACTTCACCTAGGGTTCCCAGTAAAAAGGCAGTAGCCTGTTGGGACTCCCCTAGTAAAATAATAAAAACTACTACTACTACTACCGAGGCTGCCGCTATGCATAAATGAAGCAAATGGTGGCATGTGTCCTGGCGTTCGCCTTCACATGTGCATGTACCCTATCAAGGATCAACATCATACAATTCGACCAATCAGAATGAAACTGAAAATCATGTCTCCACCTACGCTCAAGTCAGTGTGGGCCATCTCGCGGATTCGCGACAAGATCGGTTCCAGTTGGGTGCCATCGACCTGGATCACCTCCAGGCACAGGCGCAGGAACTTCCTGTAGCCCTCGCTGTCGACCTCCAGACGCTCCCGTACGCCGGCTGCCACTCGTCGCCAGTCTGGTGTGGCCTGCGTGGCAGACACATCCGACGACTTCCACACCACTGCCAGGTACACTGTCAGGCGTGTGTCACACTCTGCCGTCAAGCAGCGGCGCAACTCCAGTATCCACCTGTGAGCAACAATAGCAATTCAACGGCAGCGGTGTACAAATATCCATGGAAACCACGGATTTCTTCAAATTTCCCACAGTGTGACCGGGCCCTAAACTAAGACCCATGCCAGTACAGCAGTGAGAGAGTGACCCATGCCAGTACAGCAGTGAGAGGGTGACCCATGCCAGTACAGCAGTGAGAGAGTGACCCATGCCAGTACAGCAATGAGAGGGTGATCCATGGCAGTACAGCAGTGAGAGAGTGACCCATGCCAGTGCAGCAAGAACCCGGGGCAATATTAGGAAAGGGAATGCTGTGGAGTACGGTCACTGTGTGCGCGGCGCTTGCCATCCGTGCAGCAGTTGGCTGTACTATACATCGAAGGGAGAATTGAAATGTCATCCTCACAAGCAGAACTGCTGCTTACCTGACGGCATTGCTGATCATCTCATCCTCGGAGAGCTGCGCATCTAGCCACACAAAGCATCCGCTGCACGGCTGTGAGAGCAAGAGATGTCGCACCGCGGCCAGGTCATCACTCGGATTGACAAGCCACACCGGCACCGACACTTTCGACACTTTGCCAACCGGCTGCTTCAACGACACCGAGACATTCACCGTGCCGATTGCTTTCTTCTCGTCCTGTAACTTCTTGTGGCCACCACTGCCCGACGATTGGCGACTGAAGAAACTCGGTCGGCTCTTTGAGGCGCCCAGCTGCTGAGCGATGGTGCACCTATCGCCAAGGAACACTACTGGTTTGGCGTACACCCTGCATATAGAACATACACCACAACAGCACCAGCAGCAGCAGCACCACTGTTGTGGTTCCGTTGTTGTACCCGATCCGTTCCGGGATCGGTTATCCCTATGCATTCCCGTACTGTGTACATATATGGGTCCTGGTTGTGCATCTTTATCTTTCCTTGTTCTATGTAAATAAACTTTAGTTGTTGTCTGGGACTTGTGGAGTGAAGTTGATCTACGGATTTCAGGAACTAACTTGATGTTCACTCAGGAACATTACATGGTGTCAGAAGTGGGATTCGAACCCACGCCTACAACCACCACCACCACCACCACCACCACCACCACCACCACCACCACCACCGCCAGCAGCAGCATCACCACCAGCAGCAGCATCACCAGCAGCAGCAGCAGCAGCAGCATCAGCATAAACCTACCGAGTTGAGTTACTGTATTATATTGAACTGCCTAATGTTTGCGACATACTGATGTTTGCTAATTTTGAGCATATGAAAGACACCAGCAAAGTGCTAGCGTTGCTCATCATCATCATCATCATCATAATTGATTCAGACCGATTGTGTCAACTTTCTTTCCGTTCCAGTACTGTGCTGCTGTGTTGTGTTTGGCGCATGTTGCAACAACTAACGTGATAACTGTCGCGTGCAGATGCAGGAGGCACATGGCGCTAAGCACAAGTCGCTACATACTGCGTTGCGCACGGAGAGGAGTAGATCTACTAGTATCGCCAACTCCAGGACAGTCGAATACATGTACAGCACACAATCAGTAAGTCTGCAAAAGACCGGGCGCGGGTAGGCAGTGCAGAGGTGACACTCACACCTCGCCCGTGCATTTTTTTGGAGAAATCAGCGTTTTCCTGGTTGGAACAATTAGCGCGAGCCATCAGGAGTGACGATTCTGACCTGTGGACTTTCACTACTGCGCTGCTTTTCAAGGCGATGCCTTGCCTCCTCGGGCTGTTCAACTGATCTCGATAACATGCACAAAACGAACTCCGTCTACAACCAGCATTCTGCCCAATCTTTCCCGTCGACCGCGATCGCTTTGTTTCCACCTCCAACCTTGCATTCACCGCACAAAAATGTCAATCGCACAACCCACTCGATCGCCACCCCATGGGACCAAGCTCCCCGCTATCGCGCCACCGTCATTGCTTCTGCGGCTGAGTGCATGCAGTGCGATTGTGTTCGTAGGCGTACCTGGCCAGGCGATCGGTGCTGATCTCCACTTAGTGGTACCGTCAGGAAGGCCAGAAAACCGAGGAGAAACCAAAAAAGGGTTCTTGAGCAACTCATAGAAAACATGCGCTTACCCGCTCATCTCGATCCAATTACAACGACAATGAAGACTTCAGAGAACAGCTTCCGCCTTCCCTCACCAACTTGCGAGCAGCGTGCGACTCAGATCAGAGGGGGAGAGGTAATGGTTGGTTCCATTAGGAGATTCAGCGCACAGGTCAAACTCCACAGCATTCGTCCAACGGGAAACATGCCCAACTGGCGCATGGACTACAAAACAACAACAACAAAAAAGTCCCCTCTCCATTCAGACCGAGCTGTACGTCAAGACAGCGCTGTCGCGAGTCTCTCCGCTACTCAACCAAGCATTCAAGCTGTAGCATGCTACACTATGTACTAGCACTAGCTCTTTACAAGCGGCATCTAATGACTATGACTGTATACATGGTATAGTGGCATACATGATTGTACACACTAACGAGTGACGTAGAACACTGCTGAACATACGGTCATGTGATGATGTTGCTGATCATGTAGATCTGGTACTCCCTGCTCCAGTGGCAGATGTTGGTACACTGTACAGACAGTATGCGGTCGGATTTCACTTGCCATGAATGATCACTATTATTACTACTAGTACTACTACTGTACTAGTCTTATATTTTTATAATAATTATTCTGACTTTCGAAGTGACAGCATACTGATGCAGAGATAGCTGCACTGGCATTATTGTCAATATTGACACATCAATAATTATTTTGTAGCAATACATCAATGGGCAATCGACTTCCATCAAGAGTTTGTAAGCTTGTACAATAAATAATGACATTGCACTCTTGTTACATGTACAGTGTAGTACACACTTGTATCCCTTTATCCGCCCCATTGCGGATACATGTATGGAAACCGGGGTACGGTTCCCTGATGGAAACGGACAAGCTATGTCCGTTTCCCAGCGAATCCAAATAAAATCAACAGAACACGGCCGTTCGCCACCTCAATCAGGCTTCCCAGAACCAGCGCAAGCAAGGCGAAAATGCCTGCTTTCAAAACACACTTTGCGATGCAACATGAACATCACAGCCACTTGCATACAAGAGCAGCAGAGAACACTGCAAATCGTAAGGAATCTGCCAATTACCCACGGACAAAAAAAACCTAAGCGGCTTTCGGATAAATTACAAGAACAGCCAGCAGCAAGATAACAAATATGTGACAGGGCGCAAGACACACACAGGCGGGATAAGCAATTGCTAAAACAGAAGGCCAACGGGCAGGGGACCTGGGATGTCTTCTGAGCTGGCAGAGGAAAAACGATGAAGTGGGTCGGAAGGGGGGGGGGGGTGCACAGCTGAGCACTGAGCTGTCAAGTCCTAACTGAATGGAGGCTAAGATACAACATAGCTGCAATGGTGTAGGCATAGAGGCTAGAGAACTTCAAAGTCTATTCCTCGTTTAGACTACGGCATGGAGTGGCAAGTGGTTTGACAGGGGCGGCGCGGACACACACAGGGACGAACAAACAAAAAGAGTGAGACATGCCGGGGAAAAAGAACTCGAACGAAATAGAACACAGATACATACGTAAGACCAGAACACAGTGTGAGACCACGTACGCCTACATCTGAGAGGAAACTAAATGGAATAGAAGCAGAATCGGAATATCCGTCGGGGGGGGGGGGGGGAGTTGCGGTCATTCAAGGTGAGATCAATTGCAGGGATCCCCACCTAGTCGAGTACATGTGAATAGAGAGAGACGAGGTAAGGTGGCCTATATAGTAGCGATCTCGCCAGGGCAAGCAAAGCATGCCACAGGGCGGATACGGGAGCAGCAGCGGGAGAATAATACACTTTTTAAACAGAGCAGCATATCCTGCACATCGTCATGAGAAATATGTACACCCTTGCACATAGCATACGTAGGTTTAAAAATAATAATAATCAATGTCACAATAGAGGGATCTGGTTAACGACAAAACTCTGAAATAAAACCAACGATAAACGAGAGCCGTGTCTAGAACTGCACCCATCCACTACCCCCACTGCTGCTGCTGCTGCTGCTAGATGAACTGCCAAAAGGATCAGAACCCTGCGTTGTAGTTGTATTTGAGCTGTAAGCAGAAAAAGAGCAGGAACACATGGCTTTGTTCAACTCTGAGAGTGAGAGTGAGAGAGAGAGAGAGAGAGAGAGAGAGAGAGAGATAGATACAGAGAGAGAGATACAGGGAGAGAGAGAGAGAGAGAGAGAGAGAGAGAGAGAGAGAGACACACACACACACACACACACACGCACAGAGACAGAGAGAAATAGACAGACAGACAGACAGACAGACAGACAGACAGACAGACAGACAGACAGACAGACAGAGAGAAAGAGTACGACCACATCACACATAGGGATCCAGACACAATCGGAAGGGGATCATTGACAGAAACGGGAAACAAGATATTGAAAATGCATCCACAGTTAGTTCAAAGTAAAATCTGTATAAAGCGGCGCTTCAGGATTCCTTTCCCTTCATCAGAGTGAATGTCAGAATGAGTAAAAGCTAGGCTGGAAACTTTTATGTTGAAGTGTAACAAGCGTGAACAATGGACAGTGTGCCATGCCACCAGAGTTAAGCTGTGTTCCCAAATGGCGCGTGGACGCGGTATGCTTGCGGTTCATGCATGCCCAAACGTACGCTCAGGCGTTCACAAAAAAACAGCATTTCGAGTCGTATTTAGGGCATGCGACCGACGCCTTCGAGTACTAATTTTTTGACCCCGCCAGTCAAAGTGACTGGCATGTACGCTGTTACGCGCCTGATACGCGCTGAAAATTCCAACATGTTGGAATTTCCATTTCGTCGCGTTTCCGTACGCACGATGCCCCCAAAGCCAGCAAAATACGCACAAACGCATGGTTTCAAGCGTACACGTGCCAGTTGTGAACACAGCTTTAGCCGCCAAAAAAATCCCGGTTCGCGTGAGACTTGGCTAGAGGCCGAGTTTTCCGCATCCGTAGGAACGCCACCACCCTTCAAGGATCATTAGCCACCAAGGTACAGTGAAATAGAATCATATATATCAGCAAGAAACTGCTGGGATTGGCAGAAGGCAAGCTTACCTGCTCTGGAAGCTACCCCAGGCATCGTCAGAAAAGCCAGCGCTGGCTGCCGGAGCCCCCGCTGCAGGTGGTGGAGCAAGAGGCTGTGGTGACGCACGTGCGCCAGAGCCGCCTGGCGGTGGAGGGAGAATGCCAATAGTACCGCCGGCCGCGGGTCGCGGCTTGTCTGCTGCAGCCTTTGCCGCCTATACAACACAATACCAGAGACAAAGACATCGATTAGAATAATATCTTAAATATAATCGTACCACCAGCCTGTGTGAATTTCATAGGAGGCATGAGTTTCGAAGTCTGAAGAAAACGCTTAACCCTTTGTGTGGATATTCGTGTCCGACGAGTGCCATGATTCAACGACTATTGATCCCATCGCTTTGGCGATTGTTAAAATCGCAAGCCGAGACATTTCTCTTCGATCTACAAATTTCCATTGTGAGGATGGAGTAAGCACTGACGAAGTTACGATCATTTGCACATATGCACGTTCTGTAAATTTTCACCAGTACATGTACACGATGTGCACTCATCACGTAAAAGTACGGGCTCAGAGTCTGGGCGTCATCTAGAATCTGGCAATAGTACAGGATCAGCAGTGAATGGGCTACAGTAACAGTCACTGCTGGGATGATGTCTACACCATAGTGTAGTGGTAGAACATTTGGCCGAAAGCGAGGGGTCCTGGTTCGAGTACTGGTGGTCGCAGTCAAATTTTCTTCAGACATTTCCCGTTCCAGCTCCCTCAAAACTGATGAGTATCTTGTGAAACGCCTTATATCATGTGCATAATACAGCCAGTGCTAAAAACCGTGCAGGATGTAATCAGAAGACAGCACTCTGATGTAACGTTGAGCTCAGCCCAAACACAAACCGAAGCGTGACTCACCCCTCCGATGTTGATGTGAATCTTCTGGCCCTCCTTGAATGACAAATCCAGCTGCGGTGCTGGCGAGCTGGCTGCCTCTTTCTCTACACGCTCCCGCCTTCACAAAGCAAGACAAGGCACAGCAAGACAACCCCACAGGTAAAGCAATGCACCGTTCCTAGGCGAGTAAAGTGGTGCAAGACGCGGTTGCAATGAATACTGTATGTGATATGCAAAAACAGTGAGTATGCTTTCCAAACCCAACAAAAACAGTGAGTATGCTTTCCAAACCCAACAAAAACAGTGAGTATGCTTTCCAAACCCAACTCTGCAAACGGGCTGGAAACATAATTGCACGCCCTTCTTGTTGGTCGGAAATCTCGTCTTGATTAGCAAGGCAATCAAACTCTGTTTTCAGTAGGTTTCAACTTCCAGTGCATTCGCCTGTATCCCACACCAACTAAAATTGGTCATCGTAGGTATTCATTTCGAGAATTTTTCAAAAGAAAAAGGAGAAAAGAGAGCGAAGGGCAAGGACATGTCACGTGGCATTACTCACACGACACACGGACTAACACCAAATACATGTAAGTACAATGACAACATTTTCGTTGAACACAAAGCTAAGGGGACAGATTGTGAGTTCGCAATGCTTCCAAAACAGCAAGATGCAATTCAGATCTGCTACAAGTGATGATAGAAAACAAAACCTCTGTACACAACTCATGACAAATAACACTGCTTGACATGCGGCATTTGAAAGACGATGCAGACCTGAATTGCATATTGAAGTTTTTTTAAGCACTCTATATTCGTAAGTTGTCCCCTTGGCTTCGTGTCCCGAAAAGAGAAGGTGTTGTCATTGCAGTGATTTCGTGTTATTCCACGTATGTGTGTGAGTAAGGTCACACAAGTGTGTGAGTAAGGTCACATGACGTGACCACTGTCCTTTGATCTCATTTCTTCTACATAGTTGCAAGTACACAGTAAGGAGGTACGAACACCCTGCTGCCGCGGCTACCAGCTTCAAGTCTTGAGATGACCATTGCGCAATTTGCAGGTCAAAACAGGTCACCTGAATAAGAAGGGAGGGCCGGAGAGCGAGGTAAGGAGGCAAACGCTTGAAAGAATTTCGGAAAAATTGTGCGCATGAGTGCATGTACACATCCGGCAATTTGTCCGTGAGATAAAAGCCACATGGCGGCAGCTCTTACACGAAAGATGAGCCAAGCAACGAACTCAGTCTGGGTAGTAAGGGCTTTCTACGCATATTTCCATGATACAGCAGTCCTTTCGCAAGCAAGTCTACGACGAAATGGGGTTTACACCCTCCGAAAGCATTCAATTTTGTAGATTTAAAACTGTACGTCCACGAAATCAAAACCATGCCTTAAGTCTGTCATTGCAATAGACAAACGTGACAACTAACTCACTTGAAGAAATCTTGCAATGCGACGTTGAAGTCAAACGAATCAGCTCTGTCGGCAAACCCTACTCCCAGATAAGCATGGCGCCCTGTCAGGAATCAAGGTTATACAGTGTACACGGTTCCAATCAGGCAAAGTGAAATAAAAAGCAACAACATCACAGACAGCAACTTGCAAGGAGCAACAACACATGCATGGAGTACATAGCGTGCAGCCATGACACTGCTACCAGAGCAAATGATGCCCTAACTTTCACCGGCTCGTGAGTCAAGACCGCGGGCCAATCAGTCCTGATATATGCCCCTAAAATGACTGAAATGAGGAGGAGCCGCTAACTGCCCTGGCCAATAATCGAAAAAAGGGGCATCCGTATTTGATCTACAGGTTTGGGAAGTGGCTACTTGGTTCGAAGTAGATAGTGTTGCTATTTGCGAGTTGTTGGTACGCCCGGGGTCTACATTCGGGAAGTTGACTGTACACTGCCAAACGATTGGTTGGGAGTAGCTATGAACGCAGTGCACAGGAAATTCGCTATCAAAATGCAACACAGCTAGGCGTGAACGTCCACACTGCACTCACCTGATCCATCTTGAACTCTGAGTACGAAGTAACGGCTGCTGTCCATGACCGACTCGACGGCAGGGCCGGGAAACTGTTCCACGGGACACTCGGCAAACGGCTCGCCTGCAACACAATCACACAGCCAGTCACGAAAAGACGATGTGACGACACACAAAAGAGTCGCACATCAGTATCCTCTACATACCAGCTGTGCAGTCATTAGGAGAAAGGAAGACAGTGGAACGTCTCTCCTTTGCATGCACAAATTGTTTAGCGTTGCAGCTTAGTTTTGTCGAGTTAAAAACGCTGAATTGTGACCCGTAGGGTCTGATCCCATGAAACATGGACTTTTCTTACTATTCCGTAAGGACCGTAACCTCTCTAATGACTCAAACTTTGGAGCTGGTCAAAGAGGATTGGTCCTAAAGTGTACACTAGAACCAAGAGTACAGTCAACTTCGCTAATAACGACTGCGGATATAACGACAATTCGCGAATAACGACAGCATTTCCCTGCCCAGAGCAAAGTCCCTTCCAACTGTAATACATATAATGAGACTTCGGGCATAATGGCACTTCGCGAATAAGGACACTTTTTGATGCCCCGCCGAGTGTCGTTATAAGCGAAGTTGACTGTATATCAGCTCCCAAGAGTGTGCAACTCTGGATACCCTTTCTATGGTGTCCACTGACGGCGAAAACTCACATCACGTGATGAAGTGTTCCTGTTGTAGGTTCCCAGCCCGTTTTTTCACAACCAATGGAGTTGACAATACAGTCAAACCTGTCAAGGCGACCACCTGTCCTAGAAGACCACTGAAACCAGCACCAAGGAATGCTATTTCCAGTCAAATGACCCCGGATAAGGAGGCCACCTGGTAACAGAGACCAGGTTCTGAAGGTCCCTTGAGAGGTCGTCTTAGACAGGTTTCACTGCATAGCACTCCCTGACAGAAATCCACTCAGCTTACGCGAGCCATCAGCATGATCACGGCAGATATTCGGACTGCGCATCACACTTTGAACACGCCATGTGAGTTTTCGCTGTCGGATTCCCTGTATGCAGAGTTGCACACTCTTGGGAGCTTATTTACTCTTGCTAGAACTACTGCCACGAGTAAATGATAATCGACAAAGCAGAACGTGTGCAATATTCATAGCTACAGTGCGAAATAATGTGCTGAGCAGGGAGTGGTGCTTTCTTGCCGGTTTGCCGAGGTTCGATGGACTTCTCGGGTGCTCTGGATGGCAGTCGTGAGTCAGTCAAGTGAGGTCGGCAGGAATAGCGCAAGCTCCCACGTAGGGAGCAACACACAATTCTACAGTGCGAAACAATGTGGCCCGCAAAAAAGACGTGTGTGTGTGTGTGTGTGTGTGTGTGTGTGTGTGTGTGTGTGTGTGTGTGTGTGTGTGTGTGTGTGTGTGTGTGTGTGTGTGTGTGTGTGTGCGCGCATCCTCCGCAGTGGCGTGGCGAGCCCTCGGATCAATCCCCAGCCTGTAACAATGCAGTGGCGTTCGGCAAAATAAGTGGATTCCTGGATGAGAAAGGATACAGGTCACACTCACAACAATTTATTCCTGCGCGGTGATAGCTGTAATTGTGAATTTGTCGTGTTGTTTGGACCTGAGTGGCCAGTCGTCGTGCGGCGATGGTGTAGTGATGTTAGCTTGCTGCGCATACTCCTCGTCGTTTCGTGAAAGTACGTCTTGTGGAGCCCTTGTGGGACGTTCGGTGCCCACCCTCCAGCTCAAGATTGTGCTTTCCTGGTGCATGAAGGCCGAAGCAGTACGCGTACAGACGTTATTGTTGAACAAAACATCATGTTCACATTAATTTTGTTCCTTTTTCAGTCGTTGCGTGTTATACTTATAGTGGACCTACAGCAGACTGTTCATCTGGTTTGTGATATTTCCTTCCTCTGTTTGTGAGTCCCTTTCCATCAATATGGCAGCTTGTTTTGATTTCCTTTTTTCAATTCATTTTGCTGTACTTCCTGTTTTGTTTGCGCCACTGCCCCTCACCTTGCGCTCAGTTCTCTGAGTGGAGGGCGGCGTGACCCCAAGGGGTAGCTGATTGATAGTAGTAGTAGTAGTGTGTGTGTGTGTGTGTGTGTGTGTGTGTGTGTGTGTGTGCGTGCGTGTGTGCGTGTGTGTGTGTGTGTGTGTGTGTGTGTGTGTGTGTGTGTGTGTGTGTGTGTGTGTGTGTGTGTGTGTGTGTGTGTGTGTGTGTGTGTGTGTGTGTGTGTGTGTGTGTGTGTGTGTGTGTACTGGTCGGTGTAAATATACAAAGAAAATTAATAGTATAGTTGACCTATGAATATTTGATTATTATTTTGTGTAATTACACATGCATGTAGTTCACCCCAAACAGGTTAGGAGCCCCATAATGCCTCTCTCATTACTGACATCTCACCAGAAATCTTATCCTCCATCTTGATAAGACACTTGCTACCCTCACCAACGATTCTCAAACGCACAGTGTAATCAGGGTTGGACAAATTCCAGTCGCTTCCCCTGCCAAAAAAGAACAACAGAGTTTGCACCAATTTGAGATATAGTTTCATGGCCAAGAATGATTGCAAATCTATGCCACCTCACCTGTATCCTCTATTGCTTTGCCTCGGAGGAATTTGATAAACGTACATTTCTGGCTTCACCAGAAGGGTCTGCGTGAGTGAGCTCGCCATGGTGAACTAACCCTGAGGACTAAGTCAGTTTTCTACTTCAAAAATACAATTATCAGATCTCGTTCTTGCAGCAACAAGCAAGACGTTCAGATTATTTCTACAGGCGCGTAACAAGTATGTGGCAAAGGAACCCTAAAACGAACAAGACAAGGATACACTTTCCAAAGTTGAACAAAAATGATCTGGAGACGTTCAATCAGAAATTTGTTGAATGTGAAGAAAGAACTGAAGAAGTCAGGAAGTGCCCAGCATGAATCCACTCAGTTCACGCTGTCTCTGACTGTTTCGTTGATCTACCGCAGTGCACTGCTCTGACTGTGCATGAGCATGACTCGACTGTGCAAGTCCCAGTGTCAAGAGTCAAGTACCAATTTTTCATCGACATCAATCACCGGGTGGAGTGGCGTTCACCTGTAATCGCTGCGACTGGCGAGGTTGGGAGTGTTGGGATAGTTTGAGGTCGGGAATCCTGCTGTCTGTCGGATTATGTCGATCAGGCGTCCGCGCTAAGTTCGGTGTGGATATGGGCAACACTGGTGAGCCAGTGGTGTCCAGGTCTTTGAAGAGCAGGGTACTGGCCCAGGATGGAAACATAGCAGGCAAAACCTGCCGCATGGAACAGTAGCGGGATAGCGCTTGTGAATAGACGGCACCCAGCAGCCCGGCCGATATAACACGACCCACTTCTTTTTTTCTTTTTTTCTTCTTCCTTTTCTCTTTTTCAAGGCTTCGTTCCCTTCCAGTTTTCTGTCTCGCCGTCAGCTTCTTCTCTTCTTTCCTTCTTTTTTTGTTGACCTTTTTTTAGTCTATTTTGATTCCTCACCAGCTTCGTTTCCAGAGGGATATCTTCCCCTATTATACTTCTCTCGGCGATTAAAATTTTTGTTTCATGTCATGATGTAAACTCAGTGCAGTGGATCTTGACAGCTTTGTAGCAGCACGCCCGATCAACTCCCCCGGCAGTCCTCCTGGATCCACCGCTAGCCCACAGTTGGTGGTGAATGTTCTCTCTTCTATCTGCTCAAATACGTGTGGAATGGTGGAGATTGGAGAATTTTCATGCTGATTGCGAAAATAGTTAAGGAAGTACATGTATTTTAAAAGTACTTGAATGACCTCATACTGAGTGGATTGGAACGCATGTAGTTACTGAGAGATCCTTTCCAGTTCTAACATGGACCCCTTTCTCCTCGTGTAGCATTTGTGCCCACGACTGCTCATCACCGGCTCACATCTCACCACCCCGGTCGGAAGCCAATAATAATTATTGATAATGGCGGCGGCGGCCGTGAAACTCGTGCCGCCGGCGTGCGGTGCCAGCTTTCAGCAGCTTCTCCTGGGTAGTTGGCAGGTGCAGCGCATCCTGCAGTACAGGCAGGGGGGCTACACGGGGCAGTTCACGGGTACGGCATGCGTTACCATGGTTACCCTACAGGACAACGAGCACCAGCAGCAGCAGCAGCGACAGTCGCCCGGGACGCTCCTGTATCGTGAAGAAGGGCAATTTGTGGCCGCTGACGGTGAGCATACAATGTCAGCACACCGAGAGTATGCGTTCTGCTACAACACGACGGCAGCTGCACCGTGGCCTGTACAGGTACACTTCGTTGAGCGTGCAGACCACCCCGTTGAGCTCGGCAGCCATTTTATTGATTTAAGTTTCCGTGACGACTCGGCTGAGTGTTCGTTTCGCCATCACTGCGCGCCGGATGTGTACACGGGCACATGGAGATTTGTGAATGCCGACGCGTTCCGCTGGTCGTGGCGGATCAACGGCCCGCGCAAGGACGGGGAAATCACGACATACTACACCCGGCTGTAACTGGCGAATCTATCCAACTTCGCCAAACACGCACGCGCTAACACAGTTCACGCACGGACACTGCATGACTTTAAGCCGCACACATCGCACTGTGACGTCACCCTGCGACACAGCACAAGGACACGGAGAAACGTTATCTGATGCCTGTGGACTATACTCTGTGCCCACCACAGCTGCACGTGGTACTTCGTGAAGCATCACGTTGTGCTGCGTTTTGTTATGGAGCGCAACCGGCTAAATGAACATACCAAACAAAAATCCCCATGAATCAAGTGGAGTATGTGCAAGAAGTACATGCATATTATGATGTGCTCTCTGGTTTGTTGCTTATGGCCATGTCACACAAAACATAACAATGACTGTCATGATTACATTCCACAGCATACACATAATACGCTATATGTACGGACTAAAGAAAATTTATTTTTGTGAAATAGTGGAGCTGGTCTCTTCCTTTCACAACTTTCAGATAAATTAATGAACAATTATGCGAAGTATGTTTAGTTCCACGCATACAAAAAGACGAACCGTGGCCTTATTACCTCGCCATTCAATGGCAAATGCCTTGATGGAACAAACCATCTCGTTTGTCTTGTTTGCCCGTGCTCCCGAGATGTTAGGCTAGTGGGATCCTGGCAGTGCAGGTGTGTCTGCAAAACAAACATAGAGTCCAATCAGTTAACCATGCACCTTTGAAGAAAAGAAAAACAAGCACGAAACTGTTGAATACGAGATTTCCAATCTAATGCGGGGCGAGTTGAATTTATATAATTTGCCCACACCCCAGATGCCCCCCCCCCCCCCAACAAAGAGTAACGTGACTGTGTGAGGCATGGACGGAATCCCTGTTCTCGTGTCCCTGGTTCTTTGATAGGTGCATGTGGCCAATGGAACACACGACGGATTGTCATGTACAGCGTCCTACATGTGGAAGTTCATTCAGGACTTACTTATAGAGAAGAACAGAATGAAACCCACAGATACTGTAGAACGGGTAATTTGAGCGATGTAAAAACCCTAGCGAATTTAGCGATCGACTCATTCTCGCTAAAGTTTCAAGTCGCTAATCCGTTGAGACATTAGTAGTGCACTGGTGATCCGTGAGTAAAATCGCTGCAAATCGCTAAAATAAAACGTCGCTAACCGGTTGACAATGGGAAAACGCTAAAATTAATAGTCGCTAAAATTACCTGTTCTACAGTACCGGTAGATACTACATGTAGTAGTACCGAGAGCACAGTGTCATATTCAACATGGGGTTATGACACTCTTGATGCATGCTTCATTTCTCCCCACTACACGACAGCAACAGTATTCGCATGCTCTTGTGGAAACAGGACCAGAGCTGCGCGGATATTCATGTGCTCATCAGCTCAAAGCACTTCCTGGTCCGATTTCATGCAAAACTAAGAGCATGGTACTTGGCATCGCATATTAGCCAAGCCGACCAGACCACACCTTAGTTGAGTCAGAAGGGAATATTCCGGTCCTCCAAGATGGGCTTCACAGACTGCAATACCTCCTCTATCATCACACCACACGCATATCACTGATGCAGAAACGAGAGATTGATTGACCGTACTTCCAAGAACATAAGGTTGCCTCAATTCAAACACTCGATCACGGTCTCCAAGAACACATTAACTTTCATATCATGGTCAAGAACCAGGAGTAGTATTATACAGGAAATGAGGGAAGATAGAAGACAGCTTGTGAAGAGAGAGAGAGAGAGAGAGAGAGAGAGAGAGAGAGAGAGAGAGAGAGAGAGAGAGAGAAAGAGAAAGAGAGAGAGAGAGAGAGAGAGAGAGAGAGAGAGAGAGAGAGAGAGAGAGAGAGAGAGAGAGAGAGAGAGAGAGAGAGAGAGAGAGAGAGAGAGAGAGAGAGCATGCATGTGCGTGTCCATGTGCATGTACAAAAATCAAAAATAAAGCACTTTTATGTGTTGATTGGAAACAATTGATCAGGTATAAGCATAACTAAGAAAAGTTACTGTGAAATGAACAAAAAAATGCTACATGTACTTCTAAACATCACTCTAGCTTGAACACCAGTAGTGTCAAGTAATGCACTGATGACTGCCCTCTCCATATCCGTCTGTTCGCGCATGTGCCACCTCTCACTGATGGAGCCGTTTCGTCCAGTCGTACGGCTCCCACATCGAGGAGAAGTTCATGATCTTGCGCTTCTGCTCAGCTGGCCCAAGGTGGCGAGGTTTCCGCCACAGCTGCGGGTCAGCATCCATTATACCGCCAATGATTTCCTACAGGCCACACGGACGGAGAAGAACACACAAGTTCATAGACTTCACTTTTTCAACTAAGGACATCTTCTGTCGTCTCCACGCAAACATTATTTACAGATCAGGAGACAATTTCTGTTGCCAACACTGAGATGTATAACGACTTGTGCACGGTACCGTCCAGTGTTGTGATAAGTCGAGCATTCTTTAACTCGCGCATACAGTACCTGGTACGCGACACACTGCACACTGCGGGACAGCATGTATTTGTGTGTGTGTGCATACAGTATCGGTATGTCACACACTCGACATAATTCACTTCATGTGTCCAGGATATAGAGTACGACTTAGAGAGTATAATAGAGACCATCGCAAAAGTTGGCAGAAGCACACAAACTAACAAAAAAATTCTAGCCGAAAATTGCAGAGAAGGCAGGGGCTCCATGAAAGTATGCATGCATGATGCAAAGCCTGGATTGAAAACGAACGTAAGGAGAGGGGGTGTCGCCCGAAACGAATTTTGTTCGTTCCGTGGGTTTCTGCAAACTTTTGCAACGGTTCAGTATAGACAGTCGGCTGTACGTATGACATAAAACCACAAGGACTATTTTGTACCACTGCCATTACTGAACACAGGAGCCATATGGCATCCAAATGAGTGTGTGTGTGTGTGTGCGTGTGTGTGTGTGTGCGTGTGTGTGTATCATTATGATTCATATAATGTACATACAGGCTTGCTGTTGTGCGAGTGTCAGTGTCAGTACAAAGCCACATTGATCATACAGGTACACCTTACCCGGCCAAAGTACCAACTGAACGAGTCGTCATCTTCAATTGGATGGGCAAAGCCCCCATCCAAACCAAACTCCACACTGAAGTAGGAGAAGCCCTTCGGTATCTACAGCACCCACGCACGGACACACATACACACAAGGTAGTTATGACACGCATATAACCAGTATTGAAGCTACTCCATCGCATCACAATACCCCAACCGCCATGAAGGAGAGTGATGCATGAACACATATTGAGCAGCTGCCCAGTCAGGCAAGTCTGAACGACCAAGCAACATGAATGCTTAAACAATAGTAAAGAGAGAAGGGAAGGAGAGGCAGGGGTTGAACCAAACACAGCAACAGCTTCCATTCTTTCCGTCCTGAAGCACCCACCGATTTACGAAGATCTTTCCCGCGTGTGTCCACCAGCTTCTTGTTCTCAGACCACTCGCCCTCTGATTCCATGATTGCTTTCTACACACACGCACACCCATACACACAGGCGCACACACACAGGCGCACACACACAACACAACACAACACACACACACACACACACACACACACACACACACACACACACACACACACACACACACACACACACACACACACACACATGTGCATAGCAAAGCTGAACAAATGAGCAGAACATGTAGGTACAAATGCACACGCACACATATACACACACGCACACCCATATACACACACCCATACACACGCCCCCATACACATGCCCCCATACACACACACACACACACACACACACACACACACACACACACACACACACACACACACACACACACACACACCTTGATCCTTGATCTTGCCCATTGCGTACGCAATGATAGCGAATGTCGGAAAGTTCAAGTGAGAACACGAGCGCAGAACTTGGCATGTCGTTTCAGGTCTCCTGGTCGACGAAATGGGCGTCCACAGACACATAGAAGAGGATCAGGAGCGGGCCGTGGCGGTGGGGTGCTACTCGCAACTCGTCTCCAGCCGGGACGATCTTGGCAACTCTCAAGCCAGGTGGTCACGCCGAGGTCCGCCAGGTCAGTCGATACCACATCTCGCCACCTCTTCTTCGGGCCGTGACGAGGACGGGGGGCAGGCAGCTCGCCGAACAGCAATTGCTTCGGTGCGCGTGAGTCGTCCATCCTGCCGACGTGACCCAGCCAACGAAGCCGGTGGCGACGGATGATGCGGGTGATATCAGGGTCAACACCGAATGTAGCTGCTAATGTGGCCGTTGAGATCCGATCATCCCACTGTTGACGACGGCCGATACCCACAATGGACCGAACACACTGATGGTGAAACGTGTTTAGCTTCTGGAGGTGGCCTGCCTTGGTGGTCCACGTCTCCGCACCATACAAGAGGGTCGTGAGGACGACAGCCTCATAGACACGCCTCTTGCTGCGAAGCGACAGGGTCTGGTTATCAAAGACAGGAGCTTTGAGGGCTCCGAACACAGCTGAGGCTTTCGCAAGGCGAGAGCGGACATCAGCACAGGCAAGACCATCCGAGGAGAGCACACTGCCAAGGTAGGTGAATTGGTCCACCACCTCAATCGTGTCTGCTCCAACAACAACGTCACGGCGATCAGCAGACTC